CTCAGAAACCAGGCCCTGGATCTGTCCTGCTCACTCTTGCATTGCCAGGAATCAGCACAGTAAATATTTGTAGAATGAATGATGGCAATAATGAATGACCCTGGGCTGGTTTGATAGGTTCCCTAAAACTCTTCTAGAATGGCATTGGTGTCCTGTTAGAATGTTCCGGAAGAGTCTATACCCACCGTGAAATGATCCGTAGGTCTGCGCGCGCACACACACACAGCGGTCACTCCAATTTAATTTGCCTAGGCTTCCCTCACAGCCCTCCGGACCGGTTAAATAAATTCAGGTGGCCGCTACATAGCTAGTACCCATGGACTAGCCCTCATGTAACCCAGGTACTGCAATCACCAGGCAATGTTACAGGACCTGAGGTCCTACGATAATCCATATAGCTGTGTCTTACTCTAATAGGATTCCCCAGGGGACTGCAACAGTGGTCGCCAGCTTGGCTGTAACAGAATTTTCCTGTGGTCTGCTATAAATGCAGAGCCATGATACATTACGATTACAAGGTCTGCTCTGTTTTCATGTCATAGTCCTGACGCCTGCTGTCCTTGTAAACCCAGGGCCCTTCAATGAAACTGTGCCTGGAGCTAATTTCCCTGTGAAATGGCAGTGCCACTGGGGCCTCATTTAAGAGGTATGCAACAGAACATTCCAGAAGCATGCTATCAAGATCCCGTGATAAATGACCAGGGCTTGCTATAATAAACCTAGTATTCCACACCATATAAGACCTCTGAGGCCACCTGCCAAAGACTTGTCCTGGAGCCTGCAGGAAGGGACCCAGGGCCTGCTATGCCAACTACCACAGGTCCCTTCTCTAACAATAGGCTTAGGGCTCTGGGCATAATTACCATATTTTGCCGTGTATAACATGCACTTTTTTTGCCTAAATTTGTGAGGGAAAAATACAGATGCGCATTATACATGCGTAGTACTAATTCCATATCTATATAAATGTTTTTAATTCTTTTATTTATGCTTATGAGTTAAAAGTATAACTCTAGGGCTAGCTGAGTGGCGCTTTGGTTAAGAGTTGGCTTGGGACGTCAGCTCTGAGCAGCAGGGCCCCGGTTTGGATCCCACATGAGGGTCAGTAACACTGCCCTCTACAGCTAAGATGGTGAACAACAGCTCGACCTAGAGCTGGGCTACCATGAGTTGCTGGCGACAGCGTAGGCTGTAGCCCTTGCTGCAGTGGGCAGCCATAAGCTACCGTGTGTGGCCAGCAGCCAGTGTGAGTGGCCGGCAGCTGGTGTGAGCTGCCAAGAGCCGCTGTAAGCGGCCATCCAAAGGCTGGCAACCGATCTGCCTCACCCGGGAAGAGCACAATGTTAATACCAACATGGGCCAGTGAAGCAACATCCACAACTAGACTAAAGAACAAAATGACAGCAACTTGTTTGTTCCCCTTCCCCAATTTCCCAATAAAATCTTAAAAAAAAAAGTATAACTCTAAAAATCAATAACGATATCCTTATGCAAATAATAGCCTGGAATACGATAATCGGTTTTGTTGAATTTACGATGTACTTGCAATGATGAAGAGTTCTTGTCCTTCTATGACTTGTAAATATCGTAAATTTGTTACCAGTACATAAAATTTCTTGTACCTTATATCTGTTCTTGTGTGTTCCTTTTTTTTTTTTTTTTTTAGTTGAGCCATTCTGCTACCTGTTGGTAGCAGCTCAGCGCGGGCATGGAATCGAACCACTGTTACTCAGAGCTCAAACTCTTGAGCAAGCTCTTAACCAACTGAGCCACTCAGCCGGCTTCTGTTCTTGTGTTTTGTAATTATTTGTCACATAAAATTTCTTGTACCATAATGTTAAAAAATAAATGCTAAAATTCCTTTATTGTACAAAAAACCAAATACCTAAATGTAAACAAATAAAAATTTGAATTAAAAAATTAAAACGAAAGATTTTTTTCCCCTGAAAGTTTGGGCCAAAAACGTGGGTGCGCATTATACATGGGAGCACATTATACACGGCAAAATACAGTACTTCTTGTTTGGACTCAGTCCGAGTTGTTCCAAGATTTGTGCCTGAGAAGCTGCAAGCCCAAAGAACACACCAGGTGGCTGAGTGCGAAACATAGGTTTATTGAGACTTACTGACCTAGGAGAGTCTTTGGTGGTGGCCAGCCGGAGAGGTAGCGCCCTGCACCAAGGCAGAGAAGAAGCAAGATTATATAGGTACAGCAAAACAAAGAGAGTTCCATGAGAGAAATCACCTGGCAGGCCCTACAGGCCTGCTCTCATGCACAGTCTCAAGAAGCCAGGAGACCTTGACTGCTGGCCAGCGTACTGAGTAGGCTGTCTGATAAGCAGCAGTCCCATGGAGCCAGGAGACCTCACTCATCTGACTGTGCGCCCTGTCTCTACACTTCCCTAAGTATCACTTACCAGAACTAGTTCTACCCCATTAATGCACGTGAGCATATGTCAACCTTCCAATGGGGCAGGGAGCCAAGAACCCATTTTACAGATTAGGCAACTTAAGTTCATTGATTGTGAGGTCACCTGCCCAAGGTCACACAGGGATAGAGTTTGAAATAGTGCCTATGGTTTCAATGTTTACATTTGGAGGTTTCTGCTCCTGTTCTCTGCTTCCGAGTATTCCGTGTCTTGTCAAGCCCACCCTTTGAGGATGTGGGCATTTAACTTCAAAATTAATTCACTCAACTAAACATGTATGGAGCACTTACAACTTGTTCCAGGTGCTGGGGTTGCAGAGACTCCTGCCCTCTTGGAGCACGGATTCCGGTGGTCAACAGGTAAACGAATATGCAGTATTGTACAGGATTTTGTATAATAAATCTACAAATCTACCACAAACAGGTTTTACCTGTTCACATAGGACAATAAAGCAGGGCAGGGTGACTGGGAGGGTCGGAGGTTTTGCCGAGGGGAAAGAGGTTGGTGAGCATTAGAGACTAAGGAGGGAGGGAGCCAGGAGGAATCTGGGGTCGAGTGTTCCAGGCAGAGGGCACAGCCAAGTGCAAAGGCTCAGAGGGGACAGGTCTGGTGTGCACTGGCAGGAGGGAGAGAGGGTGGGAGGGGGAGAGGGGGTTGGCCGAAGGCAGAAGACAGAGGGAGAAGCACTGAAGTTGTGATCTGGACTTAAGAATTGTATCTCTAGTTACCACAGGGTCTAAGAAGGGCAGATACAGTCGTTGTTCTGCTCTTCACGCAAGAGAACTGGCAGGCCAGGGGTCTTTCTCCTAGGTCTTTTTGACCTACCAGGCCCATCAGAGGTGTCCCCCAATGCACACCAGGCACCAGCCCCACCCGTGACTAGGTAGCCTGACATGACGGGGTGCCAAGGAGACGCCCCAACGACCGCTGGGAGGAAACAGGGGAGCTGGGCTGTTGTTGTAAACACAGTGGCCCCACCCCAAACGGAAACACCTGCGGTGGGGGGTCTCCAGGAGCCACAGCTCCCTCCAGGTCCAGGTCCCCTTCTCTTAGGGTCCTATCCCTCTAGCCTGGGGTGGGGCGGGCTTGCAGGCTGAAATTCGGGCGGTGCCCCCTTCTGACCGGTCCCTGCCCCTTCCTGCTCTCTTTGATGCGGCCCCACTTCCTCTGGCAGGAACCCCCGCCCTCGCTGAGACAGGGTAAAAAGGAGCCGCTGGGCTGATCCCGGTCGGCTCCCCTCTCCTCATGGCCTTGTCTCCCAACCCTTGTACCAGTGATGTACTGCATGCAGTCCCTGGTACAGGCATGGGAGGCAGGGACGTGGGGACCCCAGCAGCGCCAGGCCCCAAGAGGCAAAGCAGCATGACTCCAGAATGTTCTTTTTGTCTCGGTGCCTCCATCTGCTTGGGTGAGGGTCTCTCCCTTTGGATCCCATAAGTCCTTGCCTTCCCTCTCTCTCCCTTTCTCCAACTTTTTCAGTCTATACCTGCTGCCCTCCTGCCCTGTGTCTCTTAATTTTGTGTAATGCCCAAGGTCGGTCTGTATGTTTCTAAAATCTGATTCTGCCCCCACTTGAGGTCTGTCTGTTCTGCATCCAGCTCAGCTGTCTGTCCAATCTCTCTTCCCCATTTTCCTCTGCTGCTAACAGAATGCCTTAAGCTGTTACCAATTGTCAAACCCCTTCCCATCTCTCCCTTTTTTCCAAGGTCATGTCTGGCCGTCAGAAATCTTTTCCTAAATTTGCCTGATTCTGTTCCCATTTCTCCCCATCTCCAATTTCTCTCCTCACCCAAGGCTCCCCACCTTGTCTGCCCCTCCATCAGTCCCACGTCCAGGGGCTTCCTACCCATCTTTGAGCAGTCTGTGACCCTGTACTGCTGAGATGCATTCCAGCCTGGCCTCATAATATAACTTGCCCTCAAGGCCAATTTCCTTACTTAGATTTTCAGGCAAAAGAAATTTCCAGAATCTGAGACCTGGACTAGCTGTGACTCCAAGCAAAGAACTTGTCCTCAGGTGAGTTTGCTCATCTGCAAATAAGCATGGTGCTCACTTGGGGGTGAGGGAAGCAGGGGATTCACAGGAAGGAGACCCCCGGTCTCACTCCCCAACTCTGCTGTCAGGAGAAAAGGAAGGTCAGGTTAAGGTCAAGACCTTTGTAGTTCAGAGCGAGGGAGCTGTGAGGTCCTCAAGCCCATCCAACCTCCCCCCCACCCCAACCCCAGCAAGGCCCAGAGGGTGGCTGCTTCCTCTCCTGTGAGGCTAGAGTGCCCAAGAACCCAGGAGCCTCCACCCTCATTCACTTCCTCCCCAGAGACTGGGGGTGGGGTGCGGTGGGGGGAGGCAGCAGCTCAAGGCCAGGTAGAAAGTGACAAGGACCAAAAGGAGACAGATAGGTGCAACATCTTTACTATATGTTGTCTTCACCCAGAGATGAGGGCAGGAGGCAGGACTTGGCCCCTTCCCATCCTCAGCCCCCAGAGGATGAAAAAGAACTCTATTTCTTATCAACCTTACTCAATTCCAAGGACAAGCCCTCCCTCTAGTAATGGCAGATACTGACAGCCAGGCCCATGACTGAGAAAATAACTTTATTTTGTTCAGTGGAGTGGGGAAGTATCCAGTTTCAGAACTTCTGGAATTGCTTCTTGGTGCCTGCAGCCTTGGTGACCTTGAGCACGTTGAAGCGCACAGTCTTGCTCAGGGGTCGGCATTCACCCACTGTGACAATGTCACCGATCTGGACATCTCTGTGGAAGGAAAGAGTGGCTAGTTATATGGGGGACGGCAGCACGAGGCTGCTCCAACCAGGCCCCTGGGGAGCCTTCCCTTCATAGTCACCAGGCTGAGGCCTCTCAGCTTTGGTTCTACCAAACTCCAACCAAGCTCCTGTTTCTAGTCCCAGCTGCCCCCCAACCCACCATTATTTATTGAATACAAGCTATGTGCAAAGCACCAAGTTCAATGCTGTACGGAGGATGCCCTAACCCTTCCAGGATCCTCTTAGGGCAGATCTCCAACCATCATTTTCATTTTACAAAGAACTGGAGATTCCTGACAATGGTTTGCTCCCTTAACAGCACCCTCCTCACTCCCCCTGCCCTCCCAACAGTTTACTACCTCCACAGGCAGCCTAGGTGGTCTCTTAACATCCATGTCAGGTCTTGTATGTCACTGATTTGAGTGCAGCCCAACCCCTCCCTCCTCTCTGCCTGGAAGAGTGGCTGGCCGGGGCTACCTGGGGGCCCACCACGCTTACCTGAAGCAGGGGGACAGGTGCACAGACATGTTCTTGTGACGCTTCTCAAAGCGGTTGTACTTTCGGATATAGTGGAGGTAGTCTCGGCGGATGACAATGGTCCTCTGCATCTTCATCTTGGTCACTACGCCTGAGAGGGGACAGATTGAGTCAGGCCCCCTGGGAGAGGGAAAGCTGGTAATCCGGAGCTGCAGAGCAGAGGTCCCAAGAAGCCCTGCTTCTGGCACCAGCTGTGCCAAGTGGCTTGCTCAGCAGTGCCTATAGCAGATATCTGAAGACCACTGTGAAAACAGACATCTCTGCCAGTGCCCCCTGGAACCAGAAGTCTGAGTGTTCCCAGCCCGTCCCCTCTCAGATCCAGGAATCTGAACCCAAGCTCCCAGAGCCTCACTCACCAGATAGGATGCGCCCTCGGATGGAGACATTACCGGTAAAGGGGCATTTCTTGTCAATGTAGGTGCCCTCAATGGCCTACAGGGATAAGGAAGGGAAGGGAATGAGGCTTCAACTGATAGTTACTGAGAAAAACACGGGGTGTGGCCCCAGGGACAAACTACAACTCCCAGCAGCCCTGGGAACAGTCACTCACATGTGGGTGGGGAAACTGAGCTTGGGCACACATGCAGGGAAAACAGGGCTTTCTTTTTTCTGAGGGTCCTCATACCTCCTTGGGCGTCTTGAAGCCCAGACCAATGTTCTTGTAGTACCGCGGAAGCTTCTCTTTGCCAGTTTCTCCAAGCAAGACCCTCTTCTTATTTTGAAAGATGGTCGGCTGCTTCTGGTACGCACGCTCAGTCTACAGAGATGAGGAGGAAACTGGTGAGTTGGTAACGCTAGAGCAAGGAGCAATCAGGCCTGGAAACCTTCCCAGAAACCCCCACCCTCTCCAGCATTCACTCCACAAACGCTGCCCCAGAATTACCTCCCAAAACACTGTTACCCCAAATTTACCTCTAATTCAGATTCAACTCTTAACTCGGGTCACTTTAGCGTTTATGCTTTAAAACGCTTCCCACTGCCTGCAGAATTCACCCCTTAAAACCGGGAGATATGGAGTCATCCCTCAAACTCCCCAAACACACCTTTCAGCACGGGTTATTCTCCAAGACACAACGACATCCACCCAGGATTCATTCCCTATCTAATAAGTACGATTTCAAAATTAATACCCAAACAACGGGCTCCCTGGATTAACCCTTAGGACTCAGTAATCACAGGATTAACTCTAAGACCCAAAGCCTCCAGAAAACCACCCCGTAAACCTTGAATTTAAGCAAGTCCTGAAACACTTGAGCCTCGATTAAACCCAAGTGCGGATCCCCAGGAGTTAGGAGGCGCTAATCTAGATTAACGCAGACACGCGTTCCCTGCCCGAGTTAATCCACAGGAAATCGAGGGTGCTCAGAATTAACCCCCAAACTGGGGCACTTTCAAGGGCAAGACCCTGAGGCCCCAGGAGGGCCCCACAACCACGGCGACCGCCTCGAGCACAAACCTGAATGTCCGCCATGTTCGCGGGAGCCTGAGAAAAAGAAAGCCTCCAGGTTTCCTTATGGACTGCGCAGGGCCTAGAGAGGAAGTGACGAAAGGAGGCGGGAGCACGATTTGAGGCGAGACTGTGATTGACGGATGGCCCTAACCAAGCAGGCGATTGGGAGACTGCACCGACGCCGCCATGATGGCGACAGGCAGGGGCGGTAAGCGGCGCACACTGTCTCGCGATAGTCCAGCCATCCTTGTACTCGGCGCACTAGTTCATGTTGAGAAGGCGTGGCCAGACTTGAGCCCCGCTACGTTATCGCGAGAGTTATAGGGGGCTGTCGTGTTTCTGCGGGGTGTGATAGTATGGGCTTTGGGAACCGCGTGCTGTGTACGTGCAGGGTTCAAACCCAATGGGGTGGTGGGCCTCTTTCTGCGGGGTGGGCATTTTAGCATGCGGAAGATTTTAGCATGCGTGGGTTTGTGAGGAGCGGGTGCTGCCCATGAGCTTTTTGAAGTTTAATGAAAGTTGTTATTTTTTGTGTCACACTTCATCCCCAGACAATGGATTAGTGAAAAAAAGCCTTTCTGCTGATTTTGCCTGTAACGGCGCTGGTCCAGTAGAACTTTCCGTTGCGATGGCAGTGTTTTTTATCTGGTTTGTCCAACACGGTAGCCCCTGACGAATTTTTAAGTTTTATTAGATTTATGGTTAAATAGTAACATGGGACTAACATCTACCGCGGTGGGCGTTGCAGAATATGTGAAATACAAATGCTACAGATTTACAATAAGTCACTTGAAAGTTTATTTAAATTTCTTAAACACTTTAATAGCTTTGTGATTTTTTTCCTAAGTGTTATTTGCTTTGTGAATTTTGAATGATGCATTTTTAATAATAGTTGTCCCTGTGGGGATAGCATTAACAGGGAGGCACTTGTCATTTTGTTTTAGAACCATCTGTGTCTTCCCCCCAGTACTTAACTAGCTTTATAATTTACTTCTTGAAGAAAAAAAAAAAGGTAATTTCTGGGGTTTTTGAACGACTTGGAAAGGATTTATTATAGTTAAAAAAAAAAAAAGGCAGGACTCACAGCTGTCATCTACACTGTGTGCTAACCTATGTATAAAAGTTATTTAGAAAAAAGCCTGGAAGAAAACGCATGCCCCAGTGGTTTACATCTCCAGGTGGTGGGATTAGGTGTGATTTCCTCTCTGGTTTTTAAAATGCTCAATATTTTGCAAATTGTTCAGAGTAGCTGGTGAGATTTTGATGATAAGGGAAAAGTAAAGAAGGGGTGGGGGCAATTTGGAGATGTTTACTTAGGTCCTTAGCTTTTTCAACGTTTTTGATCACAACCCACAATAGGAAGTAACATTATACATTGTAATAGAACACATTTCTCCTCTCCCCTTGTCTCTTTGTCTTCCTCCCTGCCTTCATTTCCCGTTCTTTTAACTCTTTCCTTTCCATCCTGCAACACTTATTTTTCTTTTTCATTTGTATTCCATTTTATACATGGCTGGTCACAACACACCACATTTTTTTTTACCTGCATTGTGAATCGCCTTGGTGTCCCATAATAAACTTCAGCCAACTATAGTTATTACTTCTAAAGAGAATATTTCCCTGCCTATACCAGATTTCAGACATTTCCCAGCAGAAATGCAAATGGTAGTAGACTTGGACACATTCATCCTTCTCAGTGGGCTCGGAAATGCCTATTAAAACAAGACCCTTCCTTATAGCTGTCCTCTTGGTGAGATAGGTACGCCCATGTGCCCTTGGAGGGTGCTTTGGTGGTGGGCAGTTGGGAAAGATGGAACTGGAACTTTGAAAATGTTCCTTCTGCTTGCCAAGGCTGCGATTCCCTGTATTTGTCCTACGTGAAGGGTTAAGCGTCCACCCAGAGATTTTGTTTGCATTCTCTAATGTTGTATGATGTTGAGTATCTTCTCATGTGCCTATTGGCCATTTGTGTATCTTGTTTGGTGATATGGCTATTCAAATATTTGTCTGTTTTACTTGATTTGTCTCCTTGTTATTGAGTTTTAAGAAGTGTTTCAGATATTTGAAATACAAGTTCTTCAAAAGTGAAATAATTTGCAAATATTTTCTCCCGGTCTGTGGCTTGTCTTCATCTTCATAAATGGTGTCTTTTGGTGACAAGTTCTACATTTTTATGAAGCCCGATTTATCTTTTTAAGTGATTGTTCTTTCCACGGGATTATACAATTGGGCTGATTTAACATGCTGTTTTGCTCAACTTCAGAATTAAGCTGTCTTTGGTTGCTTCTGGAGGCAGCTCCTCTGGTGAGCAGGAGCCCCAGGAAGGGTAGGAACATCAATTTGTTAAATGATTCCGAGAAAACCTAAGCCCCTGGAATCTTGGATATTTTAGCAAGAGTAAGCATGATAAAATGGCATGGTGTGTAAATTATAATTTGTCCCCAAACTATGGTAGAATGTCTTACGCTCCCTCAACTAGCTTCCTTCGTGCTGTCAGACATTTGAATATTGAACTTCTAAATTATAAAATTATTTCTAAATATCGCTCGCCAACCCCAGAGGCAGCAACAATTTATAGCTTCCTTTCCAAGGTAGATCTTTAAATGGGCACAGGCTGATAGTGGTGATTGATCAAGAGTAATTCTGGGGCCGGCCGAGTGGTGCGATGGTTAAGAACTGGCTTGGGATGCCAGAGGACCCCGGTTCGGATACAACATGAGGGCCAGTGACACTGCCCTCCACAGCTAAGATGCTGAACAGCTCAACCCTGCCATGAGTAGCCGGTGACGGCGTAGGCTGCAGCCCGTGGCAGTGGGTTGCCATGGGCTACTGTATGTAGCCAGCAGCCAGCGTGAGCGGCCATCCAAGTCGGCGACTGAACAAAACCACAGAAACTTGTCTGTTCCCCTTCCCTCAATTCCTCAATAAAAACTTTAAAAAATCTTAAAAAAAATTCTGAAGGTTACCTGCTAAATTTATCCTTGTGGGGAATTCACCCTGGCAGTTGTAACATGCAGTTTGTCTTTAAAAGGCTTTATGAACTTATGATATATTCCTCCTAGTGCCTGCCACTTGCAAAGTGCTTCCTGCCCAAGCTTTACACAACGTACAGGCCCCTGGCGGGGTCAGAAAACTGGAATGGCCTGTCCCAAATGGGGACATGGCTTTAAAATGCTGGCAGCTGAGGAGTACCAGGGACCACAGGCCAGGGTGATTTGAGAAATACAAATTACAGACTTAAAGAAACTCATTGGTAGGCCAATTTTTACAAAATTTAATTCTCTGTGAATGACAGGTTATAAACCAACATGTACTCCCTTATGCGTGGAAAGACTCCAGCACAGCCAGTTGTTTTTTAAGTCCTTTTTCCTGACTCCCCTGGGCCTGTCTCCACAGCAAACACACACTGCAAAGACGCCAAATTTCTTTAAAAATAATTTATTCGTTTCTGATCACAAGGTACAGTAGGGAAGGGCAATCAGTACCCATAACTCCTTAGTTGCCTGTTAAGTACCCTTGTACAACACCAGGCCTCCAAGTGTTCTCTCACATCCTAACAGCTGCAGAGTATAGCATAGTATCTGATCATGTGGGAAGTTTAAATTTGTGCTTTCCAGCTCACTTGCAATTAATTACTTAAAAATGAACTGGCTGTTCCAGCTGTCATATTTCCTAATACTCTTATGAACAAGGTCACAGGCAAATTATTCCTGCACAGCTCTTAGAGCCATTAGAACTTTTTAACAGGCCTTTTTTAAAAACAGTGGTAACTAAGGACCCTTTCTAAAGGTGTTCCCAGCTTTCTAAAGCCGAGGCTGCCTGTGGCCCCTGGAAGGCATCCCCTGGGGGTCACCCACATCCAAGGGCGGCGATGGAGGAAGGGCAGGCAAGGCCAAGCATGAGGAATTAACAGTCAATTTTATTGGGCTCAGACCAGGAGTCCATGGGTCTTGAGGACCTCTGTGTATCTGTCAATTTTCTTCTCCACATTCTTTTCAGCCTGTTTCCGTAGCCTCTGTGGGGTTAGAACAGGTGGTGGTCAGTGGCTGCTGCTTGGAACCACCCTCATCCCAGGGACCGGATCACGCTACCCACACTCCAGGCTGGGCTTTAGGCAGAGCCCTCTGGGGGCAAACAAAGACCACTGCATTAAAAGATATCACTTGCCAAGCCCTGCCCAGGAGTGTGGTGCTCCCTCATCCATCCCCATGATCTCACCATGAGCTGTTTTTTTTTCCGGTAATGGATCTTGGCCTTCTCCTTCCTCTTTTCTTCCAGAGTGGCTGTAACTGCCTGGTACTTCCAGCCAACCTCATGAGCCAGGCGCCCTAGGTAAGCAAACTAGGGAATGGGGGAAGGAATGAAATTGTAAATGGACCTGGGACTGGGGCAAGGGTGGCCATGAGAGATGGGCTTAGAGGGTCCTGGGAATTTAACTATCCAACTTTCTCAGCAAATTTACATCAGACACATCCACCCCCTGTAAGGGTCCATGATCTTCCTGGCATCAGCTAAGCCATTGGCATTATCGGCACTGCCCACAGTGGCATCCGCAGACCATCGTGAGAATAAGCCATCATCTGCCAGTCTCGGGGACCCCCTCAAGTCATCCCTCAGTGGGCCCGAGATCCCCAAGTTAGCACACTCAGCGTAACCTAGGACTCACCTTCCGTGTAGGCTTGAGACGCACAACCTTGAGGGCAGCGGGAACCACCATTCGTTTTTTCTGTTAGGGAAGGAGAGGGACTTAGGGACCTGGCATGAGGGACAGACAGGAAAGAAGGCTGGCTGGGGCAGGCGTCTCAGCTAGTGCTGTTCTCATGAGGATCAAACAATGTAGGTAACCGTGGATCATCACGGACACCATCGGACACATGGATACTATGTGTGTATGTGACTTGTCTAGCTCACCTTGTCATAGGGTGGTGGGATACCATCGAACACCTTGAGGCGGTCCAGTGCAGCCTGGCCCCGCTTGGTCTTGTGGGGCAGCATGCCTGTGGGTGGAGGGATAGCAGCTGAGTGGAGCTCATTAGGACCCCCACAAAACCAGCCAAATAGGTGGCCTCAGATGGTAGTGCATGTGGAGTCATCTCATGGTTGGGAAACTCGAACAAGAGTGGGAGAAGTCCTCATCACTGGCCATCCACCCCATCACCATCTGAAATCCTTAGGCCCAGCTCACCTCGCACAGTCCGCCAAAAGATGCGGCTGGGAGCTCGGAAGTGGTAGGGGCCTCGGGATGGGTTGGTATTCATCCGCTTGCGGAGAAAGGCCAGGTACTTCACTGATAAAGAGGAAAACACAAGGCCTCATTCCCCAGGCAAATGCTAGCTTCTTCCAACACACACACACACACACATCCACACTCCCAAAGGCGTATTTTGGAATCCAAACTATCATCTCCAACCATTGGTGGGATAGATTTCAGAGCCTATGGAGAAGACTGAGCACCTCATAGGTCTACCCTCTTCAGCCCTTCTCCCCTGCTCTAACTTACACTTGTTTCTGTAGAAATTGCCAGAAATGTTGATGCCCTCACAGCGCACGACCACCACCTTCCGGCCTAGAGGAAGAGGAATGTAAGGCAACCATGGAGGACAAAGGTCAGAAAACCACCGAGGGCTCTACCTACATCTGACCACCACCCACCTGCCCAGTTACTGCTGAGGACCTGGAAAGGAGGATCCTCCCTTGTAAGGAACTGACAATACTCAAGAAAACCAATTCCTCATGGGAGACTCTTGCCCCAAGCCACAGGGCAGTAATTGGCAGAGCTGGATTCATGCTTAAATGTTAGTCCAACAGGAAAAAAAAAATTTAATCCCACTGCCCCCTACGCCAGGGGAATGGCTGGCAGGTCTCAGAGCGGTGCATGGGGTTGATCTCATGGTCGTGAGACTCAAACGAAAGATGGTGATTGTTGCTCATCACTGACCTCAGGTCGGTACTTACGTCTGGGGGAGCTGCAGACAGAGGGAACTTACCCAGCAGTACCTGCTTGGCCACGATGGCCGCCAGGCGGCCCAGGAGATGGCCTCGGCCATCGAGCACCAGGACCTGTTGAAGACAGGAGGAAAGGGCTTAGAGGCACCCTTAGCTTTCTGACTCCCCACTCCAAGCAACCATTGCTTTCAACTTGTTCAACTTTCACCTTATCCCACAAGGTGCCACCTATCCAGGTATCAGACACGGGAACTAGGACCCAAGGCTCACTTTACAAATGAGGCCAACAAAAAAGCAAATGCTTAACTCAGGATTTCAGTGAACAGGATAAGACACCAAAGAACTCCTCTCACATCTCAGCTGCTTGCAGGGCAGGAATTTTTAAGCCCAGATTATAGCTTCTTCTTCAAAAGTCCCCACTTTATCAAGTGCTGGTTATAATACGTTGTGATTGTTGAAAGGCAGAAATGTACAGAATTTAAAGCCAGACTTCCTGACAATGTGACTTTGGCCAAAAATCTGCAGCTCTCCATGCTTCCTTGCCTGGAAGATGAGGATAACAATATCTGCCTCAGGAACATTGTGATAAATCAATTACAGAAAATATAACGCAAACTGTGCCAGGCACACAGTAAATGCAGGGAACTCTACCACTTCCACTTGGTTTTCCTTCATCGACCACAAACCCATTACATGAAAACACACATGGACCCCTTTTACAAAGCCATCCCCACCTTCATGTATGTTACACAAGAACCCAGAGCACCAAGAGAAAAATAAGCTTCTGCTGCCTTGAGGGACCCCAAGTAGTTAAGGCCAAAAAATGTCTCAGGGCTGTGGAGCATTTATTAGTCCTCTGCTTCCAGCAACAAGTTTTCAAATAATTCATTAAAAGCAAAGGGAAAAGCGAGTCATTCCTTAAAACCCCGTAGAGGCCAAGAGCTCTCTCAGCCCACTGCGCAAGATTTCGTACCAAATAACCCAGAGCTACAAAGGAACCCTGATTAGCAGTTTCATGAGATATTAAAGCAAGACCGCCTTGAGTAGGGTTCAAGTACCCTCATTTTGGCCAATCCTCGGCTTCTCTGCCACCTTCCACGTGCTTCCCCATCGCTGGGGATACACCGGTCCAATCCGGCCAAAGCCCAGATCAAGGTAAACGAGGCCTAGTTTTAAAGTAACTCTGCCTGTGCTGAAAGCCCCCATCGTCACCCCTCGGGAAGGAACGACGCCGCATTTTCCCAGCTCTGGGGATAAAGACAGTCCCAGTATTTACTGTTTCCCCGACACAGAGTTCTCTTAGCCCAAAAGCTCCCCGTTTTGCTCAACTATCGAGCTTAAGCTTCACTACACACGTACGAGGATAAAAAGGGTCCATCCCTGTTCTGGTCTGGATCCCACCCGGCCCCACGCCGCACCGGCCCGCGCGCAGCGCGCACCTGCCCCTCCGCCATCTTCGGCAGCCGCCTGGAAAAGAAGGAAATCTTCGCGCAGGGTTTCTTATCCTTTGAAACAGGGGCGGAGGAAGTGACGCAACACGGGTACGTGAGTAGCTTTCCGCCGTTTCATTGGCCAGGATGTCTTGCGTTTGTGCAGAACCCCTTTCATTAGAAGGCGGGTCTTCTGATTATCCAATCCGGAAACCGTTCCCAACGGTCCTCGGCCGCCATGATAGTGTGGGGCAAGGAATCACGTGGTGTGGAAGGCGACTCTGCTAGGGAGGGGCTGTTCGGCCTCAGCCGCCATATTTTTGAGGGGCGGCTAATCTCTCGCGCAAACTGCCCGCCGCGTTTGCGAGGTGAAGCGCTGTTACCCCTTTCAAGCGACAGCAGGGTGTACGACAGCATGCAGGTGGCGCAGCCTGGGTCAGGTGCTTCCTCCAGGTTCCCACTGCTACCACCATCAGAGCGCGTATCATCCTGTACTTGTGACTCTCTTTGTCCCATGTCTTCTCTCCCATTGACCAGAAGCCCTGAGAGGGCTAGGTTGGTTCTGACTAGTCTGGGGGGCCTGAATTGCCTGGCACTGGCCCAGGGCCCAATGTGACCTCAGAAAACAGGTTTTGAATGAAACATTGCATTAACTGAAAAACGAAAATGCCAACACCGACTGCCCCATCCACACCCTGTCCCATCCACAGACAGGCTTGGTTAGAGCAGGTGGAAAAGGATTTATATACAACTTCCTGGGGGCAAGGGCTTTGTACAGAGGGAGGCAGGTGGGGCTGGGGCCGGCGCTGGGTGCTGGCGTTGCCTCCATCCTGGGGAGAGAGTGACAGGGGCAGTGCTGTCCAGGAAGGGACCAGTCTCTAGCTGACTTCCTCCAAGTCCCGGCTCTGTGTCTTCTGGCAGGTGACTCCTCTCTCTGGGCCTCAGTGTCCGCCTCTGTAAAATGGGATGATAGATGTGTCAGTCTCACTGGGCAGATTGAAGATCCATGGACAGAGGAGAGGGAAGCATGAAGCTCAGGTCTCTGTACACGCTCCCTGCTGAAAACAACCAGCAGTGCACAGCCAGGGATCGCTGTGTTAGGGCCTCGCTGTCCAAGAGAACTCTGCAATAATGGAAACTTCTAGATCTGTGCTCTCCAACATAGCCATGATCCCAGCCACGTAAACATTTGAGCCCTCCAAATGTGGCCAGTGCACCTGAGTTTTTAATTTTACCCAATTTTAACTTTAATAGGGTAGTTATAGGGAGTGTGAAAAGCACAGGGACAGGGGTAGGAGGAAAACTTCTCCATGTATTACTTAAAAAAAAAATTGTAATAAAAATTACTGTTCAGAAACAAGTGTTGAAAAATCATTAAATTTAGAAACTGATCCTTGATTCAGTTATTGTAAAAGTTGTTTCAAACAACTGGCAGGTGAATCTTTTTGCGACTGTAAAGTCCATGAAATCTGAGTACATATCCAGTATTTCTGATAATAATTTAGCCTCTGAGTTGATATGTGCTGTGACGGTAGCATACACACTGGATTCTGAAGACTTGGTATGGAAAAAAGAATGTAAACTATTTTAATAATTTTTAAAAATACTGATTACATGTTGAAACAGCAACATTTTGGATACACAAGGTGAAATAAAACATGGGGGGGCAAAAAAATGTATGCATATGACTTGTATTCATCTTTTATTATCAGTCTATATTGAGTATTACAATTTTAATAGTTTTTTCCTTTCTTAAAATGTGTATACATTTTTGGGGGGCACCCTCTGTATATTCTTTAACGTAACCTGTTTCTTTTTACTTTTTTTTTTAAATGTGGCCATTTAGAAAATTTAAAATTACATGTGTGGCTTGTGTTCTATTTCTGTTGGACAGCGTTGCTCATGTGTCACTTCACTTAACCTCTGGACAATTCTATGGTAGGACTGTCATTAGTCTTTTGTACAAAAAAAGAAACTGAGGCAGAAGAACGAAAGGCACAGATGCCAGAACCAGACAGCCCAGAGTCAAATGTTGGCTTGTCACTCACAAACTGTGTGACTTTGGGCAAATTATTTACCTCTCTGTGCCTTGATTTCAGAGTCTATGAAACAGCGATAATAATGGCACCAGCTTCTCAGTTACAGGAGTGAATTTGCGGAAAGCCTCAGCACAAGGCCTGTGTCACTGAGGCACTACACATGCAAGTGGTTACTGCAAAATGTTTCTTGCTAGATCTCTCTGGGCCCATCAGGAATCCACTGGAGCCCCTCTTCCTTTGTTCATCCTGATCTGCCTGCCTCCTGCCCTCACATCTGTTCCCAGGATCTTTCCTCCATCACACACCTCCCATGTGGCTGCTACCCTGGGCAGGAAGCCCCAGCTTCCTTGCCTGGCCTTTGAGGCCCAGATTTTTCTGTGGCATGTTTCAAATCCCCACGCACACCTGTCCCAGGCTGAAACACCCTGAGCTTTTTCACACCTGGAGGGTTTTGCGAAGGAGGGGAAGGAGTCCCTCTACCTGCTCCAGGAGGCCACTCTCCCCTGGCTTGCAGACTCCTGCATCTAAATATTTCCCCTGGGATCCCTCACACCCACAGGTCCCCACGCAGTCTTTCCCCAATCTCCTTCCTCCCCCAGGTTCCCCACTTTCCACCCAGTCACTGGGCCAGAGCCAGGGTTGTCTGTGCCACTATCCCCCAGCCTGTCAGTCTCCAACCCTGTCTGTCCCTCCTGATCCCTGACCTCTCACTCACCATCCCCTCTTCTCCATCCCTATGGAGAAAGTCCCAGCCTGGCCCAGCCCTTGTCCTCTCTTCCTGGACCCTCTCCCCACCTCCTCTTTGGTCTCCAGTCTCTCTTCCAGTCTGTCCCCATCGTGGCTCTAGAGGGGTCTTCCCACATCCAGGGCTGACTCCTCCCCCCAACCTGGCTCACAGCCCTACACACACACACACACACACACACACACACACACACACACACACACACACACACACACAGATCAGGGTCCTCAGTTCAGTAAAAACTCACTGAGACGAGTCAGTGCTCCACCAGCCACAGGGGATCCTGGGGACTGCAGGCAGAAGGCACCTGCAGNCCCCACCTCCTCTTTGGTCTCCAGTCTCTCTTCCAGTCTGTCCCCATCGTGGCTCTAGAGGGGTCTTCCCACATCCAGGGCTGACTCCTCCCCCCCAGAAATTATTAAGGGATACACACACACACACACACACACACACACACACACACACAAAGTTCAGGGTCCTCAGTTCAGTAAAAACTCACTGAGACGAGTCAGTGCTCCACCAGCCACAGGGGATCCTGGGGACTGCAGGCAGAAGGCACCTGCAGCCCTTACAAGGTCAGCTATTGTTGGGTGACTGAGGCCTCTGGCCACTCCCTCAACCCACCCCACCCTCTCTGCCCACCCTGCTGGCTCACCGGCTCTCCAGGGTGAAGCATCCTCCGCCTCCTCCTTCGCCAGTGCAGGCACCAGGCAGCAGCCAGCAACAGGAGGGCCGTGGGCAGCAACAGCACAAGGAGCAGCATAGGGGCCTGAGGGGCTGGCAGGGCTGTGGCCCCCAAGGCCCAGGGACTTCTTGGGGGCAGCAGGGTGGAGGAATCTGGGGGGAGAGGGGAGGCCGGGTGACCAAGGAGAAGGGAGAGGCCAGGGAAGGAAAGAAAAGCCTGCCTAGTGCTGGCTGTGTGACCTCGGGCAGACTGCTGGCCTCTCTGTGCCTGTTTCCTGATCTGTAAAATGGGGACCATCATTATACACACCTCATAAGGTTGTCACAAAAATTAAATGAGCACATATACAGAAAGAGCTTGGAACAGTGTCCAGCACATAGGAAGGTTACATATTTTATAACTCAACAAATGTTTCTAGTGCTTATATATGGATTTGTTTATTCTTCTTCATCCCTTACTAGTCTGTGAGCTGCATGTCGGTGACAAGACCCTTATCTGTCTTATTTATTGCCAGAACCCACTGCTTAGTGCTCATTAAATCATATTATGAGTTTAATTTTACATAAATTACATATTTGAGTGAATAAATAAATAATAAACAATAAAAGATACAATGTTTGAAGCTCTGTTGGCCTACAAAGCCTCACACCATCTGGCCCCCTTCATTCCCTCTGTACTCGCATCTCTCACTCTCTCCTCTTTGCTGGCTCCAGCTACACAGGCCTCCTCACTGTAGGCAGGTTTCTGCCTCAGGGCCTTTGCACTGGCTGTTCCCTTGTTTCCAACTTTCAGTGACTTTCCAACCACCCACCTCAGGCTGTTATTCTATCACCTCATTTTAAATTGTCTGTATAGGGCTCATTAAACTTAGTTATTTTCCTGTTTATTTGATTGTTTCCAGGTTTATTGTCTGTCTCCTGATTAGCATGTCTGCCCCACATGTGCATAAATTTGGTCTTTTTCCATGCTGTGTCTCGTCTCCAATGCCAGACACCAGGAGATAGATAATAAACCTTGCTGAGGGGGCAGCCAATTAGCTCAATTGGTTAGAGCGCAGTGCTCATAACACCAAGGTTGCTGGGTCGATCCCCACGCCCTCCACAACTAGATTGAAACAACTACTTGATTTGGAGCTGATGGGTCCTGGAACAACATGCTGTTCCCCAATTAAAAAACAAACAAAAAAACCTTGGCTGAGTAAATGTATAGCCATAAATGTAAATACAAATGACAAAGCCAAATATAAGTGAGAAAATCACTGGAAATGCAGGGAGAAATTGAGAAAAATCTACTTAGAGTGAGTTTTTCTTTCTAACTTTTTAAAAATGGCTACTAGAAAATGTACATTTAAACATGTGGCTCTCCTTATATTTCTATGACACAGGGTCATCTTAGAGGGGTTATTGTCCCTTTTCAGAAATGGGTAAACTGAGGCCTGGAAAGGGGAATGAACTTGGGGGGAAATGCCCAGTCACACAGCCCATGGGAGCAAATAGGGTCTGGGATGCCCTGAGTGGAGGGTGTGACGAGCTGTGAGGCTGTGAGAGGAAGGGTTGGGTTGAGGGGCTGGGGGACTGGGAGCCTTTACCCGGCTGACACTGCAGCTCCAGGCACCCGGAGAAATTCCGGTGGGTGATCCAGGGCTTCAAGGCCAACAGCTGCTTGGAGGTGTCCTGCAGGAGGTGGGAGATGTTGGTCTGGACGAAGCGAAGACAGCTGGGGAGGGGCTGGGGGCAGGGGAGGGAGATGTCACCACAGCATCACCCCCATCATCTCCTCAGGCCAAGGGCCTTCCCTGCTCGGCAATGCCCAGCAACAGGACCCAGTGAGGCCTGGGTCTCAGAGGGAGAGTTTGGACCCCTGATCCCCCTGGTTGCTAGGGAAGCATCCTTAGCAATGCCCAGCAACAGGGCCCAGAAAGACCTGGGTCCAGAGGGCATTTAGATTCCCTTCTTCTCCTGGTTGCTAGGGGAGAGAACCCCTTAGCAACAGGGCCTGAGAAATACATCAGGATTGGTGCTTTGGGCCCAGACCCCTCACCATCCTCTGGTGCCTAGGGAAGTATTATTCCCCAGGAATGGGGCCCCCAGTGGGGCTGGGGTTCCAGCTCCACCTCCCTTGAGTTGCTCCGGTCAAAAGAAATCTCCAGTAAGGCCGAGGTGAGCTTCACTTCCCATTCCCTAGGAAGGCATCTCGCTCCCCTCACTTGTCCCCCAAGTTCAGGGCTGACCTGGAAGGCACATAAGGTGACAAAGTGTATCTCGGTGTTGACAGCCTCCAGCAGGTTTTCCATCTGGGACCCAGCCACAGTCTTGAGCCGTCCCATCCAGCGCTGGGCCAGGACTAGGCGCCAGAAGGCCCCACAGAGCTCATCCTGAGGAGAGACAGCCCAAGCTCTGGGGGGCTGGGAGTAGGGGCTGGGGGCCTGAGGGAGGAGAGGGCTGGGGCCCCAACTCCTGAGTCTGAGGGAGGAGGGGCTGGGGGCAGGGGCTCCTGGGTCCAGAGGAGGGGACCAGGTTGGCCAAGTAGCCTGGACCCCTGAGAGGTAAAGTATCTTGAGCCTCTTCCCCACCTCCATCCCAGGCCCCTCCCATCTATGACTCACATCCTGCAGGTTGGAGGCAACGGTGACTGGGTAATCTTGAAGCAGGTAGTCAGACTGTGGGAGAAAACGGGGTTAGGCGGGGCTGAAGACAGGAGGAAACAGAACTATGGAGACCCAGGGGACTAGGGGATAGGGAGCCACAGAGACCAAGACCCAGACAGGGAGAACTGAGACCCAGCGACAGAACCTCTGAAAGGGGCCGCAGGAGAGGGTGGAGCCCACTCACCAGCTTGCGGATGGTGTCAGGGAAGGTGGAGGAGATGGGGCTGTGGGGGAAGGAGCAGTCGGGCGTCCCACGGAGGCAGGGGCTGAGCAGCAGCAACAGCAGCAGGGAGGTCTGGGGGCGGGGAGCCCTCTATTGGCTCCACACACCCCTCATCCAAGCTCCCCCCCTCTTTCTTTCCCCTTTCTCCTTTCCCAAGGCTCAGTCCATTTCTTCGACTCTCAGTCCCTTTCTCCTTTCCCAAGGCTCAGTCCATTTCTTCGACTCTCAGTCCCTTTCTCTATCTGCTTCCGACTGCTCACCTCTAACCCTCTGTCCCTGTTTTTCTCTCTGCTTCTGTCCAATGCCATCCAGTCTCCTTTGCCCCATGTCTCTCTCTGTCCCCATCTCCCAACTTGGCCCATTGATCTGTCTTTCCTCACCTCTGCCTGGAATCTTCTCTGTCTACCCCTCTGCCCTTCTGTGCTCATCTCTCCCATTGGGGTCCCATCTCCCCCATTTGTACCCACCTCCCTGTTTCTTCCCTCAATACCTGTCATCTCCTCCCACCTCTGCCCATCTCCCCCACTTCTGTCAATCTCCCTCAACTTCAGTTCATCTCCCCCCACCTGTCTCCCTCCACCTCTACCCACCGCTCCTACCCCTGTCCATCTCCCCACTTCTCTGCATCTCGCTTCTCTGCTCTGCCCATCATGACACTGCCCTGCCTTTCCCCTACCTTGCCCCCCAAGTATACGCACAGTTGGGTTCCAGGCTGGCAGCAGCACTATCATCTCGGCCGGGGGCCCCTCATGCCTGTGGCCAGATCTTGCAAGGGACAGAAAAGCGAGTCTTGGACACCCACACCCCAGTCCCTTCCTCGCCCGCCCCTTAACCTCCCCACCCCTCCCTTGGCCCCTTGATGTGGCAAAGTTTCTGCCTCTTTCTCCCTCGGGCTTCCTGCATATGCCCCAGTTACGGTGAAAACCTCGCATCTCCTCTTCTAAGAACCCTGACGTCCTGTCCCCGGAACGCTCCCCAGGCAAGGACCCAGGAACCCGACTCCCACCCCTCCTCCCTCAGCCCCAGGAGGGGGACCCCGGCCCCGCCCCTGGGGGACCCGAGTTCATTTCTCCTCCCGCACCAGGCTTGCCCCAGCTGGGTGTGGAAAGGGCCAGGCTGGGTGACAGCCAGAGATCGAAAGTGAAAGGAAATTTTGGGGGGAGATAAATAAATGAGTTGGGGTGGATCTGGTTGAATCCAGGGGCGCCACCTGGTGGTGATAGGTAGCGGCTCACGCCGCGGAGAGTGCCTCACCCTGGAGGGCTGAAGTTGGGTAAGTTCCCGGAGTAGGACACACACTGAATAGGTACCTGGGGCTCGAACCCGGACCTGTCTCCAACTAGAACCAATGCACATGTGGCAAGGAGGTCACCCTGAGCCCTTCATCTTCGCCCTGAACCCCCAAGCCTTGGCATGGACTTGTGACTCTGCCTCTCACTGCCCACAGAGAGTCCAGTCCATCAGCAAATTTGTTGGCTGACCATCAAAATGTGTCCAGATTCCGATCAGTTCTCAACACCTCCGCTTGCCATCAACCGGGGTCTGTCACCATTCTCTCCCACCTGAGTATCACAGCGACCTCCTCACCTGGCTCCCTGCCTCGATCGTCACCATGCCCACACCCTCAGTCTATTATCCATATCTAGCCAGAGGGAGCTTGTGAAGATGTAAGTCAGCTCACAACCCGCCTCTGCTCCAAACCCTCCCCTGTCTCCCACCACATTCAGATTAAAAGATCAAGTCCTCACTGTAGTCCACACAGACCTGAAAAATCTAGCCGGGTTCCTTCTCTGTCCTGGCCTCCTCGCTGTGCCTGGGACAGGCACACTCCGGCCCCCAGGGCCTTTGCACCGCTGTTCCTTTAGCCTGAATGCCCTCCCCTCCAGATGCCCACAGGGCTCACCCCCGCCCCCATCCCATTCAGGGCTTTGCTCACACACAGGGGCAAAGCCTTCCCCGACCACCCTTTTTCAAATGGCGCTCCAGCTCCGGTCTCCCCCTTGTCACTTATCACCTTCTGACATACCAAGCACTTTATTTACCTTCTTCATTGTCAGTTGTCCCCATTGGGACGTCAACTCCAAGAGGACCACGGTGGGTGTCTGTTTATCCTGCTGGATCTCTAGCACCTAAAACTGTGCTTGGCCCAGAGCAGGTGCTCAATCAATATTTGTTATATGAATGAACAAATGGATACTGGCCTTTTTCCTTCAATATTGTAGTATAAAAGAGAATGTGTCTGGTCTTTGTCTCTGGTTCCTGGAGACAACCTCTAGTCCTCAGAGTTTCCCAGTTAAGGGATAGGAGTGTCTTTGTTATTCATGATGAGGGGCCCCCTGACCTCACCTCAGCTTATGCTAATGAGGTGACTCAGGATGGCGGGCTGGTCAGGCAAGAAAGACGAAACACGTGATTAGAGGGATTGGGGCTTTGAGACACAGGATATCCTAACTTGTGGGACCTTCCACCTCCAACCTCCAGTGAAGGGGAGCAGGCTAGACACTGATTTCCACCTCTGCCTCTGTCTTCACGTGGCTTTGTCCTCTTCTGTGTCTTCTCCCCTTCTGCCTCTTGTAAGGACACTTGTCATTAGATTTAGGTCCCACTTGGATAACCCAGGATGATCTTATCTCAAGATCCTTAACTGAATTACATCTGAAAAGACTGTTTTTCCAGATGTCATAGGTTCCAGTGGTGAGGATGCAGACATATATTTTTGGGGCCCACTATTCAGCTCACTACAGTTCCCCCAAAGCTGTTTCCCACCTGTGGGCCTTTGGGCTGTGCCCTCTGCCTGGGATGCTGCCACTTTTCTAGCCTAATCAGATCCTCATTGTACTTCTAGACTCATGCAATCATCAATCATCAGGGAAATGAAAATCAAAACCACAATGAGATACCACCTCACACCTGTAGAATGGTTATAAAAAAGACAGGAAATAACAAGTGTTGGTGAGGGTGTGGAAAAAAGAAACTGTTGTGCACTGTTGGTGGCAATGTAAAATGATGCAGCCACTACGAAAAACATAGTATGGAGGTTCCTCAAACAATTAAAATTAAAACTACCACATGATCCAGCAGTCCCACATCTGGGTATTTATCCAAAGGAAATGAAATCAGGATCCTTAAGAGATATCTTCACTCCATGTTCACTGCAGCATTTTTTACAATAGCTAAGACATGGAAACAACCTAAGTGTCCACTGAGGGATGGAGAAAGATGTGAGATTATAATATATACATAATATACATATATATTCTTCAGCCATTAAAAGGAAATACTATCATTTGCAATAACCAATAACGTGGATGAACCTGGAGGGCCTTATGCTAACTGAAATAAAGCAGACAGAGAAAGACAAATTGTTTGATCTCGCTTACATGTGGAATCTAAAAATGTCAAACTGAGAACTGAAGAGTGGAACAGCGGTTGCCAGGGGTTGGAGGTGTGGGGTAAATGGGGAGACGTTGGTCAAAGAATACAAACTTCCAATTAGAAAATGGGTAAGTTCTGGGGATATGATGTACAGCATGGTGACTACAGTTAATGGTACTGTATTCTATATTGCACACTTGAAAGTTGCTGAGAGTAGATCTTAAGTGTTCTCACCACAAACACACCCAAAGGTAATTATGTGATGTCATATGTGTAATTAACTTGATTGTGGGAATCATTTCACAATGCATATGTATATTAAATCATGTTGCACCCCTTAAAAAATCATATTGTAAAACAGAAATATATATAATTTTGTCAATCATACCTCAATAAAGCTGGAAAAAAAACCCCTCAATGTAAATAGCACGTTCCTTGGGAAGATTCCCACCACCTCTCTCATTCTCACCCTACATGAGCACGTGTGCACAAAAACCACACACACACACACACACACACACACACACACATTCAGGCTGGGTAGGGTGCCTTCTCTGGGTCCTGAGTACCCTGATCTTCCTCTATTATTATAGTACATGTCACCTTAGGTTATGTCTAAGTGTCTTTCAACCAGAGTTGAGCCTACCTCTCCTCTGATCACAGGTCCTCTGCGGCTCCCTAGTGCCCTTGAGACATATTTCCAGCCTCCACTGACACCTTGATTTGAGCTCAGTGAAACCCATGTCAGACTTCTGACCTCCAGACTTATAATACACTTGTTTCATTTAAGCCACTAACTTTGTGGTAATTTGTTACAGCAGTGACAGGAAGCTAATTCCCCTTTCACTCACTAGAACATAAACTCCATGAGGCCAGGTTGTCTTGTTCATGGCAGTCTCCCCAGCACCTAGAGCAATGCTTTACTTATAGGAGGCACTCGATAGATATTTGTTGACCAACTGGATGACTACATTGATTAGGAGAGCCCACCCTCTGGACTGAGGTGATTGGCCCAGAAATGGACCTAACCCAGGCTGGCCAATCAGATTTCCTCCCCTGAGGATGTGACGTTGAGCATCACCAACTGGTCTGGGGTGGTGGTATCATTGACCTACTGCAGCTGGCTTTGGCTGGTGAAAGCAGAATAGAAAGGACAGCCATGGAATCTGGGAGGTTGTCAAACCACAGATGGGAACTAGAGCCTTCCAGGGACTTTCCTCTAGCTCTTGCATTCCTATGTCTCTCCTGTCCAAACAGCCAGATCCTGGGACTTGCTGTATTCCACAGAGCTACTGTGTTTTATTTTATACCAGCGCACCATGGATTCCCAGGCAGCACATAGACAGAGAACGTCAAGGACCAGGAGCCACCCGATGGAGATAACCAGAAGAGACAAGAGGTCCTGCGGCCCTGTCCCGGGCTCCTTAGAGTCCCCTTTATCTGTTTCACAAACACTGCGGTATACTGGAGCCAGCCCATTGGGCTGCTGAGTCACAGAACTGAAGTGGCCCAAACAGATCAAAAGTTACTACTCGTTCCCTCCCTCACAAGCACAGCCAAGGTTGGTCAGAGTTTATTTGAGGGCACAGAAAACAAAGTAAGAGGAAAGTTCCAAGCATCTGGAATCTGTCGGGATCCAACTTTCCACTGTCCAAGATGGAGTGGGTGGCACTCAGGCATCAGTCCCCCATGGGCAGCCACAGGGACTTGGTTCGCGCTGCCCGAAGCTCTAGCTCCGGGCCTGTCCCCTTGGCCTCCTGATCCCAGGCCCGCGGGCAGCCCCTGTTCACCCACACGGGCTTCAGGTTTCCTGCCGAGGCCCATTCCACAAACTGGGAGCCCTGGCATGGAGAAAGCGGGGGGGATCAGCATTCCTCCAGCTTGGTTGATAAGCAGCTGCTTCCTTGGCAACAAGGACTATTACTAAGGAGGGGCATGAAGGCTTGATGTAGGCCCTGTTGCTATAATGCTCAACTGCTAGCAAGCAAACCTTTCAGATGCTAAGGGAAACGGGGGCTGACCTTTGTGGGGAACTTCCTTCCCCGTTGGCAGCCCATGTTCAAAGGAATGGGGCCTAAGGTTTTTGTTGACAAGTTCTCATCAGGTTTCAGAAGGTAGACTGTGGGGTTCTGACTGTTGCTAGGATGTGGCCCTTAGCAACAGGTTGTCCAACACAATTAGGTCTTTGGGCTGGGCAGATCTCAGGCCCTTGTTGCTAAGAACATCTTCTTCCTTAGTAACTGGGGCTCTAAAAGAGCAGGACCTCAGAACCTGGTTGCCAAGGAGTTTCTCCCCCTTAGCAATGGGAGTTTTAAGGGGGCAGAGCCATGTTCCCAGGAAAGGAAGAGCCTATTGGTAAAGTTTAAGGTGCAGAAGACATCAAAACAAAGGGTACCTGGGCAGATCCAAAATACCACAGGGCCTGGACATCCTGGTGCAAAGCCAGGCAGCGGGTCAGGTGGTCCCGGTCTCCTGTCACCACATTCACCAGGCCCACTGGCAACAAGGTAGCCATATCCTAGGGGATGGAGACAGCAGGCCATCTGGGGTTAGAAGGAGTCTGAGACCTGAGGGTGGTGGGGGCAGATGAGTGTGTATCTGGGGCAGTGGACATGGGGCTGTAAGAAGGAATGGGACTGGGTCATGACTTGAAGGCTTGTGGTCTGAAGAAAATGGTCACTAGGTCTAAAGGAGTGAAGACTTGGACGCCTCGACTGAGGTTACCATGGTTACCAAGGGGGTAGGGTGAGAGGGAGCTCCATGCAGGTATTGGGGGACCTTTCATCCTTCTGATGCACAAGGGGCTGCTGGGAGCAGCAGCAGGAAGGCAGGTGACTGTACCTGGCAGACATCCAAGACAGGGAAGGGACAGGTCCCGCTGGGCACCAAAACCACAGTGTTGCCATAGGCCAGGGCGAGGGCCAGGAGGGACACAAAGGCAAGCAGGGGCCACTCATCCGGGCACACAATAGCCAGCACTCCCAGCGGCTCCCGAAGCCGGAGCACAGGGCCTCTCAGCTCAGTTACCTGTAGGGGATAGGCAGGAGGTCAAGGGCAGGGGAGGGAGACCAACTGCCCTCCCACAGCCTCCTCCTTCACCTGCCCCTTTCCTCCTCTCATTCCCTTCTTTGCTTCTCCATAACAACTCTAATAATAATACAACCAGGTGATGGTTCAGAGCCAGGTAGACTGGATTGAAGTCCCAGCTCCACCACTCACCAGCTGTGTGATCTTGAGCGAGTTACTTAACCTCTCTGGGCCTTAGTTTCACATCTTTCAAACGAGGGTAACAACAGTACCTATTTCAGAGATTTGCTGTTAAAATAAAATGAGCTAATGTGTGTAGGGGGCTTAGAACCTAGTCCATGGATTTGTGTTATTTAAAAAAAAACAAAAACCTTTGTAATTGACATTCGCTAAACTCACACATTTTAAAGGGTACAATTTGATAAGTTTTGACACGTATACATCCATGAAACCATCACCATAATCAAGGTAATGAACTTCGCTCCCCAAATTTCCTTGTGCCCCTTTGTGATCCTTAGCTCCTGCCCCTATTTGGACCCTTTTTGTCCTCAGATAACCACTTCCCTGCTTTCTCTCACTATAGATTAATTTGTATTTTCTAGGAATTTCTAGCTATGGAATCACACAGTCTGCGCTCTTTTTTATCTGTCTTTTCACTCAGCAGTCATTTTGAGATTCATCCATGTTATGGCACATTCACTCCTGATTGCCGAATAGGAAACCATTGTAAGCTGTACCACATTTTGTTTATCTATTAACCTACTGAAGAACATCTGGGTTGCTACCAGTTTTTGGCTACTATAAATAATGCTACTATAAACATTTATATACCAGGAGTGCCAAAAAAATTTATACACATGACTTGTATTTATCTTTTGTTATCGGTATATATCGAGTATTACAATTTTAATACAGTTTTTTCCTTTCTTAAAATATGTATACATTTTTTTGGCACCCTCCGTATAAGTCTTTGTAGGGTAAATGCTTCCACTTCTCTTGGCTTAAAACCTAGAAATTAAATTTATCTAGGTAAATACTTAGGGATCACAGCCAGGTTATATGGTATAAGAGTATGTTCAACTTTTTAGGAAATTGCCAAACTGTTTTCCAAAATGGTTGTCCCAGTCACATTCCCATCACTAGGGTATGAATTCCAGTTCTTCCACACCCTCACCAACACTTGGTATGGTCAGTCTTTTGAATTTCAGCTGTTCTAATAGGTGCATGATGATATCTCATCGTGGTTTTGATTTGCATTTCTCCATTTTTTCATGTGCTTATTGGCCATCCATAAGGAAACAGTTTTTGAGCCCTAGGCTATATGTCAGGCCTTGAGTACTTAGTTCATTTAGTCTTCAAAACAACTCATCAAGGTCCATACCATGGTATATTTGTATAACTGCATATAATTTATGGAGGACACCCAGGTCAAATGACTTGCTATCTTTCTCTTATCTTTCTATTATCTCTATCCCTGAGCGCTCCTGTGCCATCGCCTGAGGTGCTGAATCCTCACTTACTTCAGTGGACCCGCCATGTTTCATGCCAACCCAGCACCTATATTTAGTTGTATATTATGTATATAAATGAAACAAGTCACGTCAAGCAATAGTCTGTGCAATGTACTCTATATTTTCTACTCTATTCTCTTGTTTAAAAAAATCATGGCTACAACCCACTAAATTGATTTAATGACCCAGTAATGGGTCACTAACAACAATTTAAAACACTGCCCTGTGAGGTGGACCATATGGCTATTATACAGATGAAGAAATCAAGATACAGAGAGGTGAGACCACTTGCTGATGATCATGTAGCTTGGGCCCCAAGTCTGGCTCATTCCAAAGCCTTTGCTCTGACCCCACTCCAGACTGCCCGCCCTGTGTCTGCTTGCCCACAGACCCCTCTTACCTGCAGGTAGTGGCCTTGGGTCTGGGCGCGTGCCCCCCATGCCCGAAGCCGCCTCACACTCAGCTCCACCTCCGCCTTGGCTGCCTTGAGCTCCACTCCCTGCCTCTCCAGTCTCAAGGCCAAGGTGGACTCCCGGCGCTCCAGGGCAGCTGCCAGTGCCCACAGCAGGGCTGCCCGGGTCCCTGGCGACTGGCTCACCCAGCTGTGGGCAGACAGTGCACATTAGGGGCCAGTATTCTGGTCCTGGCTCTTCCCAGGTGCCCCTTCTCTGTCCATAGCCCCTACCCTCAGGGTCTAGGCCACATGGCCCATTCACCCAGGGAGGGAAGTAAAGGGCCAGACCTCTAGCCCATCAACCCTGGTTGCTCCGACTCCACAGCTCATCAGCCCTCAGGGTTCAGACCCCATAACCCATCAGCCCTTGGGGGTCCCACACTATCCTCTCTGCCACCCCATGACCCCTGGGTTTTCCTGTGACACTCCCTTACCCAGGGGCAGCCTGGTGAGCAGCCTCCACAGCACCTCGAATATCCTTGGCTCCACCCTCAGCCACATAGCCATGGAGATTGCCGTGTGAGTCCTGGATGGGCCTGGAACTCCTGGACCCAGGAGCCTGGAAACGGCCTCCCACGAAGAGCCCATAGGGGGGTGCTGGACTGGAGTAAGGTGAGGCACGAGGGTGGGTTGGGGCCAAAGTCTGCTCAGAGCCCATTTGCCACCCCAGCTCCCATGAGCTTCTGCAGGACCCCAAATTCCTGGTCCCATGAGTCTCTGGGAAAGCACAGGCCATTTAACAGAACTGAGGCTCTCATCAGGCCTGGGCAGTGGGTGTGAGACCAGTAAGACTCAGAACGTAATTCTCAGCAAGACTTAGGGACCCCTCGATGGCTCTAACAAACCCCCCTTTAGTCCATGGGAGAGCCTGCCACACAATCTTTTGCTTCTTCCACAGCCCCTGGGATAGCTTACCTGGGCCCTGTTTCAGGCCCAGCAGGTAGGGTTGAGGGGACAGCAAGGCCAAAGGTGTCATAGTTCATATTCTCAGAAAGGTAGGGCAGCCGGGCAGGGGTCCCTGAAGGCTGCAGATACTCATATAGGCCCTATGAGAGGGACAGTGTCAAGAGAACTCAAGGTGGGCACAAGGTGGATGAAGTGGTGGTGACGGTAGTAGGTGGGGAGAGGAGTGCACTCACATCTAGGCCCCCGTGCCAGGAAGATCCACTCTCCTTGCAGCCACCTGTGGGCACTGCAGGGTCCCTGAGGCCGTGGGCATTGATCCAGACTGTGCCCATTTGGAGCCTGCAGGGGGAGAGATGGACACAAGAGAGAAAAACAGAAAGTTGAGAGGTGGGTGGTGAGTCAAAGAGGTTGGGGTGAGAGAGATCCAGAGAGAGAGGAAGACATCAAGACTGAAGCTTGGGCCACCCCAATAGGCTGCTTTTCGTGCCCCAGTGGGTGCCGACTAACCTGTAGCCCAGTTCCAGGGCTTGCCCCAGCCTCTCACACCACACACTGGCACTCCCTCCTCGGGGCGTCCCATTGGCCATGGCCAATGCCTCCTTGGCTGTGCGAAATGGGGAAGCCACAACTAGAGGCCATGGCACCTGAAAGGGTGACGAGGGAGCTCAGAGGGCTTGGCCAGGCCCTCCCTCCAATACTCGAACCATTAATGGACCAGACTCCAGCAGTCAGCAGCCCCCACACCCAGGCCAAATGGTCACCCAGGGGCCTCTGCAGGTGTAGTGCTACTGCCCACATCTGGGTGTGGATGGGTGGTTGGAATAAGACCTCTGGGACCCTAAGGGGCTCACCTCTGCCTGGGTACATGGGGAGGCTGGGGGTAGGTCAGAGACCAAAGTTGGGGGGAAGAATGGGCTATCTAAAGGCACATCACCAGCCTGGAACACCTGGGGAGAAAGAGAAATAGATCTAGAAGTCCACTCCCAGTGGTCTCCTGCCTCAGACCCAGGAGTACAGGCCCCCAGTCACTCTTCTCTCAGATCCAGGAATCCAGCCCCAGCCCATCCTCCCTCAGACCCAGGAGTCCAGACCCCCAGACCCCTCCCTCAGAACCAGGAGTTCAGGCCCCTAGCCCCTCCTCTCTCAGATCAAGGTCCCACCTCCCCCAGCATCCTGGAGTCTGCACCCACCCAGCTCACCTGTGCGCCCTGGCTCTGGGCCTCGCACACATAGCGCTGGGCTAGTTCATATGCAGCAGCCCCTCGGACTCCCATATCCACGGCCCCGTCCAGCCCTCGGCCGCTACGAAGCCGCCCCATCCGCGCCTGGAGCCTCCTCATAGTCTCATCCCACACAGACTCCTGGATGAGAAGCCTGAGGCCTCCCTATTAGGAAAAGGAATATCAAGGTGGGCGAACTCAGGGCCCATATCGGGGGGGTACATGTCCCCACAGAAGGCTGAGACTCAGGGACACACATGCCCAGATCAGAGGAAGCTCAGGGAAAAGTGGCCGAGGACCCTGGAGACACTCCAAGGCCCCAGGCTCCAGGCAGGAGGTGGAGTTACAGAAAGTTGGTGATTCAGAGTGAAGACAGAGGTTGGAAAACTAGGGACAACAACACAGAAAAACGAGGAGTCCTAAAGAACAAGAGACACTGACCCATGCCCCCATAAGACCAAGAGAGCCGAGATATGAAGACTCAGAAACCTGAACTGATAAGGAGTCCTGCAGATGCTGTGGTGTAAAGACTGTCCTGGGATGCAAAGAACTGAGGTTGAAATGAATGGAGACACTGGGCCCCAAGGTCTGGAGAAAGATGCATATGGCCCCCAGGACACGAGGGGAAACGAGTGCAAGGCTCTCACCGGGCTGCGATCGGACCAGGCTGCATCCACGATGCCCTCCACAGCCGAATCCACATCTGCCGTCTCTGTCAGCAGCAGCAGTGACTCGGCCCCCAGTGCCAGGCCCAGCTCTGGACCTATGCCTGCCAGGGTCCGCCGAAGGGCACGTCCTTCCTGAGGGACCCCCAAAGGGGTTCAGCTAGCAGAGGAGCTTTCCGGCTCCCCAGCCCTGTCCTGTCCCCCTCCCAGCCCTGAAGATACCTCAACAGCTCCACAGAAGGCCACCTTCTGGACTCCAGGCTGGGAGGCCAAGACAGGCCCCAGGGAGGCAGGGCCGCTGATCATGTTGAGGATTCCTGGGAATGGGCCTAACTCCCCTGCCAGCTGGGCCAGGAGGAGGGGTGTTGGGGAGGCCGGGGGCACGAGGACCACCACAGTGCAGCCTGGGGAAGGCAGGTAACTTAAGGACGCAGGAATCCAGCTCCCAGCCCGTCCTCCCTCATACCCAGGAGTCCAGGCCCCCAGTCCATCATTTACCCATAGCCAGGGCAGGGCAAATCCTCCACATCATCTCAAGGAAGGAGAACGTGGGTGGCAAGATGAGACCAATTACTCCTGCAAGAACAAATGAGGGCACTGGCACTGGCACTGGTATTGCTGGACCATGAGGTAGGAGGGGGCTGAGGGCCAGGACTCCTGCTTCTCACCCATGGGCTCCCAGCCTGCCAGCGCCTCCTCCTGGGTGTGTGCCTGGACTGCATAGTGCTGGAGCAGCTGCTGGGCCAGAGGGATATCCCTGTCTCGAACCTCTCGAACGGCCCGCCCAGTAACCAGGGACTCCAGAGTCCACAGCAGCCGCTGATGCTTCTGTATCATCTTGGCCAGCCTGTGGAGAAAGCAAGGGCTATGGTCATTTCCCAGTGCCTCTCAGCTGATAAGAGTCTTGGAACATACCCCATATACCTGGATTACAATAATCCCCATGAAACACTGGGGCATCCCCACCACTTGCCAGGGTTGGAGGGCACCAGAGATTTATGGGAAATGTAGTTCACTACATTAATGGGCAACACTACCTGAGAGTGCCGTGTGAAGACCTCGCCCACCTACCTGTAACCCCCAGAGGTGCTGCGGCTTAGCTCTAATGTCAATTACATTTTGTGAAATGAAATCTTGTCTCTAGCTGCCCCAAAAGTGTGCTGGAAAATGGGCTTTGGGGCTCCATGAGCCCCAGTGAGCTGCTGAGAAATGGAGCCCTGATAAACCCCAAAGATATTCTGGTAAATAGAAGCTTTGTCATTACTAATCCCAATGAATAGTGGGAAATGGATGTTTTAGCCACTAAAGGCCCAAAGACATAAGGGAATATGAACCTTAGGTGCCAATGAATTAGGTGGGATATTGGGAAATAGAATATTTGCTCTCAAGTCCTTCTCCACCTGGTGTCCACACCTGAACTGCATTACCTGGTCAGGTGCTGGGCCCGAGAGGCTCCAGGGACTCCACTCCAGTTTTCCAACGCGGTTCTAGAAGCCTCTGCAGCTGCCACCACATCCTCGGCCTGTGCTTGGAGGCAAGTGGCCAAGTTCTCTCCTGGAGAGATGAATGAAGGGACCCAGAGAGAAGGGGGAGAGCCTGTGGTTGAGATATCTGGAAGCTGGGAGCACCCCAAGGCAGTAAAGCTGGTCCCCAGCCCCAGTGAGTGTCTCAGTTTTATCATCAGACAAATGGGAATAAATGTATTGGTCTTTGTTCTGACTGCCTCCCACGGGCAAGGAAGGGATTTTAATAGATAGTGATTTCAAAAAGTGTCCACAGGAGCTTGGGACCATAACTAGAATGACTTATCAGTAGGAGCCAGAACTCTCAGCCTCTTTCCCCCATTTGCTGCTCCCTGCCCTCAGGGCCCTGAGCCAAAAAATGGGGGGACCTTGGTGGGTATGACTGAAGGCATGGACACCTCTCACTCCCCTAAGGACTGGCGGACACCTCATACCTGTGATGGGATCCTGGCAAGGCACTGAATTCCTGTGTTCCGGCTTCAACCATTTTCCATTTACATAGTGACCCAAGCACCGGTCCAGCGTGTCTAGCCAGGCCTGAGGGAGGTAGAGACAGTTTGGAAAGGGGTCTGGGAGGCAGCTGGGGGAGCTCAATCTCTACCCAGTGTCCTCTGGAAAGGGGACACCTGTCCCCCTTTATCTTATCAGCTAATATTTTTCCTGTGTAGCAGGAAAATACATGTAAACATAAGATACACTTAAAGTAAATTCACCACTTTAACCATTTTAAAGTGTACAATTCAGTGGTATTTAGTACATTCACAATGTTGGGCAACCGTCACTTTTATCTAGTTCCAGAACATATTCATCACCCTAAAAAGGAAACTCTGTAGCCATTAGGCAGTCACTCTCCGCTACCCCCAACCCCTGGCAATCACTAATCTGCTTTCTGTCTCTATGGATTTGCCTGTTCTGGACATTTCATGTAAATAGAATCTTACAATATGTGACATTTTGTGGCTGGCTTCTTTCCCTTGGCAAGTTGTTTTTGAGATTCATCAATGTTGTAGCATGTATCAATGCTTCATTTCTTTTTATGGCTGTATGATATTGCATTGGCTAGAACACATTTTATTTATCCATTCATCAGTTGATGGTTATTTGGGTTGTTTCTGCCTTTTGGCTACTCTGAATAGTGCTGCTATGTGTTCATGTGCAAGTTTGTTTGAACACCTGTGACCCTTGCCAGGACCCTGGAAGCAATAGCCATGAGACAAGTGGTTGCTAAGCCAAGTGTGTGATGGTGTTCCCTCCCAACTCAACTGTCATCACTTGGGGACCCCCCACTGAAGTCAGGCTGGACACTGCCCTGCCAGGTGCAGTTTATCCAGCTGTGACACATCTAACTGAGCCCAAGGCATAGCAAATGGGCCTTGCAGAGGGGCAGCCTAGAGTGGGGGTCCTTGGAGCTAGGGTCTACACGGCCTGGGTTTGAATCCTGGCTCCAATACTTACTCATTGTGCAACCTTAGCCAGGGTCTTGTAAACACCCTGGCCTCTGCTAAGCCATCTGGAAAATGGGCATGATGACAGTCCCTCCCTATTTCACAGGGCTATGGTGAGGATTAAATAAATCATACATGTTATGTGCTCAGAGCAGCACTACTTAATACTTTCTGTTCATTTTATTGCATCTTACCCTCCACATAGGCTTCATGTTTCTCTCCGTCCCTGGTTCTGTCTTGCCCAAATCCTCGCTAAATCTAAGAAATGCTTCCCACTTTTTCTTCCTACAAACTCTTCTCTCAGCATCCCCGATGCCATAGTCTCCTGATTTTTCTCTTCCCCTGCCAACTGGCCCTTCGCATTTTTTTTTCAAGTCAAATAGTCAGCTAGGAGCTCCATATTCAAACCTCCACCCCAGAGACAGAGGCATTTTGAAACAGTTGAGGATATACTATATTAAAGAATGACTGTTAAAATATTAAGTGTGAAAATGGCATGGTGGTTATATTACATAATGAGTCCTTATCTGTTAGAAATAAGGATTCAGATATTTATGGGAAAATAACATGACATCTGAGATTTCAATCACTCCAGAAAAAGAGGGAAAAAAAAAGGGATACAACACTGGATCAAATGTTGATGATTGCTGAAGCTGAGTGATGAGTACATGGGAGTTCATAATATTAAGTACGCTGTGGAAATTTGCAAAATTTCCCTAAAAAAATGTCCACAGGGTCCTGGCAGACCATGTTGGTGTGAGAAGGGGACCTGGTGGAGACCAAGAACTCACGACTTGTCTAATGCATCCAGATGATTTTTATCAGGGAACATGAGCCAAAGGTTGCCAAATTTGGGGGTTTTATTTTCAAGAGAAGCTGGAATCCCGGATGTTTACATAAAATTAGTTGTCCATTAATTCACATTTTTACAAATAAAGTTTAGGCCAAAGAAAACATGTTTGTTGGCTGAATGTGACCCACAGACTGTAAGGTTGAGACCTGTGCTTGGGGGCCACAGGCTCTGGAATCTGAGGGCTCAGTTTCAAATCTTAGCTTCCTCTTTTAAGCTGCGTTGACTGTGGGCCAATTACATACCTCTTCAAGCCTATGTCTGCTATTACTAAAATAATTACAACAATCCCCTCTCACAGCGGTTCTGGGGATTCAGTGTGATCATGCTGAGCACACAGGATGGCATATAGAAAGCATCCACATTATAATAATGTTATCACATTATTGCTATTTCATGATGGTCCACCCCTAACCAACCTCCAAGTGTGGGAATTCTCTGTACATTGTCCCAGTTCCTCTTATCTGAGTCTACACTATATTTCTAGATAATCTTGTCACTCCTGCGGTTTGATTATCTTTCTGCATTGGTGACTCCCAGGTCCCTTTCTCCAGACTTGAGGCTCAAAGTAATCTGACTCCTACACATGGCCCACAACTGTCCCCAGGTCCTGCACACTCTCACCATGTGATGACCAAGCTCAGTATCTTTCCCCAAGACCCTTCTCCTCCAGGGTTCACCATAGAGGGGTAGGGAGAGACAGCCACCAAGTCACAGGGCCAGACCCCAAGCACTGTCCTTGCTCTCTCAATCCCCCAAACCCCGCTCCTCCTGCATCTCTGCCTCATCCCTCCTCTCCATCTCCACAGTCCGCGCTGGCTCTGGTCTCACCTTTCATTTGGAATACTGTTCTAGCCTTCTCATCTCTCCCTCAAGAGAATCCCAAGTTTCTCAAACTCGGGTGCTAGAGCACCCTGCCCCCTTCATCATGGCCCCAGGAGGGAATTTTGAGGGCATTGCGTAATTATAGAAAATTCAAGGAACCTTATCTACAGGAACCCTCAAAATGTTCTGGAAGACCCTGAAGAGTCACGGGAATCCTAGGGAAGTTCTGAAGAACACCAAGCTCACGGGAGCATCATCAGGATTTTAAGAGGCCCTGAGGACTCATGGGAGCCCCGTGGGGCATTCTGAAAGGTAGTTAGGGATCATGGGGGCTCAATGAGGGTATTCTGAGGGGTTGTAGGTAATTACAGTGAGTTCTGATGTATTTTGGGGTTCTGAGAGTTTCCAAGATCATGTGAGCCCCAAAGCTGCTCAGGGGGCTGAAGAATCACGGGGACTCCATGGAGGTTCTGGGTGATTAAGGGAGCCCCCCAAGAACTCCGGTGGTGGTGGTGGGGCCCCCGGAGGACCATGGGAGCCACAGGATGTTCTGAGGAATCATGGGAAGTCTATGGTGGTTTTGAAGATTCTTGGAAGTTCACGGAAGCCCCACAGGAATTCTGAGTCGGACGGAACCATAGGAGGTTCTGAAGGAGCCCTGAAGACTCACTGAAGCCCCTCAGGGAGTGTTTTGAGGAATAGGGAAACACCACCGTGAATTCGGACCGTGGAGCATGAGAATTACCAAGGATCAGAACAACAGACAAAAAGGATAAGAGACAGAAACTGCAAAGGCTGAAGAGAACGTCCTCCAAGGGTGGATCCTAAGGGGTAGAGGAAATCACGGGAGCCGAGAGGGGCGGAGTCGCTGAGCTGCCGCGGTGGATCACGGGAATCTGCGCGCAAAACGGCGCCCGGAGGACTGCTGGGGGGGGGGGGGTAGCGTCGGCCTGGCAGGCCCTCACCAGTGCGCATGCGTGGCTCTCCGGTACCGGTCCGTACTCCAGCGTGTTGAAGATCTCTCGGGCGCGGGGCACTGCGCGCGTGGCAGCCATCACCAGTCCGGACCGCTTCCCACCGACTGCGGGGTACTCTGCCCAAGGGAACCCTGAGGTCCGAAGAGCAGCACCGCACCCTCCAGCGCAAAGGTCTGGGCTACGAAGATTGAGCGTAACCCCGCCTTAAGACCCGGTGACCCCGCCCATGAGCCCAAGCTGGAGAATGTAGTTTGAATTTTGCGTAGTCCTCAAAAACGGGGGCGGTGGGGGGGGGGAGAGGAAGAATGAAAATGTGAGTTCCTTGCAAATAGTTGGGAGAGCTCTAGGTTTAAGAGTGGCCGTATTGGTGTGTCTTCCCGCCACCCGGTTCACAAAAGTGCAGGTTTTGGTTCAAAATACATTTTTTAGAGAATCGAATATAGTTTTGTGACGAAGCGATAGTTCAGAGATCAGAAAGGAATCTTTTAGGATGGACTCTGAAATTAAGGTTTTGCCAGTGTGCCAATCTTGACTGCTCCGTAACCCGGCCAGATGTGGTTGTCGGAAAGGAGGGGAAGTGTGGCCTTAACCTACACCTGAAGTGTGGCATTTAGTGATCAGCCTCAGAACTTAGTTTTGACTGGTTGAGGTGAGAGGCGTGGCCTCAGACTTAGACTATGATTGGTCGATAACGGAATGGGGTTGCAGGATTCTTGAAAGAGCGTTGGGTTAGTTGGAAATGTGGCCTACTCAAATTCCTGGTTATACAAAGACCGAAAGAGTAGCTGTCACACATTTGGCACGACGGACCTCGAGAACATCTAGATATATTGATTCCCCACAGATTTGACGACGGTATCTGATCTGAGTGGAATTGTAGTCTCCGGCCAGATTCTTCGATTTCCCTACAGAAAAGTAGGTGTTGGGACAAGGTTGAGGGCCCGGCAGCAAGCCCCTGAGTTCAGATCCCTGCGAAGGATCCCCCAAGTAGGGTTTGCTGGGGACGCCTAGGTCTCTTCCCCAGGGCTATGGCGGACTCGAAGCTGGTGGTGCCAGAGCTAAACGAGGCAGAGACAATGGGCACTGAGACGGCGCGTTTCGAGGAGCTGCTGCTGCAGGTGCGGACTGACCAAAACTCCTGGGTCCCTTGCGGGATTTTTTCCCCCCAGAGCTGGTACTACAGTTCCCAGAATGCACTAGGGAGGCAACAGCGCCTACCGGCATTGTAGTTGTTTAACTCCAAGTTAGCTAGGCTCTGGAATAAATGGGAGTAGGACTGGGATTGTGTTTTGGGTTCCTCAGTGAAGGAAGGGAACATAATATGTCTTATTCTCTGCACAGCTCATAGACATAAAAATTGCCCAATAAACATTTGAGAAACAAATGAGGGATCTGATAGCACAGACGCTAAGCCTGAAAATTGTTTTCCTTCACATAGGCTTCTAAGGAGCTCCAGCAAGCCCAGACAAGCAGAACAGAATCAACACAGATCCAACCTCAACCTGGTGAGAAAGGCAGAAACCCAAAGAGAGAGAGTCCCAGAGAGAAATGGACAGACACTGGGGGCAGGGGACACACAGGGGGGATGAGGCACAGTAATGGGGCTTAGAGACTGTAGCGGGGAGTGAACAGATCCAGAGAGAGATCTGAAGAGTGGGAAGACAAGAGTGACAAAGGGGACAGAAGCTCCAAAATAAAAAGAGAGTCAGAGATCCCAGGGGCAGGGAGAAAACAGACCCAGAAAGTAGAGGACTTAGACTCAAAAAGGGGGATTCATCAAAAGGACAGATTGAGGAGAGGAGGGGTGGAAATCAAGACCCACGTGGAGACAGATAATCAGAATCAACTCATTCCCATTAGGCTTCTGCATAAAGACCAACTCATCCCACGGGAAGGTTTTCATCAACATCTGTCACTCTCCCTCTATCCCTCCTCCGGCTGATGTGACTGAGGATGAGCTGCTTAAAATGCTGGAGGAGGACCAAGCGGCGTTTCGCATCCCCATGAGCCTGGGAGAGCCTCATGCCGAACTGGATGCAAGTCAGTACCGTCAAAGGACCCAGGACTCTAGCCTTCCAGGTCCTTTCTTCCCTAGGACCCAAGAATCCAGGATCCAGGACCCTCCTCCCACAGGACCTGGAAATCTAGACCCCCTGATCTGGTCCTTTTTCCCCATGGCATATCCCTAGCCTCCTGCGCCTCCACCACCCGCTACACAAGGCAGTCCTGTTTTTGCCCACCTGGCCAGGTTGGCACTTCTCCCTGTCCCACTTCAGGGCGAGGGAGGGCTGGGCAGGTGCCTCATTAGCTGATTTCCTGGCTCTAATCCCCTGGCCAGCCCTCACTCATCCATTTTCTCCTCTGCCCTTCTTCCCTGTCTCTGTCTCTGCCTTGTCTCACCTCTGTCTCTGTTGCATTTCTGACTCTGTATCTGACTCTTTGGTTTTTCAATTCATATATGTCCCCTGAAGCCTCCTGGAACCAAGTTTTGGGCAGTGCTCTGGGGAGTAGGGACTTACCAAACCCAGAACCTGTGATTTCAATATTGTGTGAATCTTCCTGCGCTGGAGGGGGCTCTTTGAGGGGTCAGGGAAGGCTTCCTGGGGGAGATGTTGGATATAAGACTCAAAGAAACTGAAGTTCATTAGGCCAAGACAGAGAAGAGGGCTCTGGGAAGAGGGGACAGAGGGGTCCAGAGGCCAGAAAGAATGATTGAACAGGGTTGGTCAGTAATTGAGAGAGTGGAAGAAATTGACAGGGAGGAGGTCACTACAGAAGTGAGCCTCTCTCTCCAGGTGGGTGGGGCAGACCACACAGGGCCTCCAGCGCCAGGCTGAAGGACTCAGACCTTCTCCTGGGGGGTTCTGGGAAGTCCTGGGAGGGCTGTGAGCAGAGGAGGGGCAGGGTCAGCTCTGAGACGTGGTGGGGAAGTACAAGAGGGGAAGAGACTGGAGGCTGGTATGAGTCCAGACTGGCAAGTGCGTGTCTTGAGTCCTCACTTCCTAATCGACTCTGAGTCTCTCTGGCTCTTGTGACTGCTGTCCTTTATTTTTTTTCCCCCAGCCTGTGTCTGAGCGGTAGGGTTGCCTCACCCACTTTGTCTCCCTACAGAAGGCCAGGGTTGTACCGCCTACGACGTAGCTGTCAACAGCGACTTCTACCGGAGGATGCAGGTTGGGGGCGGGGCTGCGGGTGAGGCCTGGGCAAGGACCTGCCCCTCCACCCTTTCAAGTCCTCCTGCATCTCTTCTCCCCCTCTCTCTCTTAGAACAGTGATTTCTTGCGAGAGCTCGTGATCACTGTCGCCAGGGAGGGCCTCGAGGACAAATACAGCTTGCAGCTGAATCCAGGTGAGGTGCAGCGCCTGGGCCACGGGGAGGAGCCGAGCCAGGAGCAGCTTAGGGGCACCCCTTGGGAGAGGTGGGCCTAGTGTGGGCATGGGTTTTCGCCCCTTGACTGTGGATTCCAGGGAGAGGGCAAGGCTCCCCAAGGTGAGCTGGGGGCGAGCGTAGGGGGGTGGATCAGGCCCAGGCTTCCAGGTAAGGGGCGGGGTCTCCAGCGGCTCCAGGGATCAGATTTTATTCGAGAATACCCCGAGAAGGGCGGGATTAAGGTTAGCAGGCTTCTTAAAGCCAAGCTTGGGGGTATAGTCAGATCCCTAATCGCCTCCGCCCCTCCTGGAAGAGCTCTTGCAGTGCCAGACCCCCTAAGGGAACCAAGGGAGTCCTGACCCATATGGCCTTTGACCCTGCACTCCCTTCCCGCAGAGTGGCGTATATTGAAGAACCGGCCTTTTCTGGGCTTCATCTCCCAGCAAAATATCCGCTCCAAGCAGCGTCCTCGGATCCAGGAGTTGGGGAACCCGTACACTGCCGACTCCCTGAGACTTGAGGAAGGGTGGGCTTTCGATAGGTTCTCTCATGTTTCCCCAACGCTCTTTGGAATCCCTCTCCCCGCCCCTATTCGTAGGAGGGGGCAGTGTCCTGGGGCTCTGGGAACCCAGAGAGGGGAGAGAGAAGCAGAATTCCAACTAGAAAGGCCACCCTGAGGCAGTAGGGCTAGTAGGAGCAAGAAAGGGAGGGAATCGCATGCCAGGCAGAGGTAACATCCCCTGAAAGACCTGGAGGCTCGCCTCAGTTCTGGGTCTCGTTCCTCCCCAGCCCTGAGAAGCCTCACCTGAACCTTTGGCTGGAAGCCCCTGACCTCCTCTTGGCTGAAATTGACCTTCCCAGACTGGTGAGTGTACCTCAACCAGAGCTGGAGAATGAGGTCTGAAAAGAGTGGGGTCTTCAAGGGAAAGTGATATGGGCTTGTTGTCAGACCTGTGTGAGCCTGGTTAGTGCAGCCCTCTGAGTATGGTTGCCTCCTCTGTCCTATGGGGTCCTCAGGCCCACTTCCGGTGCTGTCCCAAGGATGACCAGGGCATTGTAAGTGATCAGTGGTGGAGAATTGTAATTATCATATTCCACCTTTTTTTCTGGAGTGTTAGACTCTTTAAATATGGTATCCCAGCTCTTGAGTCTTTTCTCCCTGGCCTGTGTTCTTATCGTCCTATGGCCAGAAAGGGAAGGGTGGGCTGATTCTACTGCATCACCAGGATGGAGCTCGGGGGCTGTCGCTGGAGATTGGGGAGAACCACCTGGTGATGGGGGACCACCAGCAGCTGTACCATCTGGATACCTATATCCCCCTTCGGATCAACTCTGAGGAGAGCAAGGCGGCCTTCCATCAGAAGAGAAGGGTACCTGGGGTGGGGGTGGGGCGGGACTTCTGGGTCTGAGGGAGGAGTGGGGGTGGGAGTTGACTCCTGGGTCCTGAATCCTCTCGCCTTTTCCTCTCCTTAGCAATTGATGGTGGCGATGCCCCTTCTGTCGGTGCCTTCTTGACCCAGTGTCTCCTTGTGCTTCCAAGTGGAGAGGAGAGGCTGGTGGCTTCTCTAAAATTGAAATAAAAGATTTTGGCCTTTGCTCTGTGTCTGGCTAGGAATACATGGGGAGTAGGAAGAAGAAGAAGAGACATTGGAATGTAGCCCTGGAGTACCGTAGGGGTCACTGCTCCAGCTCAGGCCTTGTCCTCTCCCACTGGATCCTGACCTCCCACATGGTCCCAGAGCTGACCCTGCCTCTTTCCTGTTCACAGCCCCTCTTTGGCTCCCCAGACCCCAGGAGAAGGTCCAAGCCCCTCAGCCTGGCAGACCAGGCTCTGTGCAGTCTGACCTCCTTCATGCCTCATTTTGGCCTCTGCCTCCCTGTCAACTCGGTCTAGTCACACTAAAGTGTCCTGATCACTCCATATATTACACCTTTTCTTAGTTTCTGCTGTTCCCTCTACTTAGTACCCTCTTCTCCAGCACACCCAGGAGATTTCTAATTGTCTTGCCCTCATAGGTGATGTTTCCTGAGCCCTTTGGTGACCCAATCCATACCATCATCTCTAGCCTCTCCTATCCCTTGTTCTGACAAGCTGCCCATCCCTGGAATTGTGCTTCGTATCAGTTACACCTGTCTCCTCCTTCCCAACTCTGCAAGTACTATTGCCTGAGGCAGATACTCCCCCTCCCCACCAACTCTACCATCCTTACTCCCTTACACACACACACCCAGTCATCATTTATTTATTTATTTATTTATTTAGCTGAGCCATCCTGCCACCTTTTGGCAGCTCAGCGGCAGCTCAGCTCGGGCCAGGCATCGAACTGCTGTTGCTCAGAGCTCAAACTCTTGAGTGAGCTCTTAACCAACTGAGCCACTCAGCCGGCCCTGGTCATCCCTTTTTTGAGCGTTCCCTGGATAGCTTTTCAACCAAGTTTTCTCTGATCTACCCTGGCTGAGTTAGACTCCTCTTCTGGGCGTCCCCTATAACCAGTGTTACTCTCATAGCTATGTCCCTTATGGTGTGATAATGCCTGACACCTAGTAGGAACTCAATAGATATTTGTTAAATTAATGAGTGACTGCTGACACCCTCTCTCTGCAGAGGAGTCCTAGGAGGCTAAGTAAATGGAGGAGCCCGCCTCCATTTCGCAGCCCTTCCATCCTGGTTCTGTTCCTGCCCTCTGGTAAATTGGAAGAACAGCTAGGAGACCAGTGTGACTGGAACGGAGTGAATTATGCGGCGGGGGTAAAAGGGGACTAGATGGTGAGAAGAGGGGAAGGTGCAGGGGATGACAACGGGTAGGGTTTTTTTGGCATCTGAAGGAGCCAAGGTGAACAACGCGTCCACCAGAGGGCGCAACGCAGCTTCGGTCCATTGTCTCAGAGAACTACAATTCCTGGCGGCCCTCGGAGTATGCGGCTTCCCAAGCAAACTGTGGTCCAGAGGCTGCTGGGACTTGTAGTTCTCTTGGGACCCTCCGGGGAAGGCTTGAAGAACTCATTCTCGGGTCCCGACGAAGTGTGGGGCTGGGTCCTTTCTGCCTTCCTCAGTCTCCATGGTGATGGTTCCGGCGAAGGCACGGAATTTGGCAGCGGTCGGGCCTTCTTCCCACTCCCACCTCTTCACCATCTGCTCCACCTTCGCACCTGGCCGGGAGCCGCGGCCGCCGCCTCCGCATCCAGGCAGGAGATTCTGCCGCCACAGGGTGGCGCGTGTGGACGACTCTGCGGGCTACTACTCCCTCAGACCCAGGAGTCCCGGCCACAGCCACCTCCTCCCCGGGGATACGAGGGTCTCTCAAACACAGGCAAAATTGTGAGACCTAGAAACCCAGCGAGACAAAGCTTGGCGAGAGGCCGCGGCAGTGGCTGCCGGGCCAACCCGGGTCCGAGGCTGCCGCCCTCCACGCTTGCTGCTCTTCCCACCCCCTGGCGGGCCTGTGCCACATCATGAAAATTTAATCCCAAATGCATTTGTGGCCCGACGCAGGGAGGCGGTGGGGAAAGAAGCACCCTCCTGGGGCCTGAACCTGGAGGTGGACTCAGCGTCGGGGAAAACGCCTGGTCTGAAGAAAAGAGCCGGGCAGACGGAGGAAAAGTCCTGGTTCAACCCCAGAGGGGCGGGGCTGAAATTCAGGGGTGGAGTAAGAATTTAGGGGGCGGGGACATCCCAGCGGGAAGGGACAGAACTCAAGGGGTCGGAATAAAACTCAGGGGGTGGGAACAGAACTGAAAGGGCGGACAGATCCTAAGGTGGGGAGGAAATTATGTGGGTCGCCACTGGCGACTGGGTAGGGTCAGCGTAACTGTCGGGGATGGAACTCAGACGGGGAAGAAATCGGGGGTAAAATAACTGGGAGGGGGTGCGCCCAGAGAGGAAATAGAAATAAAAGGGGATGGGAATTCAAAAGGGGAAAAATGGAAACAAGGGGGTGGAAGTCAAAGGGGAATAAACTGCATGGGGGAAGAACTAGAGGGGAGAATGGGTGGGTGGAAATGGGGGTTGGAATTCAGAAGGAAAGAATCCCCTGAAGAAGAAAAGTACCTTCTGAATGAGAAAGTTGGAACTGGGGATGACGCGGGATGGGGATAAAAGGATGTGGAACTGGAGGGATGTGGAACTGGAGGGCACAGAAATTAGGAGGGATAAGACTGGGAGGATAAAACGCAGAAGGAAACTCAGAGAAAGATGGAACTGAAGGGGATGAAAATGGGGATAAAATTAAGGGAACTGGAGTTGGGGGGAAAATCTCAGATGGGGACGAGAACTTGGGAGGAGAGTAAATCTGGGATAGATGGAGATGGGTGGGGGAATGGAACGGTAGAGAAACTCCGGGAAGGGACAAAACTGGGGGCAATGCAACTTAGAGGAGTGAATTCAGAGCCCAGTGGCGTAGTCTAGGAATGGAAGGGCGGGGACAGAACCGGGATGGGTGGGCTGGGAAAGGAGGAGGGGTCTAGCATTGGGTGGGTGGGGCCTTTGCCGCCCCGCCCCGCCCCCGACGCTGAGTCCACTGACAGCCTCCAGGCAGCCGGCACTCGCGTTCTCTCTCCCCCCGAGCGGAGCTGCGGGGCCGGCCGGGCGGGGGCGGACCCCGGGAACCCGGACGCGGCCGCCCGGGCCCGCGGGCGGGGGGACCGGCGGGGGGTGAACGGCAGCTAGGGCAGCCACCATGGAGTTCCGCCAGGAGGAGTTTCGGAAGCTAGCGGGTCGCGCCCTCGGGAGGCTGCACCGGTGAGCGTGGTGGGGGTCTTGGGCGGGGAAGAGCGAGAGGGTCTGAGGAGGACGCCCATTCCCACCTGGGCGCAGATGGACAGATGGACAGACGATACCCGTGGATGGGGGGGTCCACCCATCTGTCCAGTTTTCTCCCTTCCTCTCCGACGGCGCCGCTCTCCCTGGTTTGATCTTGTTCATCATCTCGTTTATTTTTCTTCGCCCCACCCCACTCCAGGTTCTACCCTTTTCTCTGGGACTGTATGTCCCCCACTTCTGGGTCTCTTCATCTATCTTTTCTCTGCCTCCTTTCTGTGGACCTCTGTCCCCCTCTCTCTGGGTCTCTATTCCCCTTTATCTCTGAGTCTCTGTCCTCCTCTCTGATTGTCTACCATTACTCTCACTATATCTCTATCAACCTCTCTCTCGGGGGTCTCTGCCCCCTCTCTTTGGGATTTTATCCCCCCACCCTAGGTCTCTTCATCACTCTGTATCTTTCTCAGTTTCCGTCACTCAGAGCGTTTAATCTGAAGCTAAAGCGGATTGAGGCCCATTGGTCCTTGTCCTTGAGGGGAGTTAAGCTGGGAGAAAAAAGCCAGGGTGTCCTGGTTGTCTGGGGGAGAAGGGAGTTAGCTGCAGGCCAAAAATTAGGCCTTCCAAAGGATGTAGGCTAGAGCTAAGAGGGACTTCCTCTGAGCCAGGAAGATGACCCCAGTGACCTCGGCGTCCCCAGGGCAGTCTGAACACCTCCCTCCAGTCTTTCACCCCCAACCCCAGCCTTGGCTCCAAGTCAGAGAAATTACTCAGCTGCAGAGAGGCCTAAAAATATCTGGCCACAGTGCGGGGTAGAGATAGCCTGATCAGTCCCTGCCGCCATTCCCTCAGACCCTGTCCCAGTGGCCCACGGGCCCCCATCTTTAGTTGATCCTTCATCCATCTCACTAGACCATGCAAGTCCTTCTCTAAGTCTCACATTAGTCCTGCTTGCTGTGTATCACCTCCTAGCTCCAAAATTACCCCACCCTCTAGTAACACGAAAGATAGGAATAAGACTGGACGGAAGGGAGTGGGCAGGAGGATGGCACAGTGATGGGGAGGAGGTGGGGAAGCTGAGATAACCTCACCCCTGCTTTTCCCAATCTTCCAGCCCCTCCTCACACTTTTTCTCGCCTCCTTTCACGAGTTTCTCAAAATACATCAGTGTGAAGTCAAGAGAAGGGAGAAAGACGTGCTGATGAAAGAGGCTGGGGGGGGGGTTGCAGCGCGGGAGGGATGTGTTTTTTTGGCCCCCTCCCTCAGTCTCTGCTTCTCATCTGAGTCTGGGTTTCTCTCATTCTGTCTCTGCCTTATTCTCACCTCTCCAAGCTTCAGAGACCCCAGGCCCTCAGAGACCCCAGAGCCCAGAGCTCCCGCCAGGACAGTTACCAAGGAGTTTGAACCAAGAAGAGCATTTGTATCTGAATCCTGGGGTTCACTGTGATGTTTAGAGAGCGGGGGCATGCCCTGTATTGGACATAACACCTCGATTCCATTAAATCCTCTAGACAAAGTTGGGGAAACTAAGGCGGTGTTCGAGAAGGGGGAGAAATCAGGGAAGGAGTACAAGTGTCATCATTCAAACCCAGGTTAGCCCCTCCCAAGCCTGGGATGGAAGCTGCAGATTTTCCTCGAGAAGAATGATGCTAGAGTGGGTGGAGGACTCCCTCAGACCAGGAAACAGATGACAGTAAACCAGACAACTTGGGACAAGGGGATGGGCAGAAAGGGAATACAGGAGAAACGAGGAGCCAAAGTGCCTCCTTTCTGAGAGCCCCGCCTCGGGGAGGGCGATGCTGGGGCCAGGAAGTGATCAGGCCCCATCACTATTATTGTGGGTGACCTTGGACATGCTACTTCTGCTCCCTGAGCCTCAGTTTCCTTAGTTGTACAATGGGGGAAGAAGAGAGAAACAGAGGGACATAAGCAGACAGTGACATCGGAGACAGAGCCCCAAGAGGAGCAGAGACAGATATCCAGAGACTAGTTAACTGTCTCCTAAGTCCTGCTTTTCCTCATCACTAGGTCCCCAGACCTAAGTTCCTGGCATCCTGGGAGGGGAGGCTCTCCCCTCTGCAAAGCATTGGGACCACCTTCATCTCTGCCACCCTGCCACGTTTATCCTGAAAGGATTAGTATCCCCTTGCAGTTCTCTCTTTGTAACGGCTACTCTTGCCCCCATTTCATAGACATGGGATATTGAGACCTGTGCGCCACCCCCACCACCAGCCTTTAGAAGGCCTTGGTCAGAGATCTGACTTGTCTTAATATTAACAATAAATATCAAATTTCAGGGGCTGCAATCACATCTTGAGTTTCAGGGTCAAATAGCATCTGATAACAACCTGGGTCAAAGTCTAATCTCATTGGCTGACTTGTTCTGAAGGGAGGGGACAGGCCCTACCACCCTGTACTAGTCATTCTGGGGGCTTCCGTTCCCCTCTCTCTGGCTCTCTGTTCCCCTCTCTCAGGGTCTCATTCCTCATCCCCCTGGGTTCTGTCGACTCCCCCAGTCTTTTTCTCCCCCCACCCCTGTTTCTTAACATTCCTACCCTCTTCTTAAGTTCTAGGATGGGGAGGGTGGCTGTGTTCTCTCATCTCTTCTACCGCCTCCCCCCAGACCGTCTGGCTGTTCTTTCCTCCCCCGTCCCAGTCTCCCTCGCCTCCATCTGTTCTAGCCCCTTCCTGGGATCTAGCCCGATCCTCTGGCTGCTTAACCGCCTCAGAGAGGAGCCGCACCTCACAAATCACGTCCCCAGCTTGTCTCTCCTCAGTCTCCTAGTTCCTCTATCTTTCTCTCAACGCTCTGGGTCTTTGCATCTATGTCCGCTGTCCTGGGTTTCTGCTCCCTGTCTCTGGGTCTCTGTCCTGTCCTCCCTTCTGGTGGAGTCTCTGCACCTATTCTCTCCTTGTCCCCCTGGGTCCCTCTCTCTTTCTCCCTGGGTCTCTGACCCCTTCTCTGTCCCCTTCTTCCCTTCTCTCTGGATCTCTCTCTTCTTTCTGTATCTCTGACCATCTTTTTCAGCCTCTGCCCCCTCTGCCCCACCCTCTTTTTGGGTCTTCCATACCTGCCTCAGGTCACCTCTGTCTCCCTGCAGCCTCTCTCTGGGTTTGAGGTGGCCCTCCAAGTACCCTATCCATCATCACAGACTCAATCCCCAATCCAGAACAGGCGGAGGCGAGAGCCTCACTGGGGACTGAGCCAATCCCCCTACCAGGGCCATCTGTCCCTTGCCAGGACACCACCCGCCACTCCCCCTCCCTATCCCCTAGGCTGTCAGCCTGAACTCAAGGTTCCCCAGGGATATCAGGCTAGGCTGCGGGATTCCAGGGCCCTGGACGTCTCCCTGCCCCTGTGGCCCTAGGAATGGGCTCTGGTGACTGAATGAAATTAGCTGGGTGTCAGCCCCACATCTGGGGCCTGGAAGCAAGGAAGGGCATGCCATGGGGGGCAGGGGAGGAGGGGGTCGGTATATATAGCAGACGTGGCTGAGAAGCATCTGTTCTTTTGACACCTTTGCTGAAGCATCTCCTTAGCGCCTTTTGCTTCCTTAAATAGACTCATATCTGGGAGAGGGGGCTGGAGAGCATCTCTGGTTGGGGTGGGGGCTGGGAGCACAGGCTTTTGGATCACAAAGGGTAGTCTGGGGTCTAAAACTTCTGAGTTGAGAAGTGGCAGGGTTGGGGGAGAAGGGAACTGAGGACCTCCACACCTGAGTTTTGGGGCATGGAATTCCTGATCTGACGGGGATAGAGACTGGGGGTCCAGATTCCTGTATCCTGAGGGGAGAAGGGGCTGGACTCCTGGGGAAGGCAGGTGGGAGTGCGGGCTTAGTTAGAATCCTGGGTCTTTTTCAAGCAGGAGGTTTTGCCCTGGACTCCTGTGTCACAGGGAGGAGGGGGCTGGGGCCCTGGTCGTCCGAGTCTTTGACTCTTGCTGCCTCGCAGCCTTCTGGAGAAGCGGCAGGAAGGTGCAGAGACGCTGGAGCTGAGTGCTGACGGGCGCCCTGTCACGACGCAGACCCGGGACCCGCCGGTCGTGGACTGCACCTGCTTTGGCCTCCCTCGCCGCTACATTATCGCCATTATGAGCGGTTTGGGCTTCTGCATCAGCTTTGGCATCCGCTGCAACCTGGGCGTGGCCATTGTCTCCATGGTCAACAACAGCACGACCCATCGCGGGGGCCACGTGGTGGTGCAGGTAGCTGAGGGCCGGAGCCGCGGTACTGCCTACGCCCCTGATGACGTCATACGGGTTTAGGCGCAGCCCAGGCCACGCCCTTCCAAACCACAACTTGAGTGGCCCCGCCCATCTGTTGGCCCCTTCTTAAGCCCCGCCCTAATATAAACGAAGTCCCGCCCCTATTGATTTCAGGCCGCTGATTTCAAAATGTGGACTGCCCACAGCGTTAGGTTCCTTACTATTAAGCCCTTCTCTATTTTGGGCCGCCTAGCAACTTTGCTCCACCTGCGTCCCACACCTGCCCCAGTGTCACATTTACTCATTGCAGGCTGTTCCCTGAATTTATTTTTTTCCTGAATTTTTTTTTCATTATACAAATATTAATAAGCATTTTTATTGCTGTTGTTTTAACATTTCAGCTACACTGGGAAAAGTGACTGGCAATTCATTTTTTTTTTACCTTAAGTATTATTTTACATTAGTTTCAGGTGTATAGCATAGTGGTTAGACATTTATATAATTTATGAAGTGATTCCCCTAGATTAGCCTAGTACACATCTGGCAATATACATAGTTATTACAATATCATTGATTATATTCCCTATCCCCCCCTGAATTTTGATCCTGTTTTTTTTTTAAGTTCCACCACTGCTAAGTAAGTCCTGCTTCCCCTGCTCTGGCCATTACCTAAAGCCCTGCCTCATCTCAGACTTTCTCCCTATTTTAATTTCAGTGTAGGCGGTGCCTTTGTCTCAGGAAAAAACGTTCTGGTTATGGCTGTGGCCCCTTGCTCCATTTTAGTCAGGCTTGCCCCTTTAGCTACTTCTTGTCCTTGACTAGAATCCATCCCGGTCACTCTACAAACAGTTCCTAAGTTGTTTAGTAGAGAAAGAATCCCCACTCCCGTATATGGGCCCCTAGACATTCGGAGAAGGGACACTGAGGCAGGGAAGCAGGAGTAAGGCGTCTAGACAGCAACGGGCCCCATTGCTAAGGTAGTACCAGTCCTAGCAACATGGAGAAACCTAGTTCGGGATGGACCGAGAGATGGCTCGAAATCTGATTGGCAGATGTTTGAGAGGGGATCCTTGTTGCTGATTGGCCAAGAGACTAAGTCTCTGGGTACTGGTGGAGGTAGGCAGGGGTTTGATGTGCCTTTTGGCCCACAGAAAGCTCAGTTCAACTGGGATCCAGAGACTGTTGGCCTTATACACGGCTCCTTTTTCTGGGGCTACATTGTCACCCAGATTCCCGGAGGATTTATCTGCCAAAAATTCGCCGCCAACAGGTATAGGGGTGGGTCTCAAGGTGGGCGGGAACTACAGAGGTGGGTGGAGTTAGAGGGTGTGGCCTGAAGTTTGGGGGCTGACTCTGGGGAAATAGGAGGAGCCTGGGGGCGGGGTCTTAGAGAAAGGCGAGGCTTGTGATTGTGGAAGGTGGGAGTCGCAGAGAAGTGGGGACCGGGGGTTCTGGGGAACTGGAATCTGATGTGGGTGGAAAGAGCAGAATCGTAGGCATTGGCGGGATAGCTGAATCCTTTTCTCGTACCACGGATTCTTCCCATCAGGGTTTTCGGCTTTGCTATTGTGGCTACATCCACTCTAAACATGCTGATCCCCTCGGCTGCCCGTGTCCACTATGGCTGTGTCATCTTCGTGAGGATCCTGCAGGGGTTGGTAGAGGTAAAGCCCCGCCCCGTCTGACCTCGCCCCTGTCCGACCCCGCTTTTTCTCGTTGATTTTGGCTTTCCTTTCCCTAGGGTGTCACATACCCAGCCTGTCACGGGATCTGGAGCAAATGGGCCCCTCCTTTAGAGCGGAGTCGCTTGGCGACAACAGCCTTTTGCGGTGAGAGGAAGGGGCTGGGATCTAGATTTGTGGGTCTCAGAGAGGAGGGGTAGGGGACCCCGACTTATATATCTGTAGAAGGGCTGTGGCCTGTACTTCTGTGTCCGGAAAGGTGGGGGGCTGGGGGTCCAGACTCCTGGATCTGAGGGTAGATAGGTCTGTTCTTTCCTGAATTCTCCCCTTAGGTTCCTATGCTGGGGCGGTGGTCGCGATGCCTCTCGCAGGGGTTCTGGTGCAGTACTCAGGATGGAGCTCTGTGTTCTACGTCTACGGTGAGGGGCCCAGACGCCTGGGTCCGGGTGGCGCTGGGGCGGAGCGAGGGCGGTCGTCACCTCGCTTCCATCCCCCTCCTGACCCTCTTCAGGCAGCTTCGGGATTTTTTGGTACCTGTTCTGGTTGCTCGTCTCCTATGAGTCCCCGGCGCTGCACCCCAGCATTTCAGAGGAGGAACGCAAGTACATCGAGGAAGCCATCGGCGAGAGCGCCAAACTCATGAACCCCGTCACGGTCCGGGCCCAAGCCTGCGGGGCGGGGGCGCGGTGGGGCGAGGAGGGATATCCAGGCTGGGAGGCTGGAGAAAACGGGGCTTCGAACCCGTACAGCATGTAGAACTTGGTAGGTTCCGGTGGACTCTCTGAGGAGACCGGATGGGAACGCAAAGTGGGCGGAGCTAGAACCTAGAAAGTGAGGTTAAAGCCGGGGGAGTACGCGATTAGTAGGTGTGGAGGACAGCGCTGGGGTGCCAGGAGGGCGGAACAACTGATGGGCCGTGGTTAAACCAGCAGAGGCGGGATTAGAATGTGGGGGTTTTGCTTAGACCTTGGGGTGGATGAGGCTAGATTTAGGGGTGGTAATTGAATGGAAAGAGACTCCTGAGCCCACATTTTATGGGTCTCTGAGGGTCATCGTCGGGTCTGGAACCTGAGAGGCCACTGTAGAGTCAGGACCCCTGCATCCCTGAAGTGTTACCATGAGGGTAGGTTGCCAGGGTCCCAACAGGGACATGGTCAGGCCGGCGCCCCTGGGTGCCTGGATGTTTTAGTGAGGTCGAGAAACCTGAGTCTCTGCGGGACTCTAGTGGGGTCCCTGCAGGGACATAAAGAGTTCCTAGCCCTGGTTTCTGTCTTCTTAGCGGCCCCTCCTCTCGCCCCCCACAGAAGTTCAACACACCCTGGAGGCGCTTCTTTACGTCCATGCCAGTCTACGCCATCATCGTTGCCAATTTCTGCCGCAGCTGGACTTTCTACCTGCTCCTTATCTCCCAGCCTGCCTACTTCGAAGAAGTGTTCGGCTTTGAGATTAGCAAGGTTGGGCCCAGGAGGGGGAGGCAGGGGGCGCGGCCGGGGTGATGAGGAAGGAGCGGGGCCTGGGTCCCAAAGGCTTGGAACGAGGAACAAGGAGGAGCCAGTGGTGCACGAAGCGGAAGGAGACGCCCGGCCCGCTGCCCCTGAGCTCCCGCCCTGTACTCCCACCCGGCGCAGGTAGGCCTGGTGTCAGCTTTGCCCCACCTGGTCATGACCATCATCGTGCCCATCGGCGGTCAGATAGCTGACTTCCTGAGGAGCCGCCGCATCATGTCCACAACCAACGTGCGAAAATTGATGAACTGTGGGGGTGAGTGGGGGGCGGGCCTAGACCTGGTCTTGGACAAACTGGGCGGTGCCGAGAGCTGTGGATCAGCTGGGTGGGACCGTGGGAGGATGGGGTGGGGTCAGAGAGCATGTCCAAAAAGGCGGAGTTAGAGTGAGACCAGAGGGAAGAGAATCTCAGGAGACAGTCTCAGGCGTGTGTGTGTGTGTGTGTGTGTGTGTGTGTGTGTGTGTGTGTGTGTGTGTGTGTGTGTGTGAGAGAGAGAGAGAGAGAGAGAGAGAGAGAGAGAGAGAGAGAGAGCAAGCAAGAGAGCGCGCGAGATTATTCAGGTGGCGCACAGGCAAGACCAACTTGGGTTTGGAAGGGCGGGGCCTATACGGACTGGGCGGAGCGGACAGAAAATTGGTGATGAAGAAGGGCTATGAGTGGGGAACCAGGAGAGACAAGGGTCTGGGCGGCGTGCTGCCTAATGAGGGGGGACAGAGAGGAAAGGTGTGAAGGTGCACGAGTGGGGCTGCGACCCTGTGTCTTCAGAGCGTGCCCTGGCCAGGGCGTGGGGCCATGGGGCGGTGGAGCCTGTGCATTTGGGAGGTTAGTGCGGGCACGGGCGGAATGGGGGCCAAAGCCAGGGACAGGCTTGGAGCAGATAGAGGCGGTCGGGGCGGGATCAGGCCTGGAGAGGCGGTGAGGGGTGGCCGGCGCTCAGATGAGGTGGCTTCCGCAGGCTTCGGCATGGAAGCCACGCTGCTGCTGGTGGTCGGTTACTCGCACTCCAAGGGTGTGGCCATCTCCTTCCTGGTCCTTGCCGTGGGCTTCAGCGGCTTCGCCATATCTGGTGAGAACCGCGGATCCGCAGCTTGGGGGACTCTGGACAGCGCTGTGGGGGAACTTCCTGGCTCAGGAAGGGGACCTCCCAGCCATGCAAAAGGTGGACTAGAAAGAGCAGCAGGGAGCGGGGAGGTAGGAGTGGGGAACTGGGCGGCTCAGAAAGAGTCACTAGAGTGGGATTCGGGTGTGACACCTCCTGGCTCAACTCCCCAGGTTTCAACGTGAACCACCTGGACATTGCTCCGCGCTATGCCAGCATCCTCATGGGCATCTCCAATGGCGTGGGCACGTTGTCGGGCATGGTGTGCCCCATCATCGTGGGCGCGATGACCAAGCACAAGGTCAGTGCACCTGCCGTGACCCACTCTCCCTCCACATCTGTGCATGGTACTTCCCTGACATGTGTCACCCTCCCTGGGCTCCATCTCTGCCCTCTCTAGGTGTCTTTCAGCACCTCTCCGGATCTCTGTCTCCTTTTCTCTGGGTCTCCCCTCCCCCTCTCAGGTTTCTCTGGCCTCCGAACTCACCTCCCCTTCTCCCCATCCCCCACAGACTCGGGAGGAGTGGCAGTACGTGTTCCTAATTGCTTCCCTGGTGCACTATGGGGGTGTCATCTTCTACGGGGTTTTTGCTTCTGGAGAGAAGCAGCCGTGGGCAGAGCCTGAGGAGATGAGTGAAGAGAAGTGTGGCTTTGTTGGCCATGACCAGCTGGCTGGCAGCGATGAAAGCGAAATGGAGGATGAGGCTGAGCCCCCGGGGGCACCCCCTGCTCTCCCCCCCTCATATGGAGCCACACACAGCACAGTTCAGCCCCCAAGACCCCCACCCCCTGTCCGGGACTACTGACCATGTGCCTCACACTGAATGGCAGTTTCCAGGACCTCCATTCCATATATCTTTGGCCTGAGTGACAGTGTCAAGGAACCCCAGTCCTCGCTGTCCTGCCACAGGCCTAAGAAGCACTCTCCCTTGTTCCCAGTGCGGTCAAGTCCACTTCCCTTCCCAATTGCCTCTCAGGGGTAGTGAAGCTGCAGACTGGCAGTTTCCAGGATACCCAAATTCCCCTAAAGGTTCCCTTCTCCACTTGTTCTGCCTCAGTGATTTCAAATCTCTGTTTTCAGGGCTTTATTTGAATGAACAGTTCAATCTCTCCCTTTTGCGGTTTTCAGGCACCTCTCCCCTTTCCTTTAACTCCAAGGACCCTGAGATTACTCATCCTCCCTTCCCCTTTCAGAAAAACTAAGGTCTTCCTCTAGAAGTTTCAAATTTCTCCTAACTCTATTCTGCATTTTCCAGGTTGGTTAACCAATCACCCATCCCACCATTCTAGAGATTGATTCTCACCAGCGTTTCTGAGGGAAAATGGTGGTTTCAACCCTCCCCCCAACACACACACATCTCTTCACCCCACCCCACCCCCTCTTCCACCAGCAGATTCTGCTAAAGCACCAAATCCCCCAGACCTTCTCCCTAGCTTAGCACAATGTCTAGGGAAACAACCAAAATGGCGATTTTATCATATGCCTCTCTCCACCCCCATGCACTTTTTCTGACACGGTTTTCAGGTCTAAATAATGGCTGCTAAAGTTCACCAACTTGATAGTTTGAAGCCATTGAATTTCCCCATGGTGGTTTCAAGATGTCCCTCTTCCCCCCAGTTCCTTGCACTTTATTCTCCTGGGTGGTTTCAAACTACCCTCATTTTCTCAGTGGCCATTTGTTGTGTCCCTCAGGGGCTAAGTGACTCAAAATCTGGGATCCTGCCCCTCTCAAATGCCCCTATTTTGGCTTAGAATTTTGGGGAACATATATAGTAGATGTCACAGAATCCCAGGAAAGGGAACGGGGCCGGGGGAGAGGGATGTTTTTCCCGGGGCAGGGTTGTGTCTTTGTGTCTTTGTTTCTGTGACTGTAAATCCTGCCCTGCCCCGCTCCCAATAAAATGCTTTGGTGTACACATCCAGTCGTTGTCATTGGGTCATTGGCCATGGGAATCCCAGGAGTCCTAGCTCCAAGCCCTGTCTTTCCTCAGACCTGGTATGCTAGGACACCAGCCCCTGCCTCCCCCAGGACTCAGGCCAGAGAAGGTGTCTAGCAGTGGAACACGTTATTTATTAGGCCTCAGCCGGTGTGTTCTCCAGTCACAGCGAAAGCAATCTCTGTTGGACTCTATCCAGAGTACCACTACATAGCAAAGCATGCCAGGAGGACAAGACCCCTGGGCCCTTCCTCTATCTGGGGACGGCGCAGGTCTGGCAGGATTGAGTGGGGCTCACACGAAGTTGTTGGGGAGTGAGGAGGGGGAGAGCGGCTCCAGGCGCTGGGGGCGGCCCCCCCGGGGCGGCGGGGGAAGCTTGGGTGGCAGTGGGGGTGTGGGCAGCGGCTGCTGAGTGGCGATGTGTGAAGGGACCCAGGCGTCTGGCGCATAAAAGTAGAGATCACAGGGCTCCTTCGGGGCGTCCAAATGCATAACTGTAGGAGCAAAAGGGTGAGGTTATCCCCAGGCTGACAAGGGGCGTGTTCCTTCTGCTGCGCCGATGGTCAGAGTCGGGAGAGAGGATGTAGACCATCCTTTAGAGCTGGATTTTCTAATCCAAAATCGACGTCCCCTGAATTGATAAGGGGACGTGGTGTCTGCGCATGAGGGGCGGGGCCTGATGTGAAGAGGGCGGGGAATACAGGGCCAGGACGGGGAAAGGGTCGGGGCTTATGGCTCCAAGGCTGTAGCCAGTCCCAGCTGGGCTAGGGGCGGTACTGGACTTGTGTGTGTGAAATTTCAGAGAGCTGGGGTGCAGGACCTGACCGTGGAGGGGTCAGAGCTTCTGTTGACTTTGGATAGTGGAACTGTACTTTTTGGCGGGGTGCCCTAAAGTGCCAGGTGAAACCAGGCAAAGGGCAGGGCGCTATAAGGGTCGCTCACCCGGCTCGTCTCCGTCGTTCAGAAGCCGGTGGTGTGCAAAGGGCCGGTATCGAGCCGCCCGGCGGTAGAGACACCACAGCAGCAGGAAAATGCCGATCAGCAACCCGGTCCCGGCGAAGAAGAGGCACGAGGCCGCGCCGGCCACACCCCTGGGACGCCCCACTACTGTCACACCTGAAGGAAGGAGCCAGGGAATGAGCATTTTAAACTCCTAGCGCCCTCCTCCCTCTGACCCAGCAGTACCAGTGTTCAGCCTCTCCTCCCTCAGACCCAGGAGTCCAGGCCCCTAAACCCCTCTTCCCTCAGACCCAGGAGTCCGGGTTCCAGACCCTTACCGGTCTCCTCCACTCGTTCCACCACGATGATAGTGTTGACTCTCTCACCTCGGCTACGCCGCTGGGGGGCCTGAGCAGTGGCAGGGCCCCGCTGATTGGGGGGCCCTGGAGAAGCAGGGGATCCTGCAATCCGGACTGAGGGAGGAGAGGTGTCTGGCCCTTTAGGGCTAGAGTTCTGGGAGGCTTTGGGTTCAACGGTCCCAAGAGAAGCTGAGGTGGGCAATTTAAGGGAGTAGGGCTGGGTGGCCGCAAAGGTTTCTGGTTCGGTACTTAGGGGCAGCCCATTTAGGGCAGCAGCTTGGTCCTTGAATGGTGTAGGCGTCTTTGGGTGAAGACTAATGGAGATTTCAGGGTCAGAGGACATGGGGCTCTCTGTTGCATCTTGGTAGTAAGTTGTGGGGAATTTTGTGTGGGGAATTTCAGTGGGACCAGCATTATGGGTTACATAGGATTCTGGGTGGGGGGTTTTGGTAGGGTCAGGGTGGAAGGTCTGGAGGAATTCAGAGTTTGGGGGCTCAGTATTAGGGTCATGGATTTCTGGAGATTTTGGGTGAAGGATCTTGGTGGGGTCAGGATTTGGGGCCTCAGGGGCTTCTGCATGTGAGATTTCAGTGGAGTTAAGTTTTGGAATCTGTGGGGGTTCTTGGTGTGGAATTTGGGTAGGGTCAGGGTTCAGGATCTCAGGAAATTCTGGGTGTGAAGTTTTGGAGAGATTAAGTTTGGGGATCTTAAGGGATTCTGAGTGTGGAATTTCAGTTGGGTCAGGTTTGGGGGTCTCAGAAGGTTCTGGATGTGTTGTTTGGGAGGGGTTAATTTTGGGGGTCTCCAAAGATTCTGATATTGAGGTGCTTAGTGAGTTAGGTTTGGGGGTCTCAGGAGACTCTGGGTGTGGGGATTCTCGGAGTTCAAGGTTGGGGGTCTCAGTGACGTTATGTGGGGAGGGCTTAGAAGAAGCAATCCTAGGGGATTCTGGGTTAGGATGGTCCAGCGTGGAATTTTCAGAAGCATGAGGGGAGGTCTGAGAGGGGTGGCCCATGAGCGGGAAGCCGGAGCCGGCAGGCAGTGAGGTGGAAGGGGCTGCCTGGGAACCCAGACCAGCGAGGAGGAAGACGAGGAGGAAGAGGATGGAGCTGAAAGATTTCATAGCTCTGGAAGACACCTGTAACTGCGGGGAAGCGGGAAGGAAGGAGTTAAGGCAGGAAGGGCCACCGCCCTCCCCCTCCCCCAGCCCCAAGTCCCTCCTGGAGGCCACGCCCACCACAACAGGCCACGCCCCATTCCAGGAGGCCTCGCCCACTGGTACCCGGGTGTACCACATCTCTCGCCCATCTTGGCGCCAGGGAAAGAAGGAGAACCAACGACAACTCCTTGAAGGCTGGGGCGGTGGCCGCCGTAGCTAAGAGACATTGAGGCACGGGGCTTCTTGGAAATCATAGTTAATTTTCTTATCTGTTTTCCCAAGAGGGTCCCAGAAAAATTGGGAAAAAATAACGGCTCTCCTAGCTCCCAGACCTCTTCAACTCCAAAGGGTATAGGCCTCTGAATGCACACGGGATTCCTTCCTCTCTGAGGGCCCTGGGGACACCTTGACTCAACAGTTGTTTACACTAGAGGAGGCTCAGAGAATGGACTGAGAGGCCTGAAACGCCTGGATCTGGGGGAAGGAAGGAGACTCCTAGGTACTGGGCAAGGAGGCTGCTGGGGGTTCCGACTCCCAGTTCTCAGAGAGTGGAGGGCACTGTGGGTCTAAATTCCTGGTTCTTTAGAGAGGAAAAGCCTGAAGGTTCAGATGCCTAGAATTTTGAGGGAGCCAAATTTGGGGGTCTGGCTTACAAGGGAGAAAGGAAATGGGAGTCTTGAACTCTTGGGTCCTGAGTTAAATAAAGGTTGGGAACTTTGAGTATTGAGTTCCTAGAGATAAGGGTGTAGGGGTCTGGAGTCCTCAGCCTGCAGGAGGAAACAGTTGTGGAGGACTCAGGTCTCTCTATTGATGATGAAGCTTAGATTTCAGGGTCTATGGGGCTTGTCTGGGGCAGAGATGCCTAGGCCTGTGGTTAGGTGGAGGTAGGGGTGGCAGACTCCTGGATGTAACAGGGTCGCTTGGGTCCCTGGGGTCTCTTACCTGTTAATGGGGTCCAAGATAACAGCAGGTGAGCAGAGCTGGATGCAGAGATCGGTGAATACTGCAGAATGGCTCTGGGTGGAGCTGCAGGAGGGAGGGTCCCAGGGGCACAGGTGATGCACTTGACCCCCTCCCTGGGGATCCTGGGAGCCTAGCGACTGGCTCTTAAAGGGATAGAGATAAAAGACATTATCTCTGGAGTGGGGAAGGGAGTTAGGAACTGAACTACCTGGTGGAGAGACGTGGCCCAACCAAACTATCTTCCCTTTGAAACCAGGGGTCCGGACCCTCCGTCTTCTCCTATGCTCAGCCCAAGAGTCCACGTCCCTGGTATCCTCCTATGTCAAGACCCAGGAGCAGGGCTCTTCAGGCCCTTCTGCTCAGATTCTGAAAGCTAGGTCCCCAGGTCCTTCCCCAGAACCCAGGAGTCTGGTCCCTGTCCCCTCCATTTCTAGACCCAGGAGCCCAGGCTCTGTTCCCCTCCTCTCTGGGGAACTAGGAGTCCAGCTTCCTGTCGTGCTAGTCAGAGAGATCCAGATTGCTACTGCCGGCCAGTGGGGACTTCCCAACCTTTGTCTACCTCCCCGCTGTGTAGAGAGCACCCTTTTAAGAGCCAGTGTGGGTGAGGATTGGAGCTTATCTTCAGACACCCCCAAATTCCTCCCTGAGAAGGATTAGACACATCCACCGGGTAGCTCGGGGTTCTGTCTGTCTCTTTCCCCTCTTCGACGTCTCTGTAAGACTTCCTTGATATTTTTTGCCTGTCATTTTACCTGCTTTCACATCCCCACCACACACACTCTTTGCCTTCTCTTGCCTGTCCCTCTTTCCTATCTCACACTCTTTCTGGTTCTCTCCCTGCCTGGATTTATTTGTCTCTGGGCATCTCTTGTCCAGGCTGGCCATCCTTCCATTTCCTTCTGTCTTTCGAGAGCCTTTTCCCTCATCTCTAGCCGGCTCTGTTTGTCCATTTCTTCTTTTTCCTTTCTTTCTTCCTCTGTTGCTCCCTTTCTTCCTCTCTTTCCTTTCCTCTGTCACTCTGTCTCTGTCTTTCCCTCTCATGGTTACTTCATCTCTTTGTGTCTCTGCTTGTCTTCGTTAGTCTCTGCTCTGTGGTTTTTCCAGTGTCTCTCTTTCTCTCGGTGTGTCTCTGGCTTCTTCACTGATCGTCTCTCCGCCAGTCTCTATTTTTATCCCTCTGACACACCCCTTGTGTCCACTTCTCCGTCTGTCTGTCTCTCCCCCTCCCACTTCTCCTCAGGTCCCAGCTCCTGGTCCCAATTAGTTGGTAGCAGCCAAGGCAGCGGCGGGGCCCCCACCCCCGGCTTCTCATTACCGCTTGCGGCTCCTAATGAGCCTGGGGGTAGGCTGACCCCGCGCCCCCAGCCCCCTGGTCTGCGTCACTGCCCGCTGCGGGGGCTGTGGAAGGGATATAAGGGGGCCTCCAGCCTCGCTTCCGCAGCCCACTACGTGGTAGGGGGCCCTTCGGGCAGGCTGTCGGGGTGGGTGGACTCTGGAGTCCTGGGTTCTGGGTCAGGACAGGGTCACTGAGCCTTCCCTGTCTCTCCACAGGCGATGGAGACTCGCCAGGCGCCCAGGAACTCCCGGGTGCGGCTGCTGCTGCTCTTCTTGCTGCTTGTGCCCTGGGGCGTCCGCACTGCCTCAGGCTTCGCCCTGCCCCCCGCGGGCGTCTTCAGGTACGTGCGATGCCCAGGACTCCCAGGGATGGGTGAGGACTCAGAGAGGTGGGAAAAGACCCAAAGAGAAAGGGGAACAGAGACTCAGAGAGGGGGACAGAGACTAGGGGTGGGGAGAGATAGGGTGGATGGACTCAGCAAGAGAAAAAGATACAAAAAGATAGAGTCTGCGAAAGGCCGCGAGAGACTTGAAAGGAGTCAAAGCAGAAATGGATTCGTTCCTTGAACAACGAGTATTGGGTTCTTGGGGTGTGCCAGGCCGTGCGCTGAGCGCTGGGGGCGGACCAATGCATCAGACTCGGTCTCCGTACTCAGGGAGCTCCGAAACTGGTGAACTGAGAGACAGAGATCCACACAGAGAAAAAGAGACAGAGGGACAGAGATAGAGCCACTCCACAGATGGTGCAGGAACAGGGCTTCGAGTTAGACCACGGGGAGGACAGATGGCGGCGGGCGAGGGTCTGGACGCTTGATGACAGCGTCTCTCGGTCTCCCCACAGCCTCCGCTCCCCTGGCCGGGCCTGGATGGGTCCCGCCACCCCGCTGTCGCGGCGAAGCCTGGCGCTGGCGGACGACGCGGCCTTCCGCGAGCGCGCGCGGATGCTGGCCGCCCTCGAGCGCCGCCACTGGCTGAACTCGTACATGCACAAACTGTTGGTGCTGGACGCGCGCTGAGAGCCCGCCCCCCCCCATTAATAAAGACCCTGCTGTGCTTCCGAACTGCGCCTCCTTTCTGCGCTCCGTGTGTGTGTGTGTGTGTGTCTGGGGACGGGGGGGGGGTTGGGATTGGGGTATGACGGCGGGCCCAGCATTCGCTACTCTGGCGTCTCGCCCTTCAGTCTCCTTTTTTCTCTCCTTAAAAAAAAAAATCTTTCTCTCCATTCATTCATCTCCCACCCTCGATCTCCGCTCTACCCCTGCCCCCGCCCCAGCTCTGTCCCTCATTTCAGTCTGTGGCTCTGTCCCTCCACCTGTGTCTCTGCTCCCACCTTAACCCAAGTCTCTGTCCTCCTGTCTGGATTTCTGTCCCCATCTCTGGTTCTCTGTAACCTACCAGGTCTCTGTCCCCCTGAGTCTCTGTCCCCTTCTCTGGGTCTCGGTCATTCTTTGGGTGTCTGTCCTCCTCTCTGAGTCTCTGTACTTCTCTCTCATTCACCCTCCTGTCTTTCTGGCCCTCTGGAAATCTCCTCTCTTCTTTCTGCCTCTAAAACTCTTCCTTCCATTCTTAATCACTTTTTTTCTCTCTGCCTCTTTCGTGTCTTTTCTTTCTTCCTTTGGATCTCCGTCTCTCTTCCAGCTCTTGTTTTCTCTGAATTTCGCCGTTTCCGCTCTCTTGTCGCTTCCTGACTTCTCTCTGGGCTCAGTGGGAAGATCGGGGGCTCTGGTGTGAGATGCCGTTGAATACCAGGTGCCCCCAAACCTAGCTGTGTGGTATTGGGAAGGGCTTAACCTCTGAGCCTCCTTTTCCTCATTTGAGGATTAAACCAGATACACCATGAGAGGACTTCAGCACAACGCCCCGCACCAAGCAAAACGCTTTTATTAGAAAAGGGTTTCCCCCTCCTCTCGCAGCAGCCTGCAGCAGCTTCTTCAGAGTTTTCTAACTGCGCCTTTCCGGGGAGACCATTGGGGTAGCAAAGTGGGGCGGGAACAGAAGAGAAAGCGGACCAGGAGTCAGACTCTGGATGGCTTGGGGCGAGGGCGGGGGGATACCGGGGATACACGTGAAGCGAGGAAGCAGCCAATCAGAATCTGCCTCCCTCTCTCTGGAGGCTCGGCTAGCCCTTCAGCTCCGCCCCTCAATGGTGACTATGGCAACTCACTCCAGTGAGACGCCAATGGCTCTGAACCGCTCCCCGGGGCGCAGCTCGTGCGGACCACGCTCTGGTTGGTTCTAGAGAAGAGGGTAGAACTGGGCACGGCCGCGAGTGGGGAGAGTGCGGGACTGGCGCTTGGTGATTGGCAAGCTCTCTAACAATTTGCATTTCTGGGAGGCGGACCGCACCTTAATTGGCCCTTAGGCCGTGAGGTAAGCTTGTTTCTCGGTTATTGAAATACTGAATAATAAACAACTGTATTCCTCAAAGCCATTCAGAGTTGGCCAAATTTTACAAATAAAGAAACAAGACGCTGAAAGTCAGGAGTAATTTCCCCAAGTTGCCAGCGCTAATAAAGGTCAGAAGGATAACTGGAACCCAAATCAGTGCAACTTCTAAGTCTAGATCTTTCCACTACTCTTATGGAGAAATGGGATTAGAATGTTATGAGCAGTTATTATATGCCAGGCACTCTTCTAAACACTGTGAAGAACCTAATCCTGTTTGCCTGAGGGCCTGGTAGCTGGATCTTGGCCTGTACTCTTCTCATACTCTACTTCCTCCATAGATCTCTGCGTAGTGTTTGAGGCTTTTCACAAAAAGTTGCCTGGAATCCCTTTCCTCCCTCTCCCCAGGAAAGTTCAGCAATCCTGATAGCTTTGATGACCGTTCACAGCTAGAAACACGCAGACCCCTATTCCCAGGCCCAGAGCTCAGGGCTCCAGCCACCTCTTAGAGCTCTTTCATCCCATCCCAAATGAGCTTAGAATGTTCCCCCAAACCCACTCTTCGTGGGTTCCCAATCTTGGGAATGGCTCCCCTCTACCAGTCCCTGGGTCAGAACCAGGTGCTGTCCTTGCCACTTCCCTGTTCATCCGCCTTCACAGCCGGCCAGTCCTGGGCTCCATGGCTCCTGCTGTGCCTCGCTCCACCCTTCCCTTCTTCCCACCCACACGCCGGGCCCAGGTCAGACCTCATCCTCTCCCACCTGGACCAAAGCCCCAGCCTTCTCCCAACCTCCTGCCTTCAGCCTCACTCCTACACAGACTCAGAGGTCTCTTTCCCACCCAGAGTTGATTCTGTCCCTTCTCTGCTCACAGCCCTCTCTTGGGCACTTAGGAGTAAAGTTTAAGCTGTTCAAAACCCTTCATGGACTCTTGCCCACCTCTACCTTATATTTCACCACTCTGTAGCCTCAAATCCTTCCCCTGGCTCCAAAACTTTTTTTTTTTTTTGAATCCCAGCAACATGGTGCTGCCTATGGCTTTCCACACAGAGTCTCTTTGCCACCACCTGGTCTTCCTCTGCCTGTGACACCCTCCTCAGTCCCTGCTCACTGTAACCAACTTTACCCATCTTTCAAGACTAAACACAGATGTCACTAATCTGGGAATAAATCTCTAGCCTTCCAGGCTGCGTTAGGTGCTCTTCCTGGGCTCCCACAGAGCCTGCAGCTGCCTCTATCACTGTCTGTCCTTAAATAAGTGTGACTCTGTCCCTCCCTTATTCAAACTCTCCCAAGGAAGCTCTTGTGGTGTTGAAACTGTTGTATATCTTGACCTGGGTTTGGGTTTCATGAGTGTTTACATATGTAAAAATTCCTCCAGCTGATACTTGAGATTTGTCCATTTATCTATATGTAAGTTACACCTCAATTAAAACATAAATAACCAAAAACAAGCAACAAAACCTCCCAAAGCTCGCGTCATCCTCGGGAGGAAATCAACACCTGGCATCAGAGGGCCTGTTTCTCTACAGCTTTTTCTTCTAAGGTCTTGCAGTGGTACATAGATGGTCACTCAGTGTTTACTGAGTGAACAAATGGCACTTTGGTCCCCTTCTTGCTGGCTGTTTGCACGGCAGTGGACATCTGTGGTGTGTGCCTGGCCCACATCTCTTTCTCCCTTTTTCTGCCAGGAGAGGTGCTCAGTCTCCCAGCCTCCCTTGCAGCTAGGAATGGTTATGCCAAATAGTCCGGCCAATGAGACATACACACAGGTCTGCTGCTGGCTCTGGGAAGGCTACTGATTTTTTTTTTTAAATAAAAAAGAAGGGACACGTCCCCTTCTCCCTGCAGATATGACATATGAAGCTACAATGCTTGCCATCCCTTAAGCATGAGGGAAGGGCCAAGAGAATCACAGGGAATCACAGTATGCTGGCACTGCAGTTGTGGAAACTGAGCTGTTCTCCTCCAGGCTTGTTTTGTGAGGAAAATAAACCCCTAGTGCTTAGTCCATTACTGGGTGTGTTTTTCTACTGTTAAGAAACATAGTGGTAAGAAAAATAAATTTAAAAAAATAATAAATAAAACATAAATAAGAAACATAGTGGTCACCATGAAGACCCCATACAAGGGTGTGGACTGGAGTACAGTATCTGGGATCCCTATACTAGGCTAATCCCAAGTAGCAATGGCACAATAGGAATAACAGTAAAAAGAGCTCCGGGGAATTCAATGAACTAGACATTGCTCTGAGAGGTGGGCAGCATGGCTCACACTGGCGGGGGCTGGAGGTAGCAGAGCTGGAGGTGGGGCCAGGTGGGGGGCAGGGACTGGCCCATCAGCAGGATGGAGAGCAGCAGCAGCAGCAGCAGGCCCAGGACAGGCACCGGGATCAGCGGGTGCCAAGTGACCCTGGTGGGGTGGTGGGACAGTGATTAGGGCAGGGCCCAGAGGAGCCTATGTGCCCTGATGTCTGACCACCATCCTCCTTCTGGAGAAGCCTTGGGGCTCACCTGAGGTGCTGGGGTTGCAGCGGGCATAGGCAGAGCTGGCCCCACATGGGCCTCCTGACTGGGACCAGCTCCTTCTCCACAGGCACCAGGGCTTGCTGCAGGTCCAGCTTGGCAGGGCTGCTGGAAAGGAGGGCAAGGCAATTGCACTGGACTTTTTCCCTGCCCCCAAGTCCCCTCCCAGTCCTGGTGGGTCCCGTTACCTCTCCAGAGGACTTCCTGCGATGTCTCCAGGGGAAAGGTCTCCCAGAGGGATGGGGAATTCAGCCTGGAAGGACAAAAGAGATGACAACCTTGAGACACTGGGTCCTAGGTTGGGAGAGGCTCTCAGTTCAGCCCACTGGACAGAAGTGACCACATGGAATGGGGTGGAACACAATGAGTGGCTCCGTGCATGAGCTTCCCCGAGACATACTGCCAATTGGGGGTCCCAGCTCTTTCAGCTTCCAGTTGTGCATCCTTTGGCATGTTACCCCACCTCTCCATGCCCCACTTCCCCACCTGCCGGACAGGGACGAGGACAGTACCCACCTCACAGGGCTGAAGTGGAGACTGAGTGAATGCAGGTAAAACACAAAAAAGTGTGTGTGGGGCCGACAGAGTGGCACGATGGTTAAGAACTGGCTTGGGACGCCAGCTCTGAGCATCAGGGCCCCGGTTTGGATCCCACATGAGTGCCAGTAACACTGCCCTCTACAGCTAAGATGGTGAACAACAGCTCGACCTGGAGCTGGGCTGCCGTGACTCGCCAGCGATGGCGTAGGCTGCAGCCCTTGCTGCAGTGGGTTGCCATGGGCTACCGTGTGTGGCTGGCAGCCAGCGTGAGTGGCCAACAGCTGGTGTGAGCTGCCAAGAGCCACTGATCAGAGGCCGGCGACCGATCTGCCTCACCCAGGAAGAGCGCAATGTTAATACCAACATGGGCCAGTGAAGCGACGTCCTCCACAACTAGACTAAAGAACAAAAGGACAGCAACTTGTCTGTTCCCCTTCCCCGATTCCCCAATAAAATCTTTAAAAAAAAAAAAAGTGTGGGTGGGGGTGGGGGGGGCTCAGAACAGTGCCTGGCACATAGTGAGTGTTCAATAACTCTGTGAGCTACTCAATATGATTATTTCTACTTCCACTGGATTCTGGAAGTATCCAATGGCAATAAAAATACAATAACGAATAAAGAACAACAGGACACCAGTCCCAGCCACCACCTTCACCACCACCACCTACTGTGTGCATGCTCTGTCAGGCCTGGAGCCAAGCTCTTTATGACATGATCCTTAACCCTCATCCCCACCCTGAGAGTTAGGTCAAGACCATCACCACACCAGGTGAGGAAACCGAGGTGGGGCCCAGTCTCCGCGGAAGGGGCGTGGCGTGGCAGGAAGGAGGTGGGCTTTGGAATCAGGCTGCTCAGAGAGACCATCTTGAATGGTATGGATCATGAAGGGTCCCAGGTACCTGGAACAGAGCTAGGCACACATTTGGGCTCTCACATTCCTCAGCCGAGGACCATAGGCTCTTCGCCTCACATTTCCTTCCTTTCCTTTCCTTGCCTTGGGATTGTCACCTGCCACTTTGAGGAGCAAAGGACCTGGTGTGTGTGGTGCTGGGCAGGGGATTGGTTCTGTGATTGGTTCTGTGCCTGGAGGGCATTCTGAGGCTGGATGGGGAGGGCCGGGCCCTTCCCGTGTGTGGGTGCATGTGCGTGTGTATTTTCGCAATCCGGGGGTGTAGCCACGTCTGTGAGGCTTGTGACATGGTGGCTGCAGCCCTGTGTGTGCTTGGGGGGGGTGTCCCCTGGGAACATTCTGGCCGCCCACTGGCCTGCAGGCCTCCCCCCATAGCACCATCCGCTCTCATTAGCTATAGCGAGGGCCTTGTTATCTCTTGGCGAAACGATTTTTCTGTCTGCTCTGGAGGAGTGGGGGTGTGGGTGGGAGCTGGGGAGGGGCTGCAATGACTTCAGCCCCCTCCTGAAGTGGATGGGGGTGGGGAGGGGTGCTGGGGACTGCTTACCGTGACCTGGGTCTCCGCTTCCGCCTCCTCTCTTCTGGGCAGCCTGGGGCAACAACAATGTCACTGGAAGCATCTTTCCTTTGCTTGGCTCCCATTCACCTGCTGAGGGGCTGGGGGGAACCTTTAAAGCTGGGGTCTTAACGCAGAATGGGAACCATGGATGGACCTGGGGTCCAGACTCAAAAGAGTCGGTGACCCCAAAAAGGGTAAGAGGGTCTCTTCATCTCACCGGCTTTCTCAGCTACTAATTTTCCAGTTGATGCCTCACCCGGGAGCTGTGGCTTTGGCTCTCTCAATCCCCAAAACACCAGAGACTCAGACCCGGGCCGTGTAGACCCTGCCCCCACTACCTGCCTGCTGGGTTGCATCGTTTTCAGTGAGTCTGTCTTATTGGGTCTTTTTTCAGGATTCGGACTCCAGAATCCAATTGTGTGAGCCCTGCCTCCATCCCAAATTTCTCTTAAGGATGTAAGCCCCTGGCCTCTGCCCCTCCTAGGGTCACAGCTGCCTGAAACCCTGAAATGTCCTTTTAGGGACTCAGGCCTCAAGCTGTCCAGCCAGATGCCCCTTGGAGACCCAGGTGTCCACACCACCAGTTACCACCTTCACTGGGGCCCAGGGATCCAGCCTTCCGGCTTCAGACCCAACACCTTTGGGATACAGCTGTTTCCTCAACTAGTACTCCAAACGGCATCCAGACCCTCTCAAGGTCCAAGTCCTCACCCCTAGCCACCTTTAGGGGCCACAGGATTCACTTCCTCCCTCATTCCCAGCTTCCCAATCTATGGATCATACTGGCTCTGCCCCCCACCCCAAACCCCGGAAACTCAGATGTCTAGCCCGTGCCCCCGCTGCTGCTCAGCCTTTTTTCCCCTTCATTTCCTGGTGACTGAGGGGAGATCACAGCTCCGGAGCCCCCATCCTGCCCTATCTCAGCTTTCCCAGACAAGTCCAATTAGAGCCCGTGGCAGGCAGCCTCATTAGTTGCTGCAGCTGGGAGCCTGAAAGAGGGGAGGGGGAGAGGGAGGCACCACAGGAAACCAGATGCGCCAAGGCCAGGGCCCTGAGGAGAATGGGCCCAGGCATCTAGTGTTTTCTCTATCCTCAGAGGCCTGCACACAAGCCTCCTAACAATCACAGGGAGGGGGCTCCAAGGCATTATGCCAAATGCTCGCACCAACCCTATCACAAAGGAGCCTAGCTAGGATTTGAACCCAGGCTGTCTGATTCCAGTGGCCCACACGGTCTCCCAACTGCCAGGGTGCTCTTCAGGGGCCTAGTCTGAGTCTCATTCATCCCAGGGTTCTGTGAGAGGTGTGTTCAATGTGTGACAGTGACTGAGCTGTCCCATCTGCGTGACAACTGCTTTTTTGTTGTCTAAGGGGCTCCTATACGAATACCACTCTTGCAGAACCCCATTCAGGCATTGAGTCCCTGGGAAGCCTTCCTCCTGCGGTGGGGTCAGGTGCCGGATATCTTCCCAGAACTATCTGGGTCAGGGACTATCTCCCCCTAGACTGGGAGTTGCTGGGGGCAGGGCTGGGTCTGACTCATCCTGGTTCACAGGCCCAGGGTCGCCTCAGCATGAAAGAGGCGTGAGTGAATGAGTGACGTGTGACTCCACCAGGGCCCTTCCAGTCTTTGTACTCCATCCATCTGAGAATCAGGTGTCACCCCGGGTCAGAGGGATGGCTCTGGGAGGAGCTGGCTTCTTACCAAATCGATTGCTCCTTTCTGCCTTCGTGAGGATGCTCTAGCTCTCCCTGGAAGTTTCTCTGTGGGAAAGAAAAGGTTAGGTTTCCCAGGCTGCAACACCTCAAGAATTCACCACCTTCTTCTAAAACCTGTCCTCCTCCTCTCGGGACTCGTCCTCAGAGATAGCTCCATCATCCTGCCCAGGCACAGAAGCCAGAAACTGGACTGCTGTTCTGGGCCCCACCAAGCCCCTTTCTTCTTCAGGACCCAGGAGTCCGGATCCCCCAAACTTTTCACACTCCCACAAGCCTCCTACACTCACCTGGGCCCAAAAGGGGCTCAGCATTTCCCTTTCAAACCCTATTGTCCTCCCAGGTTCCCAGTCTTGGGATGGCCCCACCATCCTCCTCTCCCTCAGGACCCAGGTCCCTCTCTGTTTCTCCAGACACATCTCATCCTGTGGCCTCAACCACCAACTCAACACTGTTTTCTATATACTGATACATCCCTGAGCTCCAGCATTGTGCACCCACTGCCACTGAGCAGCTCACCCCTCCCCACCATGTCTCTCAGGGCCTTCCCCTCATAATATCACAAGGCAAGTTCAGCATTTTCCCCTCTTCTCCTCCCTTCCCATCACCCTGCACCCTAGTCCATCTGTCTGCAGCTTCATCTCCCCTGCCTGTTCTCTCTGCCTGTCCCATTTTCTCCATCCAAAGGCTCTGGCCTGGCTCAGGCATCCTCCCCCCACTCTGGAAAATTGTCTCAGCCTCCTCCCTGGCTTCACAGCCTCTAGTCAGTCCCCATGTGGACCCAGAGGGATCTTTTTACATCTAGATCTGACCCTGCCCATCCCTGCTCTCAGCCCTCCTGTGGCTTGATGGAGAAAAGGACAATCTTTTAGCTTGATTGACAGGGAATTCCTTTCATGATCTGGCCCCAGCTTCATCTCTCACTAGTCATCCCAGCTGCCCTCTACTCCCCAAGCATATTATGTGGTTTCGTGCCCCTGTGGCCTTGCACGTACTGCTCCCACTGCCGGGAAGGCTGCTTTTTCCTCACATCACTTAATTTCTCTTTCTTTCTTCAAAATAAACTTGTGTCAGTTTCCCTGTAATAGTTCTTCCAATCTCCCACCTGACACAGGTACCCGCTTCTCTGGGCTCCCACGGGGCCCACTCCCCCACTTCTAGCTTCTCTCAACCCAGGGAAACAGTGAGCAGAGAAATGAGTTTTTCCTCATTTCTCTGATGAGTGAACAGCTTTGAAGCAGTATAGATTTCAAGACAATGCAGAGATGTTTACAAAGCTGTTAGCAATGTTTTCTTTAAAAATATTCTTCTGACACTAATAGATTAAAATCTCACTTTTTAGTTGTGGATGTTAAAGATGAGTTGTCTCAGTTATTTCAAATGATGTTGTAATATTATTGTTCAGGTGATTATAAAAGTCATAAAAATATGGCTATTGTTGAGTTCAAGATTTCATAGTAGGTTTGCTAAGCTTTTCTTAAAGGTGCCTTGTATTCAAAGGTAAATGCTTAATGTATCTTCATGGTGTCAGGAAGAACAATTCACTTCCCACTGTAGTACTGTTTTAAATAAGGTAATTTCTGACAATGTTTTCTAAACAACCACCACCCCAAAGGAATTTGTGTGTCTGCTTTCTTCACTTTCGTCTACCACACTAGCAGGTCAGTCCCTAATGGCAGGCATGGTGTCCTGTCTGGCTTGAGCTCCGTGTCCAGTAATCAGCAGACCCTCAATCAACATGTGCCTACTGGATGAGGAACAGTGAGGCATACGAAGTCCTGGGGCCCTTTCCCAGCTGTGGACTCCAGTGATCTCAGAGCCCTTCCTGTGCTCACCTGTTCCTCAGGTGGGGCTTCAGGTAGAAACTCAGCTTCCTCCTTGCTCTCATTGATGCCCTCCTCCCACTGCCACACCCCACACAGAGGGCTGGAGAGATCGGCAGCTGCCACTTCTTGTTTCTGGGAGACAAGTTGTTTCTGAGGTCAGGGAGGGCCAGATTAAGGCAGAAGACAGGTCAGACATGGGCTGAGGTATGGGGATGGGAGGGGGAAGGGAGCTCGTGTGAGGGTGGACTGGGGTGGAGGCAGGCCCCAGGAAGAGTTTGGTGCCAGGACCTAGGATTGGGTTAGGAATGAGGTTAAGGACAGGTGGTCCTGGGGGGAAACAGGGTAGGGTGCGTCAGAATTGCAGCTGGCGATGGGTTGGGGTTTTCGAGGGAGCCAGGCCCACCTGCCGAATGGCCTGTATCTCCACGCCCAGTGATGGGGGCAGCAGCTTGGTCCTGCCCACTCTTCTTGCCTGAGCCCCTTCCGGTATCCTGGCCACACAGTCAGGAGGGGGGAAGCTGTCTCTGTGCCAGCCTCCCACCTGTCAGTCGGCCTATGCTGGGGTTGCTGTCCTGCCCACCTTGGAGCTGGAGGCTGCGGGTCCCTGCCCTTGGGCTCCCCTCCTGCCTCCTCCACCCTCGATATTCCACTCACTCATCTGGCCCCTCATGGGTCTGACTCAGCTGCTCCTCCAGGTGTGAGATTTCCAGCCTCAGTTCCTGCAAAGGAAGGAGTGTGTGTGTGTGGGGGGGCACCTGGCTCTCCATTCTTCCCCATCCCCCACCCCTGGGCTTCTCTTCCAAGGTCAATTCCACTCCTCTGACTTCTTTGGGCTCCTCCAGACACATATTGCCAAGGGATATGGGGAAGAAAGCAGTGACAGAAACTTAGGAGGCCAAAGAGAGACAGAGAGCAGGAAGAACCCAGAATGTAAACTACCAGCCAGGGAAATTTAAAAATGAAGGCAGAGATAGAGACACATGTGAGACACAACAGACACAGACTTGCAGAGAGACAAGAGACACATGAGGTGCAAGAGACTCATTAAGACCAGGGACAGAGAAAGGAGTCTCCCTGGGAGACAGACTAGATCCAGTGAAGGGCTGAGACAAGAACCTAAATGAGCCAGGCAGAGACAAAGAGAGATAAGGAGGGGAGATGCAGTGAGAAGAGACAGACCCACAGAGAATAAAAGTGAATGGAAAACAGAGATCCACAGAATGAGAGAAAAAGAAACAGAGAAAAAGTGAAAAGGCAGAGGGAGATGGAAAGAGGAGGAGAGACACACAAACAGTGGAGATACAAGAAGTGAGATGAGGCGAGTTGGGAAAAGACTTACAGAGACAGAAAGAGGCAGTAAATATTGGAGATGGCAAAAGAGAAGTGAGGAGAGCAAGGCCAGGCAGGGAGCCACCAAGGGTGGGCAAGGGCAGCTGGGTTACCTGGATTGTTGTTCTGTACTCTTCCAAGGTCTTGACCAGACTCTCCACGTGGCAAGTGCGCTGGGAAAGCCCAAAGCCGACTGAGCCTGGGCCCAGCCCCACAGACACTGAGGCTGGGGAGGGCAGGGCGAGCTTGGGGGAAGGGCTGAGGGACAGCACTGGGTTTCTAGATCCTGCAGGGTCATGCTAGGACCTCAGGAGAACCCTCTGACTTCTCTGGGCTGCTTGCTTATCCAAGGATGAGAGCCAGGCAGGACTTCCCTTTCCAGATTCGGGGCAGGAGACAACGGGCAAGTGCACAAGGAAGCAAATGTCACTCCTCCCTTCCCCAGCCCTCTCACCTCAGAGAGGTCGGCGTCACGTTGGCAAATGAGGCGTTCACACTCATAGAGTTGCAGCTGCCAAGGAAGGAGCCTGTCCATCTGTCCTGCCTCCCGGGACCCACCTCAGCCCTGCCCCGCCCTGGGTCTGCCAACTCCTGAGCCCCTTTCCTCAACCTCCCTTGATGTCTCTGAACACTAGCTATACAAAGAAGGATTTCAGCCAAGCTGCCTGGCAGCCCTGGAACCCTGAAGGCTTGATGGAAGTCCCTGGCTCTCACCAGGCTTCAGCGGCTAAAAGTGGAGGTTGCAAACATGGCCCCAGGGGCGTTGGGAAGTTGTCAAGGGACTAGGGAGGGGTGGCACCTTCAAAGCATCCTTCTCTGTGGCCAGCTCCTCAGTCCTCCTCTTCACTCCATCCCGCTCAGCCAGTAACTTCCCATTCTAGAAGGAAGAACGGCCGGTCATGTTCACTGCAGCAAACGGCAATGCTAATACTCATAGCTGACATTTGCTGACACATGATGTGCATCACGTCTCATGCTAAGTAAGCACTTTATGTGTTTTAGCCCATGTAATCCCTCCAGCCATCCTATGGAACCTCAGCTTTGATGTCTGTGTGCATCAGTAGGTCCCCCATCTGTAGAAATGGCGATAAGATAGGACCTACTTTATGGGGTTGCTGTGAGGATTAAACAAGTTACTAGTAATTGCTAACACTTACTGAGCACCTCGCATGTGTTAACTCATTTCTTATTCCCTATTTTATTTTTTCCTTTTTAAAGGGAATCTTTATTTTTCCTCTTTATAAAAGTGATGCATGCTTGTTATCTTATCCCCTAATTTAAAATAAAGGCACAGAAAGGTTGAATAATTTGCCCCAGGTCATACAGGTGGTGATTCAGGCAAATATATATTAATGAACACAAAACATTTAGAACAGTGCCTGATATTTGCCAAACATTTGCCAAATGTTATATTAAAAAATATTTTTAAAACTTTGGATTATGAGTTTTTTAACAGAGAAGTAAAAATAACAGTATAACAAACCCCCATTACCTGTCACCCAGCTTCAATAATTATATAGTTTCCCCCTTTTGTTTCTTCTCTATCCTCTATTTTTTTTGTTTTGTTTGTGTTTAACCAGGTTATTTTAAAGCAAATCTTAGACATCATGTTATTTCACCTGTATCTACTCCAGCATTTTCATCTCCTACTTGAGGACCTTTCCTTTAGCAAAACCACAATACCATAATCACCCTTAACAAAACTAATAATAATTTCTTAGTATCATCTCACACCCAATTTGTTTTCTTTTCTTTTTTTCAATTTTGGTTTCACAAATGTCTTTTCACATTTAGTTTGTTTAAATGAGGCTCTAAACAGGTCTACAGACTTTGGGTTGAAACGTCTCATTTCTTTTTTATCTGACAGTGATCCACCACCTCCCAACTTGGCACTTTTGGGGGCCCTTCTTTTGTGGAAGAAACCAGGTTATTTATCCTGTAGAACTGGTACATTTGGATTTGGTTTATTGCGTTTTCCTTCCTGCGGTGACATTCACCATGTTCTTGAATCCTCATTACTTCCTGTAAGCTGGTGGGTAGATCCAGGGCCTTGTCCAGAATCTTGTTCAACTTTTTGGTGGGCAGATTTCACAGATGCTGCTATACATGTCTCACTGTGCCATTCGGGAAGAGTGTCATGTCTGGCTGTCTTAACAATGATTTTACTGTCATCATCCCCAGTTTTACAGTGGAATTTGAGCAGAGAGGTTAAGAAACTTGGTCAAGGTCACAGGGTAAGTGGACTCACGCCCAAATCTGATACCAAATCCTGCAATAACCACCATACTCTCCTCAGAGCCAGATGCAGCCCTGGGTGAGAATGGGGAGCCAGCTCCATCCCTCACTTCAGGTAGCTCATCACTAGAGGTGGAGACCAACACGGAGGCTGATGGTAATGCGTGAGGCGGGCTCAAATGAGGACTAGACCTGTGGGAGCCCAGGTGAGGGGCTTCCTCAGGAGGCCAGGGCTGAGTCCTCAAGGGTGAGGAGCATTATGGGGGGAGGGAACAAGGAGGCTGGGAGAGCACAGTGAGCAGGCCAGCCACAAAATGGGATCTGAGAATAAAATGGTCCAAATTCCAGTGTACAGTTTCTGGGCACCAAAAACCTAGCAAGTTGCACTGTTTCTATGTGAGGCAGTATGGGGAAAAGCATTTTGGGGCATGGAGGCAGTCGACTTCCCTCGCCACACCTCTCCTCCTGGTGTCCCTGGGGATACTAAGGCCTGCTCCTTCTTTCCAGCCCGGCTTGGTTCCAAGTCCTCCATTAGCTGCCCTCCATCCCTCTGTCTCAGCGGGCCTGGACTGCCAGGTGAAGGGCAGAGAAAGGACAAGCCAGGAATGCTGTGTCAACATCTGTCCACCTGGTCGGGATTTGCAGGCTGGAACCCAGGCTACTCGGCAGGGAACCTGGTTACTCAGCTGCTCCTGCCTTCTTCTGCAGTAACCTGAGCCCGCTCTGTAGGTTCTCCCTAAGAAAGCTGAGTGTCTGAGTGTCCCTTACTCCAGCATTATTCTACTGTAACTTGAGAACTCGATCTATAGATGCTCTGTAGGCAGCTGCCAGTGAGGGGAAAAGGTGGAGGGGAGGAATCCAAGAATAGCTCCAGTTATCGAGCGCCTAGGGTGTCCCAGGCACTGCTCAAGGCACTTGACCTGCCAGCAGGCCTTCTGGGCTGGGAGGAGGCATAGACCACCGGCTGCCATTCACCCTGCTCATTATTCCTTCTTTTGCTTTCGCTGGGGGGTCCTCTCTCTACTTGGGCAGGTAGGTCCCAGCCTCAGCCCTGAGGGTGTGAATCAAGATGGAAATATCGGAAAATTCAGATCAGGCTGGTTAGCTAACCCAGCAGTCATTTTCTTCCCCTCCAGAGACTGAGGATGTTCTCCTAGCCTCCCTTGCAGCTGGTGGTGTCATGTGGTCCATTTTGGGCCAGTAAGATGTAAGAGGTCTTCTGTGTGGGGGTGGAGTGGGGTGCTCCCAGAAAAGCTGTTCTTTTTGATGAAGACAGAGCCATGAGAGGAGCATTTGCTGGGCCCTCTTGCCCCTTTGTCCTGCTTTGAATGAGAATGAGGTCAGGAGCTGTTGCAGCCACCTGTACGCAGGAGGCCACAGTCAGACAAACAAGCCAAAGTGCCACTGAACCAACCCAGAGACCTTCCAAACCTCTTGTTAAAGAAATGCGTGTTCTTCAGACCGAAGCCATCAGTTCTTTGGTGTCCTCTTCCTTGGAGCTGAAAGTATTCCGGACCCATCCGTGGCTGTGCTACCCATGCCAGGAAGTTGATTGGCTATAATCATTTGCCATTTTGACCAGTGAGATATAAGAGGGAGGTTCTGTTATGAGGCTTCAGGGAAAGTTTATCCTTGCTCTTAAAAAGAGAAGTTCTGGAAGAAATAGTCACCTCCTGTCTGTACCTCATGCTTTATAATGTGGCAGCCATCCTGTGGCAGATTCCCATAGCCCCAAGGGAGGGAATTTTCATGGAAGAGCCAGAGGACAATAGTGGCAAACCTTTGGGTTTAAATGTAAAATCCCATAATGCAGATGTAGGACAAAGATTTGGGGAGATCAGGCAGGTCCAGTATCATTGCCTAGATTGGGCAGAGAGCCTTAGGGTTGGGGGAGGGCTGTAGGGAAGTAAAAGGAGAGGGCAACAGAGAGAAAATGGTCCCTGAGCCATCCCAAGCCTCGGGTTAGCTGTGAGGGGAGGTGAGGATGGATGTACTTGAGCCACGGAACCCCTGGGACATCTGGGAATCTGAGAGAGACATTTCCCATGCCAGTCGCAGAATGTGCAAGGCTTGCGAATAATAGAATAGAATAAAGATGGTCGTGTGAGAAGGTGAGGTAGAGAGGGTCCAGTGAGGACCCTGTAGCCACAAAGAGTCACAAGAAAGGAACTAAACCTCTTCTGTGCTCCTAGAAGGGTGTGGACGTGGCTGAGAGAGAACCCCAGTGACCTTCATGGGTTGTGGGGTCCAGACAAGCGCCACCACCAGCGGATGCAGCGAGGACTGTACGTCCAGAGACCAGAAGGCAATGCCAGCCTCCCCGTGGATGCCAGCGTGCAGTGGTGACTAAGGCCAAGGACCAGATGGGCCACCAAACATCAATCTTGTGACCAGCCGAGAGAACAGATGTTGAGTGAGGACCGCTGCCTCCTGGAACACTGTGTTGCATGAGTCTCCAGATGCCACCTTGTGGGGTGACGGTGATGTATTTCATCATCAACTGAGGACTGTTAGTTTCCACCTAAAAGGACTGAGTGGACCCAGAATTGACTCAGATGATGTTTTCTGTTTCAGATGGAATGGAGCTTGAATCAGACAGTGAGGTTGAACTGGGCTTGTTTATATTATGTTCTGGGCCCTGGGCTAAAAGCTGTCATTTAATTCCTACAACAGCCCTGCTGAACAGATACCCTTCTCCCTCTTTCTTAGAGAATAAAACGAAGGCTTGGGAAGGAGCAGTCACATGTCTAAAGGTTGCTTGTCACGTTAAGTGGCAGAGATGGGAGTTAAATTCAGGGCTGACTTTAAGGCCTGTGTTCTTCCGACCATGAAAAACACACTAACATATGAACAGCACTAGCTAACTTTTAGTGACTACTTCCCACGGGTCCTGCCTTCTGCCTAAGGCTCTACAAACATCCTTTCATTTAAATCTCATAGAAACCAATGAGGAGATTCTATTAGTTTGCCCATTTTTACAGGTGAGGACACTGAGGCACAGAGAGGGGACGGACTGACTTTGACCCATGCTTATGTAGGCGGCTTAGCGTGAACCCAGGCAGCCCCCCGGTGCCCCACACGCTTACCAACCATGGCAGTTCTCACATGCAGCGATGTGACCTTCAGGGACATTCACACATTATTGGGATTCTGGGGTCTCGCTCACCAGGCTGAAGGGTGTTTGGTTACAGGCTGCTGGGGGTGTTTGGGGCTGCAGGGGGTAGGGTGGGAAGATCCTAAGGACTGGGGAAGGAGTGAGGTGGGTGCTGGGCATCAGCTCACCTCCTCCTGCAGAATCTTCATCTCAGCCACCAGGTGCTGCTGCTCCTTTTCCTAAGTGAGCCCAGAGAGAGGACAAAGGTTTCTTTTCCGGACTCCTTGCTCCCATGTTGCCCTTCTCCCACCCCTGGGAACATAACTCGGGCCTGGATCCCTGAGGAGCTGGGCTGGGGGAATGGGTCTGGGGAGCCCTGATGGCTCTTGCTGTCCCCTTTGTCACGAGAGAGATGGCAAGTAGATCTGGCCTCCAAGTCTGAAGTGAGCAGTCCTGAAGTGAGGGAGGAAGGCCAGGGTGACCTCTGCTCCTTCCCACTCCAGTCAGGCTCTGCTGCTCAGACTCCAAGAAAGGGAAAGGAAAAGGGTACCTTCGTGCCCCTTGCCCAGAACCTACTGTCTGCCGGGCCTGGGCCAGAAGGTTGCGATTCTGTTCCTCCAGGCTCTTGGCCAGGCTCTTCAGGTCCTCCAGCTCCTCATCCACAGCCTTGGCAAACTGCAGGGCCTGCTGGGTACTGAGTGGGGGCAGGGGCAGGTGGGCCACAAGAGAAACGAAGAGAGAAACCACACAGATAGATTCTCTCAGAAAGACAGAAGCAGCAGAGAAATCCCAGACAGAGACCCAGAGATAGAAGGAGACAGAGGCCAGAGAGAGGGAGCCAGAGACTCAGAAAAAATGGGGGGAAAAAAACGAGTACCGGGGAACAAGTTTCTACCTAAAAGGCTAAGGGGGTGGGACAGAGACCTTGAGTGTGAGAGACTAAAACGGAAACCAGGACAGACATGAGGAAGAAGACAGAGCACAGGGAAAGGAATAGGCCGCTGACCTGGAGAACCAGAGAGAGAAGAATAGAGAAGTCTGAACCCTAGAGGCTGAGACACAAGAACCAGGGAGACACAAAAGAGAAAGATAAAAGATAGAAAGGAAAAGAAGAAAAGGACATGTGCAGGATCACAGACACAGAACAGGAGTCGCAGAGAAAGGGAGCAGAGAGTGAGGCTGGGGCTGTGGTCAGGAGGGACCCAGGGGCACAGGAGGGACCCAGGGGCACAGGAGTGTCGCTGTGGGCTGGCCCACCTGCGAAGCTGCTTGCGCAGGGCCGAGATCTCCTCCCCGAGACGTGCGGACCCCTCCTCGGCAGTCTCCACGCTGCGCTGCAGCTTGGCATTCTCCCCAACCAGCCTGCGGTTACTGAGCTCCAGGTCCTCCAGGCTGCTCAGCAAGTCAGCTGTGGTGGGCCTGGGGACAGGAAGGGCCAAGGTCACTACCCACTGCCCTGTCCTCCTTTCCCAAGTGAGGGTAGGCGGTGAGGGTGGTGAGGCCATAGGGCTCTTGTGGAGAAAGAGGAACAAGAGAGAGGCTGCCCTGCTCTCTTTGAGCTATTAGCACAGTCCCTGTCCCTCACCCACTCCCCGAAGGACCCCAAACCCTGGCCAGGCCCTGGGCAGGCTGGAGGGCACGGGAAGGGGGAGGGGGACCCAAGGATAGGTACAGCTCAGGTCTGGGGTCTTCGCCTCCAAAGCTCTCCAGGTTGGCTGGCTCCTCTTGGCATCCTGGAGGGAGACAGACAGAGGGTATTAGGCTCCCCGGTGACCTTAGATGTCGGGGTGCCCCAGGATGCAGGGCTTGGTCGTTCTCTGGCCTCCACCCTCACATTTGTACTGGGTGCTCCTGTCTCCTCCCAGGGCTGCAATTATGCACACCATTGAAAAGGCCTCTTGTCCATCAGTACCTTGAGCTTAGGCTGGATCCCCGATAGCCCAGTAATTTCCACGCCCAACACTGGGCAACACCTCAACTGCCCCCAAAACTTGTTCTTCCTCCAAGTTTCCCTCCCACCCACCACCTGGGTCCCTCACTTCTCCTCACCCCCACAGTCTACCAGAGCCCAGGCCCTATCCCCCACCTCCCTGACTCTCTGCTCCACCCTCCTGTCCCCAAGCCCCATCCTGGCTCAGGCTTTGCTCTCTCCCACTGGACCCTCATCACAGCCTCCTCTTGGTCTTCGGCCTCTCGCTCCTGTCTCCTGTCCGGATTCCCCACCCAGAGGGGGTCTTTCCCTACCCAGAACTTACCTGCCTCTCCCCTACTCACAGCCCTCCCCTGGCCCCCAAGCTCGACTAGAGGCGGTTCAATGTCAAGAAAGCTCTATTTTATTTGCTTTTGGTTTGTGTTTGTAAGGCTGGAGAAATATAACACAAACACTTGTTTATGGAGCACCTCCTGTGTGTGAGGTCCTTGGGATACAATGGTGAGCAAATCAACTAACCAAATATCAGGGCAGGTAACTAATCAGATAATTAGATTTCTGAAGAAAAGGAATACAGGTCTGTGTGTGAGTGTGTGGAGAGCAAGGGACCTTAGGCTGCGGCATCGCAGCACCGCCTCCCGCCCCCGCCCCAGGGCTTCCCAAGTGTTAAGTATGAAAGGGAGGTTGTGGAAAGTTGAGGCTGGGAAAAGAGCCTGAACTGAGACCCAGGCGGGCAGGTGGGTGGCCTATTCAAGGAAGAGCCACAGGCCAGGGGGACTGGAGTGAAGGAACTAGATAGAGAGTAGCGGAGAGCCTGCTGGATGATGACGACGATAAGAGGTGGGCGGGGCCTCGTAGGGCTCTATAATAGGGCTAGTGTTAGGAGGGGGTGTTGGAAACAACCTGCGAGGAATGAAACCCCCAAAGCTTAGGAAAGATTGAGAGGCAGTCATGGAAGCGCCTAGAAAGCCAAACTCACAGCTCCAGGCTAGAGCAAAGGTCCCTGGGGTCCCACTCTATCCCCTGCTCTGCTGCTGGATGGGAAGTCTCCCCACTGTCTGACCCTGGGCCTGCCTGCTTCATTCTATATATAGCAATCTCACCAGATGGCAGTTGCTGGGAGGTCAGGGTCCCCTCGAAGGCGGTCTCCTCTTCCAGCTCTAATCCTCTATATCAAAGGGATGAGGCTCAGAGCCCCCTGCAGCCACCCCTGAACCCTGATCAGTCACTGGCAGGGGGGTTGAGAGTGGCCGGAGGAGGGGCCAGATTAGGTGAGAGCAAGCACCGTAGGGAGGAAGGTGAGGCCAGATGGCAAGCGCTTGAGACCAGATGGAAAAGCAGGAGGGGCAGGACTGGGATTGGAGAAGGGATGTGGAGGGGCCACTGTCAGTCCCCCATCATCCCCCTTCTCCTCCTTGCAGCCCCTTTTATTTCTGCCTCCCAGACCCCCTTCACCTCCCCATCCAAGGCACTTTGTCCTCAGACCCTCCCCCCTCCCCCAACCCCATCTCTTTCCTTTTTCTCTCCTCAGCCTCCTTCCAACCAAAGGAGGCTCCTGTGCCCAAAGGGTGCTGGCTGCAGTAAACAGGTATGAGGTTAGATCGTAAGAAAAACTTCCCAGGGGAGGGTGGAGGTGCGGGGACCCACCCATCCAGCTGACAGGCAGCGATCCAGTCCCGCATGACGACCAGGAAGGTGTCCAAGTCCACGGTGGCCTGAGGACCCTCTCCATTGGGGTCCAGCTTGCAGGCCAATGTTTGGAGGCGTGCATCCTGGGGGCCCCGTCCTGTCATTGCCTCCAGGTAGGCTAGTACATGGGTCACAGCCACAAAGCCTGGGGACAGAGAATGTTGTGAAGTCTGGGTCAAGTGTGGGGTGGAGCCCAGTCACACCTACCTCAGAGTGTGGACCAAAGGGGACCAGCTATGCCCCACCAGGCCCAGAGTAGCTGCCCTCCATCCCCCTCCCAGGTCCCAAAGCCCCACCCGGCATCTTCCATTAATGTCCCCCAAGTATTCCTCCCCTCACTGTCCTCGCCTAAAAGGCCTCCATCCCCTTATCCACTTCCTTCCTGAAGCCACAATCACTCACTTGTCCAGCAGGACGGCCAAGAAAGGGCCTTAACCCATCCCTCTGTCTATGGCTCCCCAGTTCCCAATCTATGCTCCTTATTATTCCTTGTGTCTCTCATGCCCAGTGCTCCCCACACCCCGTCCTGCCCCTCCCACCTGTCCTTTGGGGGTCACAGGCTTCGAACGTGGAGTTGAGTATTTGCTCCTCTAAGCTGAGCAGTGTCCCCAGGCTCCCCTCCTCCGGCTGGTCACAGAGGTAAACTGAGGAGACAAAAGGGCCAGTTCAGCCACCCGGAAGAGGCAGATGAGGAGAGAAGAGGACTGACCTGGGCTCCTGCAAGGGAGGGAATTCATTTAGGTCTGCCTGGAGTTGGGGTTAGAGGGGAACAGCAGGAAGCTTCGGATGGGGGTAGCAATGCGAGGGTCTTTGAGTCATCTCCCCACCCCTCACCCTCCACCCTGGAGATGTGGGCACCATCTTTCAGGCCAGGAAGTGCCCCCTGCTGTCTAATCCTTTGTGTCCAATTGGCTCAGGAGCCTGATAAAAAGAATGAACAATCACTCTTTCCTCTTCTCTTCCCCTGCCTCTCAGGCTCAGTTCTGAGCGAGACAGAGGCAGGGGAGGGCCAAGAAGAGAGGATTCTGGGAGGAGCTTAGGGTGAAGCGGGGGCCCAGGAGAGCCAGGAACAATCCGATAACCTGAAGCGCAGGCAGGCTGGATCGATTCTGCCTGCTGCATCTCCGGTCGGCTAGCCTGCCTGGGGGCCCGATATCTCTCCACTCCCCTTCCCTGATTCACAAAGCTGGTGTCATGGGAGCCCAAGGCCAGGGGCCCCAGTTGAGGGGGAATAGGGTTATCCAGGCAGGGTGGGCAGTGGGGGAGCCATTAGGAGCTTGGAGCCCAGCTGCACGACTGTGGGCAAGTTGCTTCTCTTTTTGGAGCCTCAGTTTCCCCACCAGTAAAATGGGGGTGGGTAGAGTGACCTCCCCCCTGAGGGCTGGGTTACGTCTGTGTATGTGAAGAGCCTACACACACACACACACACACACAGAGTGAATGTCCCAGGGTCTGCTTGTCCACTGCTGTATCCACAGTGCCCGCATAAAATAGGCACTCAATAAATACTCCAGGATATAGGAGGAGATCCTCTACCCCAGGAGCCACTAGGACAGCCTAGACTATTTCCCAGAGTTGGAAGTGACCTTTAAGGTTCCCTGGACAGCTGGATATAGCAGCCAGCTAAGCACAGGCTTCAGGGTCTGGCAGACTCAGGGGACAACCCGGGCAAGAGACTCAGCCTCTCTGAGCCTCAGTTTCTTCCTCTGGAAAATGGGGGTGGTGTTCCCTCCATTTTAGAGAAATGAGACAAAATCTGAAAAGGCCCTGGCAGAGGGCCTGACACATGGTGGGAGCTCAGTAATAAAATCAAACATTTATTTTCTCGGCATGTACTCGGGCCTCTTCTGAGCGTTTTGCATGGACAATGGTGGCTGCTATTATCAGCCCCACTTTACAGATAAGGAGACTCAGGCACAGAGAAGTTAGAAACTTGCCCAAGGTCACCTGTTCAACATATGAGTGCCCTTTCTCATCCCTTTACCTCTTCGAGGGTTCTTTGCAGTGAGCTCAAATTTGACTCCCTCAGGTTTGAACCCATGCTCCTTGGGAAGGACAGCAGGAACCCACCGTTATGGGAGATGCCAGGGCCCCCATACTCTCGTTTCTTCCTCTCACCGTATTCCCCATGCAATGGAGGACCAAGGCCCAGCAAGGTTACTTGCCCAGGGCTGCTCAGCCAGGGGTAGCAAGCCAGCCACCTCAGGACTGTCTGGCTCCAGATACACATGTGTCTATGGTCCCTTCCCAGAGCCCTGCAGGAGGATGTGACTACGCTTCTCTTCTGTTCTCCTTCCTTCATTCCTTCCTCAGTGTTTCTCCCTCTCTCTGTGTTCTGTCCCTGCCCTTCTCTAGTTTTTTCTCTGGCTCTTGCCGTCTATCTTCTTTCCCATCTCTCTCCCCACTGTGTCCTGCCCCTCTGTCTCCATGTCCCTTGCCCCCATTTTCTTCTGTCTCCATCTCTGTGTTTCTCGTCCCGTATCTCAGCGACTCTCCATTCCCCGAGCCTTGTCTCTCCTTCCACTGCTATCTCTGTCTCTTCCCACCCTCCCCTTCCTGTTTCCATCCCTCCTGGGTGTGTCCCTCCCTTTCCTTCAGAGCCTCCGCAAACTGGCTCAGCCCTTGCCCACAGGTTCCTCGGGGCCCGCACGCCCTCTGCTGGTGCCTGTGAAGTTTCAATGTTGGTCACTCCGTCAGAAAGCCCTCAGTTGGTTCCTGCACCCAGGTGTCTGCCTCATATCCTCCTACCTGGAAAGTCTCCTGAGGCCAGAGTCCAGGCCTGGGGTTCTGACAAAAGACACAGGTTCTGCTGCTGGATTCTGGGAGCCTCTAGGAAAGGGGTCCTGCCTCTCCCAGGGACTGGAAGCCTCCTCCCCCATCATCACACTGGGCTCCTCACTTAGCAGATGAGTTTCAGCATCTTCCTCCAGAAGCAGCTTTCACACCCACTTGATTTGCATCTAGCCAATCATTCAAGGACAGAAACCAAGTTCCTACTACATGCCAGGCACTGTTCTAGGGTAGCGCTAACCAGCAGGGCAGCCACTTAATTAACCACATGCGGTTCCTGAGCACGTGAACTGTGGCGAGTGTGAATTGAGGTGCACTATTAGTGTAAAGCACACACCAGATCTTGAAGACTTAGTATGAAAAAGGAGAATATCTCCAACACATGTTTATACTGATTATATGCTGAAAATATACTACCTTGGATGTATTAGGTTAAATAAAATCTATTATTGCCATACATTTTGCCTGTTTCTGTTTTCTTTTAAAGGTGTCTACTAACAAAATTTAAAATTACATATACAGCTCGTGTGTTGAACAGTGTTGCTCTGGGAACTGGAAATACCAGAGTAAAGAAATACCTGCCTGGTGGAGCTCCTGAACAGACATACAAACCAGTGTCAGTGCTATGAAGAGAAGTAAAGCAGGAAAGAGGAGAGAGTGACAGGGCAGCTGTGTTATGGAAAAAATAGATCTGAATGAAGACAGGGTGAGCTTGTGGGTCATTGGGAAAGGGTGCTCCAGGCAGGGGACACAGCATGCAAAGGCTTCTGCTCTGGGACAAGGGGTTCAGACAGAAACACAGCAGGCTCCCTCCCTCGTACCCCCAACCAAGGCGGAGCCTCAGCTACCCCAAGCCACTTCTCCCGTCACAGCCTGGCACCTCTTCACCCACTGCTCCTTCATCCTCCCACGGGCAAACAGGGGCCCAGCCACCTACTTTTTGCAGCAGGGCTGCCTTCCAGGCTCTCTGGCAGGTCCATGGGCCACCCTCCTCACTCCGCAGCTACTGGCGATGCTAACAGCCTCCCTCTATCACTGGAAAGGATCAAAAAGGGACCAGCTGCCTTGAGAGCTCCTGGGAGGACAAACAGGGGATTGACCTCCTCAGACCAGCCACCCCAAGTTGAGGACCCACCCTGCCCCACCTGTGCCCCAGGCCACTCTGGGTTCTCAGAACCTGTTTGCCCACCCATGCCTCCATCACAGCAGCTCTGGTTCAGACCTGTTTAATGGATTGGAGATGTGGGCTGGGAAAAGGGGGACTGGAGGAGTGAGTGGCATAGATCAAAGGGGGCCTAGTGGATGGGGGTCACTGCCTCCTCTCCGCCCCTTCTCCCCACAGCTTGTCAAGTCCCCAGCCCTGTCCCTCCTCCCCAATGACTCTACCCTGTCCCCTCCTCTCTTTCCCTAGGGCCCTGGCTCAGGCCTTGTCCTCTTCCCCTGGGCCCTCATTCCAGCCTTCTCTCTGGCCTCCTAGCCTCATCTCCCACTTCAGTCCATCCCCACAGGGCCCTAGAGCTGACCTGCCCCTCCCCTGTTCAACACTCTTCCATGGCTCCCTAGCATCCCAGGGACAAAGCCTTGGCCCTGGACCTGGCAAAGGCCCTGCATGGCCTGGCCCCACCTGCCTCCCTACCCCAAATCATACTTGCTGCACCAGTGACTCTGAGCTGTGTGCTGTACCCCAAGCCAGGCTCCCTATTCCCACCTCTGTTTGTCTGGGACACCCTACTTGCCAGTCCTTCCTGTCTCAGCTCACATGTCCCCTCCTCTGGGAAACGTTTCTGAACATTTGTCTCTGGGTTTCCGCACTGCCTTGGACTACTGATAATCCTTGTCATATCAGCCTGTTATTTGGAACTGTTGGCCTCCCGCATGAGTTTGAGCCCATTTCTCCCGTTTGCAGCCTTCCCATAGCTCCCTAGTGCCCTCAGGACTAAGTCTTAGCTCCTCTGGCTAGTGTGGCACAGGGCGGTCCCTGCAACTCCTTTTTTTGGTCACTTTTCTCTCCACTGGCTGACCTCCAGGTCCCTCACCCTCATCACGACCATGGGAGTTTAGCATCTTCCCGTGGTCCTCCCAGACCCAGACCATACAACATACACCATTTCCACCGGTGGCCCCTGCCTTGGCCCACAGTTCCCTGGGGAGGCTTCCTGAGTCCTTGGAGCAGTTGGGGACTCCCTCCTCTGTGCCCCAACAATGCCCTGTCCTGCCTCCATTATAACCAGGTTGACCATAAGACTTCTTGCCCCAACTCCAGGACGTTTTCAAGAGTGAAAGGGGTGCTACTTAATAATGACGCTGGACAATAGTGCCCATGGTGCTGAACTGAGTACACTGGGTGGGGCATTCGGTCAACACAGGGTTGTCTGGGACCTGTCCCACCTGCTCAGCCCTCCTTTCCTCACCAAGTACTCCCCACACCCTGCTCTCCCTGGCACCAGAGGGGGTCCACAGCTGTGGAGTGCACACTTCTTGGCGACTTTTAGAACATTCTAGCAAAAGTGGTCTTTGAAAGGAGACCCTTCCAGGGTTTGGACAACGCTGGGGGGGTGGTGTGCAGAAGGGGGTGGATGGCCATGGGGCCTGAGTGGGGAAGGGTCACTTTGAGGGTGCTGAGAGGCACTGGGAGCTTCTGACAGGGTTTAGGGGACAAACTCCTGGTAAGGGACTAAGAGATGCTCTAGTCAATCTCAGGGGCCTCTGATGGGGAGGACCCAGGCAGGATTTCTGGGGATTTTTAAGAGGGTCTGGATTTAGGGGGTCTCTGGAAGGGGTCTCTGACTGGTGTTCAAGAAGGTGTCCCACTGGATCGCTGAGTTTCTGGATTTCTGGGGAATCTGACTTTATTTTGGGGGCTGTCTGACTAAATTTCAGAGGTCTCAGATATTTGAGAAGAGAAAATCTAACAGAATTTTTGTGAGTTTCACAAGATTTCTGGGAATCTGTCAGGACTTGCGGGATCTGATAGGATTTGGGGAGGGAGAGTAATGGGATTTCAGGGGTTTGTGACAGGCTCTGAGGGAGAAGGCTGAGGGAATTTCTAGAAGGTTCTGACAAAATTTCGAGGGTCATATAAGATCTCCTGATGGCTTCCTCTCAGTATTTCTGAGGGGATTTAGTCAGGATTTCCGGACTTTTAACGAGACCCCCTGATACTGGGGACTCTCCCCTACAACTTAGGGGCTTTGCGAGGGTTCCGGGAGGGGCTCTGACAGGGCTAACCTGGGGAACCTCGCTACAGCCAGAGCGCACCTGAGGCCGAGGGCCACGAACGACGAAAGGCGGTTGCCGGAGTGGAGGGGAAAAGCGCAAGCGCGCTAGAACCACCGGAAAAAGCAAAGAGGGCGGGGCGGGATTGAGAGCGCATTTGGCGTCTAAACCCCTCCGCGTCTGGGCTCCTCCCCCAACGCAGGCGCACTTCTGGGGAAGGGGCACGCTAGTATGGTCGGGCACCTGCAACTGCGAGGCTGCGCATGCGTAGGGGTTCCCTAGCGCGCGCCCGAACCAGAGGGGCGGGCGCATGCGTATTGGCCAAGCCGGTGAAGGCTGGAAAGATTGTGGCTGGTTCGGGATGGGGAGGGAGGCAACTTCTCCTGTGCTGGGGTCTTCTCTGCAGCCCCAAGATTCGGTGAAATAGGCAGGCCCAAGCAAGGGAGAAATGGCCTGAGAGACCCGTTGTCCGGGATCCCCACTTTTTATCAGCTACTAAGCTGTGCTCTTTCTGCCTTCTGTTCCGTGACAGGCTGCCTCTCACCGTCACAATGATGTCTTGTCCTGTTCTGCCTCACCACTCCCGCGCCCTTTTGCGGCTCCAGTAAAGGTGTATTAATAAGTCCCCGAAGTATTCTTCCCCAAACGGTTTCATTTACTCCTTTTAGGAGAGAATGTGGGAAAAATATTTTCTGGCTAGGGAGAGGAAGAGAATTACATCCAAAATTGAAGATCCTTCCAAGGAGGAGGATTTGGGACAAAAGATGTCCCATTCATTCAACCTCTCTGCTAGCCCACACTATCCACTTTTTAGTGGTCCTCATGGAGTGTCTGAAAACATGACATATCCTATATTTGCCTACTGTCTCACCTCCACTGGAATGTGACCTATGTGCGGTAGGAGACTGTTTTGGGCCTAGAACATGCCTGTCCTGGTGTGAACGCTAAAAAAAAATGTTGGATTGAATCCATGCCTTTTAAGTACTGGGCAGTGTAGAGTGATAAGGTTGTGGGCCTGGAGTCAGACATGCTTAGGTTTGAATTTTGGCTCCATCACTTCCTAGCTGTGACCTTGGTACAATGGCTGACCCTCTCTAAGACTCAGTTTTCCTCTCAGAAATGAAGATAATTGCTTCTTAGGTCACCTTGAGGACTTAGGGTGGTAATCCTTGTTAATTGATAGTTATTATTTTGGCTATTAGATGGTGGCTTGTTACAAGCCCTGGGGAAGATCCTGTTTGGTAGGTGATGTGGTGAGTGGTTAAAAGATGGAATCGGACAAACCTAGTGCCATTGCTGTGTGACTTTGGCAAGTGACTTCACATTTCTGAATGTCAGCTTCTTCTCTAAATTGGGGACAAAAAATATCCACCTCATGAGGTCTTATGAGAGTTCAATAAGAATGTTTGCCAAGTGTTTTCTTAGCACAGGCTGGCATGTGGTGGACAACGTTAGCTTTATTAATATAATTTATTAGTATAATGTAATTCTTTCAGTTTATACTTTCAGTATTTCTTGTTCCTTCCTTTTTTGAGGTATGGGTAATTTGTAACGCCTAAAAAAACCCCAAAAAAACATTTTATAGTATAATGGTAACATACATAAAGTGCTAAATCTTGTTATAGCTCAATTAAACTTTTATAGCTGTCTGAGTGCTTAGATCAGTGATATTTTTAGATGATTGATATTTAACTTGTCTTCTATAATAATATATGCATTTAAGACCATAATTTGCTTTCTGAGAACTTCTTGAGCTATACTCCATAAGTTTATGTCACATTTCCATTATTACTCAGTTCAAAATATTTACTAATTTGACTTGCGAATTATTTTAGTCGTGTATTTCTTCATTTCCAAATATTTTATGACTGCCTAGTTATCTTTTTATTGCTGGAATTTGCCATGGCCTGGTTGGCTGAGGCTTGGGGACATATCCTGAAAAGAGATAGTGCAGCTAGATGTAAGAAGAAACTTTATTTCCATATGATGCTTGGGATAGGATCTGGTGGGGGGTACATGCAGGTGTTCCCCTGTCCCCACCCCTATAGCTACTGGGAGGGCCTGAGAATGTACAGGAAGTGGGTCTTTCGGGCAGGCAGCTTGGAGTGGGAGGAACCCTGGGTCCCCTCTTCAAGGACATCCTCTCGGGTCCCTTCTCGGAGCCCATCCCGGATGGCCTGCAGGCGCTGTCTCTTCTCGCTGAGCCAGCGGCTGCCCTCCTGGATATCCTGGTGGGACCTTCGCTGTGGCAGCTTCATGATCCAGAAGGCCACTCGGGGATGGGGTTCCAGGTGGAAGCTGTCCATGGCCTTTGGGACGGGCACCAGGGCCTCCTTCTCCTCTATCTTGGGTACCTGGGGAGGAGGGACAAGGAGACCCTCTCAAACTGTAAATGACAACCTCAGGATGCTCAGACCCCACTGGCATATTCTGCTCACTTTGCCACCTACAAGCCACGTTGGGAGTTAAAAACTCACTTTGCAGTTTACAAAGCACTTGGATTTACAAGCGCTTTTGGATTAAAAAATACTCCGAGGTTTATAGACTACTTTGGGATTGAAAAAATGCTTTGGAGGTATCAAAAGCACTTTGGGGTTTAAAATGCCTGTTGGGATTACAAAGCACTTTAGGATTAAACATACTCTGAAGTTTGGAAAGCATTTGGAAATGTGTAAAGCACTTTGGGATTAAAAGCTCTTGGCTTTACTAAAGAATCATGACCACAATTGCTATGTGTGCTCCTTGATTGAATCCTGGTCCAAAATCAAATCAGCCTTACAAACAGCTTTGGGTCCAGTGGGGACATTTGAATATGGACTGAATGTCTGTTTGGTCCCTGCTACTCAAAGTGTGGGCTGTGGACCAGTTTCCTCAGCATCATCTGGGAGCTTATTATATATGTAAATTAGTGGGCTGCAGCCCACTCTAACTTACTGAATCAGAGTCTGCATTTTAATAAGTTTAGGTCTGAGAAGTCCTGTAAGAGATTCTTATAGGTTGAATTGTGCATCCTCCCATTCATATGTTGAATTCCTAACCCCCAGGACCTCAAAATGTGATCTTATTTGGAAATAGGGTCATTACAGATTTAATTAATTAGGATGAGGCCATTAGGGTGGTTCCTAATCCAGTATGGCTGGTGTCCTTATGCAAATGGGAAACTTGGACACAGAAATGCAGACATGGAGAACTCATGAAGATGAGGCAGAGATGGGCAGGGGTGAGTGGGGGTGGGGCGGTGATGCATCTACACACAAAGGGTCACCAAAGACTGTTAGCAAACCACCAGAAGGTAGGAGAGGGGCATGGAAGAGACCCTTACTCACAGCTCTCACAAGGAACCAACCTTGATCTTGGACACATAGCCTCTAGAACCATGAGACAAAAAAATTCCCATTATTTAAGTCACCCAATCTGTGGTACTTTGTGACAGCAGCCCTCACAAACAAATACAGAGATAATAGTTTGACATCAACGTTAAATTTCTTGGATGTAAAAAGGGTACTGTGGTCATGTGGGAGAATGCATTATTCTGAGCAGATATCTGCTGAAGGATTTAGGGGTGAAGTGTCATGATGTCAATAACTTATTATCATATGGCTCAAAAATACAAAAATAAAAATTAAGTAAATGTGGTAAAATGCTAACAAATGGTGAAGCTAAGCCAGTGGTTCTCAACCAAAGTCTGGAGACATTTTTGGTTGTCACAACTGGCCAGGGTGGGGGCAGTACTTCTATCTAGTGGGTAGAAGCAGGGATGCTGCTAAACATTTGACAATACAAAGAATGGCTCCATGTACAAATAAAGCAAATATTATCCAGCCCACAAATGACAATGGTGCCAAAGTTGAGAAACCCTGCTATGTATGAAAAAGAGAATACACATAAACTTATTGTATAATTTTTTTCCAACTTTTCTGTAGATTTGAAATTTTTGAAATAAAAAATGATGTGTGTGTGTGTGTGTGTGTGTGTGTGTGTGAACCATATGGGTTTGTCAAGCACTTGGGGGTTCTTAAGAATTTTTAGGGTAAAAAAGTAAGCACATTGGGGTTAGAGTCACAGACAGGTTTTTTTTTTTTTTTTTAGCTGAGCCATCCTGCTACCTGTTGGCAGCTCAGCGGCTGCTCAGCTCGGGCCGGGACTCGAACCGCTGTTGCTCAGAGNTTTTTTTAGCTGAGCCATCCTGCTACCTGTTGGCAGCTCAGCGGCTGCTCAGCTCGGGCCGGGACTCGAACCGCTGTTGCTCAGAGCTCAAACTCAGACAGGTTTACAAAGGTGAGATACACAAAGCATTTGGGGTTCATAAAACACTTTGGAGTCAAAAATAACATTTTGAAGTTTACGAGGGATAGATTTACCACTTTGAAATAGATTAAAAAATACTTAAAGGTTTGCAGAGTACTTTGAGATGAAAACACACTTTGAGGTTTGTGAAGGTGAAGCATACCAAGCACTTGGAATTAAAAGCACTTCTTGGTTTACAGAACCCTCTGGGGTTTACTAAGCGAGTGGAGGGATGTACTTTGAGGTTGTATACCTCATTACTGAGAGCTGGTTAGTCCCTTTTGACAGATGACAAAACTGAGGCCTAGAGAGAGGAAGTCCCACATAGAGGGGGAGGAAGAATTAACTCATCTTTTCCTCTTAAACTACAGAAAATGTTTGGGCCTGGACATTTTGTCGGGGGCATGTCCTAACCTTCCAGTCATCCTCCAAGCTTCCCTCTCCTGGCTTGATGGATGCCACCACCTTCTTGGAGATCAGTACCTCTCCTGTCTTATTGTCGGTTACCTGTGACAACAGGAGGAGAGCATGAGAGCAAAACTGTTTTCCTCCTCTGTCTTCCTCCCAACAGATACTGCAGTATGAAGGATCATGGGGGGAGACTCCAGGAGGGACTTCCCGGCATAGGCACCTTGTCGATCTGGAGGTGGCTGGAGAGAGTGTTGGTTCCCAGCCGGTGCTCCTGGTTCTCTTCTTGGTGGTAGTTGTTAGGGAGGCTCCGCAAGTCCATGGGGGCAGAGAAGAAACTGTCCATGCCCTGTAGCAGGTCATCCTGGGGCCGGAGGAGGGACTGGTGAGCTGCCGGAGCTCAGGACATCAGCAGCCCTACCAGGATGCCCTTGAGGCCTTGCCATGTCCCGTCCACTCCCTTCTCTCTCCATCCTCTGACTCTTAGGACCAGGCCACCTCCTGCCCCACCCCCCATCTTTCCTGTCTCTATTCCCTACTCATTACCTTCCTAATCTTGCCCATCGTGTCCTACAGTCTCTCTCCCCATCTCCCTTTCCAGTCTGTTGTTTCTGTCCCATCTCCTTCTCTGCCTGTCTTCCTCCCTCACTATCTCTCGGTCTCCCTGTCGATCTCTGTCCCTTTTATTCCCTTTCTTCCTGTCTGTCCTGCCATCTCTCAGTCTCTACCTGCTTCTGGCCCTCTTCTCTGGTACCTCTTCTCCCCAACCCGCCATGGCTCACTTTCAGGAAGAGCCGGATGAAGCCTTGGAGTAGGCTCTGGAGGCCTAGAAGACCCGAGGAGCTCTCCTGGGCGTCCGCATCGTGGATCGGGGCTGCAGTGGAAGGGTGCACCGAGACAGAGGGGAGCAGCAAAAGCAGGACCAGTGCGTGCCACATTGCAGGGCAGGCAGGGAGGCTGTGGAACCCGTAGGGGTCAGAGTCCGCGCCCCCATCAAGGCCCCGTCTCCTCAGTGGTCACGCCCCCACCCAAGACAATCACCCCTTTCCTATCCCTTGCCTAGGTTTTGCCCCAGTCGCGCCATTTCCCCCCTCCCCTTTCTTTCAACTCCTATCCCCTCCATCGTGTCAGGCCCCGCGAGTTCTCTCAGGCCTGGCTTTTCTGGGCTCTGCCTCTTAAACGGATCTCACTGCTCTCCTTCCCCCACATTCATACCCAGATCTCATTTCTCACCTCCTACGCCCCGCCCCTTCGTCTGGGCCCTGCCTTTATACTAGATCACAGTCGGGTCACCGGACTCTCAGACTCCGGCGGTCCACAGACTGTTAAATCCAAACAGTTCTGGTCTCGAGCCTAAACCGGACACCTGGAGCGTTGGATGAGCTCCGCGAGCCTTAGTTCGTGCACTCATTATCTGACCACGCCCCCATATGCTGACCTCACCCACGAGTCGAGCCCTGTATTGGATAGTCACGCGCCTAAGTATAGAGTCACGCCCCTATTCTTTGTTAACCACGCCCCTTGAGCCAGCCTCCCCTTCATTTCGAGGTCACACCCCCTCGTCAGACCACGCCCCTATCGGTTGACCTCGGCCTTGGATTCTTGCCTGTCCGGCTCCAATCACAGATGCCCACGCCCCTTGACTTAGAGCCACGCCCCCGCACGTGGGTCACACCTCTGTGCCCCAGATCTTGCCCCCCAGCGCCCTCATTCCTAGGTTCCCACTGTTCGTGGACAGTCCTTATGGTTTGACCACTCCTTAGTTTTGTATCTATCTCAGAGTTTTTCCGTGTTGCTTCTCGTCTTCTCCAGGATTTGAAATGATTAATACACTCAACAGAGGGCAGTGTAGGAATACTGAACCCGGACCCCTTTTAGTTCCACTAAACAGCCTCGCCCTTTCTGGAAACCCTAAATCAAGTCTTATGTTCCAGTTTCCAAGGAGCTCAGAATCCGGGCTTTTTTCTCCCTCAGGACCCCAGGGTCCGGACCCAGCCTCTTTTGGTCTTATGAGTCTGAACACCCAACCCCTCATTTTTAAGAGACCCAGGAGTCCGGGCCCTAGCCCCTCTCCCTTCAGGCACCGACTCTTTCTCTGTTCTGGGAGGACGCCACCTCTAGTCCACTAGTGCGTGTGGATGCGGGAGTCTACACCTCGGTGGACCTCCCATAAACTCCCGGTAGTGTTGCCCACGACCCAACTCTGGCGAAGTCACAAGGAAACCATGTTGTCATAGAAATCAATCAAAACACATCCTTATACTTCAATCCTCAAAAATATATTTGAGGCTAAACGGGAAAGATTCTTTTGTGTTCCTATCACTCCCACATCTCCAACACACAAACACGCCTCTTACAGGGCCAGAAGTCCGGGGCCCTCAGACTCCCCCTCCTCTAAACTCAGGAATCTTGGCCCCCAGGCCCTTCGTCCCTCAGCCCAGGAGTCCAAGCCCCCAGCCTCCTACGTCCTCAGAATCAGGTTTCCTGGCCCCCATCAACCTACTCTCTCAGACTCAAAAGTCGGGACCCCCAAGCCCCCTCTTCTCTCAGGGATCCAAGCATCTGAATCCTGAAGTTGCTACCAGATCCCAGCTAGACTTCACCTCTTCTTTGCCAAAGCAGAAATCCTCCCCCAAACTGTCACTGTCGGATCCCCCTTCCCTCTGTCCAGCGCCCGGGCCCGCCCCCCCTCCGGTCCCTCCCACTTTTCCCAAACAAAGCTCCCGGGCAACTTTCTCCCTCGCACCGCCCCTCCCGCCCGAGGCTCCCCAGCCCCAGGCCGGGAGGTAGGAAGGCGCCAGCGGGAGTCGGGGATCCTGCTTTGGGGTGTGTGAGTTTGGATGGGAAGTTACGCGTTAGGAGTTGAGGTGTGTGTGGGACCGTCTCTGAATTGCTTGCCGCCCTCTTTTTGCCTGGGAACCTGAGTTTGCGCTGGTGACCGAGTCTAAATGCGGGGTTGGAACTTTCGCCGAAGTTGGGGTATCTGTTGATGGGTTTGAGTTTGGGAGTGTGCGCCCTGGAGTGGGTGAGAGCTGGGGACTTTGGCGGGTGTGTGTCTGCGGCTGTGTCGATTTGAAGTGAGAAAGGGCCCCGTGCGTGTTTTTGACCGAATTGTTTGTGTGTGTCATTTGTGGGCGCCTGGTCCTCATCATGGAGCAAGGGGCCTCCGGGGTCCCGGCAGAGGGCGGGCTACGGTGCTTTCTGGATCCTCGGCCTTGTCTCTTCGGAGGTTTGGGGCCTGGGGCGGGAGATTAGAGGGACCTTGCTTAGCCGGCTCCTCCGTCCCTTTGTCTGGCCACATGGGCGAGAGCTGGGCTGGGATTTTGGCCTACGGGGGTCCTGAACGCTGCAGCGCCTGTGGGTTCGGCCTGGGGTCTTTGTCTTGCCCATGGTTCCAGGGTCCGAAGAAAGAGGGGGATGGGAGCCTGGACTCTAAGGTCCTGGGAAAGCTGTGGAAGACGTGGAGCCGCCAGGGAGGCGGGATCTGTATTGGAAAAAGTTTTCCCCTGTTCCCGGCCTCCGGAAAGTCACTGGGAACTTGAGCTGGATCCGAGCCCACCGCACAGGGGGAGGGGTGGGAGAGGGCGGGGCCAGGGGCTCGAGGGGGAGGTTCCGTCCCTGGCCAGCCCCTCCCCTGATGGGGGTTGTGGGAAACTGGGGGAGGGGACGCCTGGGCCCTTTGTTCTGGCTCTCCTGATGGCACGGCGTCCCTGTCCCCCAGTCTGTGGTTTTGTGGGTTTTTCCTGGTCTCGGCTTGAGTTTCTGCTCTGAGTCTCTGTTCCCCTTCCCTCTGGGTCTCTGTCCCCCTCTCTCTAGATCTCCCCTCAGCCTTACTAGGGCCTGAGCCTCTCCTCCTTTTCCAGCAGCGGCTGCTCACATCCTCACACCTGTTCTTGGGGTGGGACTGAGAAGATCTCACCCTCAACCCCCTTCCCTGCAACTAGGCCCGGACTCCTGTCTTCTTTAAACCAGTAATCCATACCCAACTGATTGGCCCTCACGGGCCCTAGGCATGACTCTGGGGTCTTCAAGACTTCATCACAACCAGGTTCCCCCTGAAATCCAAAGGAGAACACTCTTTACCCTAAGCTTCCCCGGAAATCCAGTCCCCTTTTCCTCCAGGAGTCTCAGCTCCTAGCCCCTTCCTCCCTCGGACCCAGGGGTTCGGTCCCCCAGCCCTCCAAGCCCTAAGGTCCCTCTGGGTGGGTCGGAGGAAACTTGCTGAGCTCTGTGTTCCTTCAGGCCCAGATGGGGGAACCCCGGGCTGGGGCCCCCCTGGACGATGGCAGCGGCTGGACAGGAAGTGAGGAAGGAAGTGAGGAGGGCACCGGTGGCAGCGAGGGGGCTGGGGGAGATGGGGGTCCAGACGCAGAGGGTGTCTGGAGTCCAGACATCGAGCAGAGCTTCCAGGAGGCTCTGGCCATCTACCCGCCCTGCGGCCGGCGGAAAATCATCCTGTCTGATGAAGGCAAGATGTATGGTGAGTCCACCCCTCTCTTTTGTCCCGGTCCCCACTGATTAATAAACAATAATAACATGTATGGAGCGCTAAACAATTTTTATATAAAAGTACATTATGTCCTCACAATAACTCAGGTAGGAGCTAGCATCACCATTTGCATAGTTGAGGAAACTGAGGCTCAGAAAGGCTTAGTGATTGGCCTAAGGTCACAGAGCTAGTGTGTGGTGGAGTTGGGATTTGAACCCAGGCAGTCTGGCCCAAATGGCCAGCCGTCACAACTCCTCTTCCATATAGCTCCCAGCTTGCCGTGGACCTCAGGGAACTCTTGCTTCTCTCTCCTTCCCTGGTGTCCTCTCTGTTGGGAAGTTCTACTAAAGGCCTAACTCTGTTCCATCTTTGACTCTTCAGGTCGGAATGAACTGATTGCCCGTTACATCAAGCTGAGAACGGGGAAGACCCGAACTCGCAAACAGGTCTCAGGACTGACTTGTGGGTTTCTGTCTGGGAAGGGCTTATCTTCTAAGGGCCATCCTAGTATGGGCAGTTCAAGTTCAAAGAGGATCTGGTTCATGTGCTTTGTCTGTCTTCTTGCCACCTCTGTTAGTATACTCTGTGCCTATTTTAGTATAGTTCTCTTAGCAGTTGTGTTAGAACCAGGGTAAGATACAGAGACCAAAAGAGCTAAAGAGAGGAGGACAGGGAAGGAAAAGGAGACCTGGATTTGCTGGGTCTGGGGAAGATCAGTCGTGTTACTGAGAAAAGAGTGGCCATTAGGGGGCACACCTATGTCTGCATGCTCCTGAGACAGCTAGCATGTTCTGTGTGTTTGTCATCTTTCACGTTCTAGCAGCTCTGTGGGGCACCTGGAGGGAGGGAAGGGGCAGGGGATGCAAGGGGCAAGTGACTCTGGTCTGAATCTGCTTCTTTGTCACTCCCTCCAGGTCTCTAGTCACATTCAGGTCTTGGCCCGAAGGAAATCAAGGGAAATTCAGTCCAAGCTCAAGGTAGGGACCAAAGCAGACCCTGAGAGGGTGACATGGACCCAGAGAGAGGGGCCCAGGGGCCCAGAGAGAGAGGAACAGAGACTCAGAGAGAGAGGGGGACAGAGATCTGGGGGTGGGGGGAAGGGGGGCAGGGACCCAGAGAGAGGGCCACAGAGATCCACAGAAAGACTCGGGGTGCGGGGCAGAGTCACAGAGAAAGGTAGACAGAATGGGGGAGCAGAGACTCAAGGTGGGGGGTTAGTGGCCCAGCAAAGGGATGGATAGAGACCCTGGGTAGAGAAAGATCCATAGAGAAGAGGGGACGGAGATTTAGCTTAGGACAGGCAAGAAGGATGGGGTGTCAGGCCTCTCCCCTGGCTACTTTTCCCTCTCCTTCTCCTCTCTCCCTTCTGTCCTTCTTTTTGTTCTTTCTGGTGTCCTCATCGCCTTTCCCTCTTGTGCTATGAGGATCTCCTTCTGATCTCATCTTCTTATTTCCTGGTCCTCTGTGGCCTGCCTGCTTTCTCTGTGCCCAGAAATCTTCATTTCCTTTTGGAGCTTTTCACATTCCTTTTCTTCATCCTCTGGACTTCCTGTCCCCTCTTTGCCAGAGACCCTCATTTTCTACCTCTTCCTTTGGATTTGGGGACCATCACTTCCTATTCCTTTTTTGTACCCAGAAGCCTCCCCTTCTTTGCTCTCTGGGTCTAAACACCTTCCCTTCTGGCTTTTTCTGGACTTCAATGTTCTCCCTCTGTCCTGTTCAGGCTAGGAAATGTTCACCACCTATTCCCCCTGGGTCTGAAATTTGTATTTCCTGTTGCCTGCATGTCCGGAAACCTTTACTTCCGGCCCTTTGTTGCCCTAGAAATCCTCATTACTGTCTTTTATTCTGGGCATGGGAACCCCTTTCCCCTTCTAGGCCTGGCCCTCTCTACTTCCTGTTTCATG